GTATAACGTCGTGGTATGAACATTCACACGGCGTCAATAATAAGATACCGTCGTCTATATAAGATACCAAACCCTACTTTCTTTGTCTCTGTATTTTATCAAATTAGGAAAAACGAAAACCATGGTTCAGAGAAATCGAACCTGCATCTAAACAAGCAAATAAAAAATTGACCGTCATTTTAAAAACAACTTAGATCAATTTTAAGACGACGCTAGGACGACTGATGAACCGTCGTGGTCTACATATTTAACCACGTAAATAAAAAGCTACCGTCGTCTTATTTAGTTGAATTAGTTATGTTCAAAGTTGAAACTTTCCCTCTCTGTCTGTGTATTTTATCAAACTTGGAAAGAATAAAAATGATTTTCGCCAGAAAAAAGGTAAAAAGATTTTCAAAACAAAAACAGTATGAGCATGCAAAATAGCAACAAAAATAGTGAGAAATGAAAGCTTACCTTTTGCGTGCAATGAAAGCTTTCTCTCGGATTTTGGTGTTTAAGTTCAGAGGCGACGACGAAGACAAGAGGAAGACGATGAGATACTCTGACAGTGCTCTGACAAGGAAAAAAGACGAAAAGTTTTCTCTGGGAGATTGAAATGTTTTCTCGGGTTTGGAAACAGTGCATGTGTAAGTCAGGTAGACGAAAAGTTGTATATGTATACAAACCGTTTCATAATAATAAGACGGCGGTTTACATAGAACGACGACGTATTAATAGACAAACTACGACGCTAATTTGAACTTATGACGTGGTACATAAATACGACAGTGGTGTTGTAGGTACCGCCGTAGTAAACTCCTAAATAAAAGTCGATAACTCAATATCTCGCGTCATGGTAGAAATATTTAACACGACGGTTGTTTTAAAGTTACGACGTTTATTTTCATAATATACGTCGTTTTATTGTAATATACCGACGTGGATAACACTAAACTAAAACGACGTATTATTTTTCCACGACGTGGATTCGTTTTTAAACGTCGTTATGTGTAATATAACCGACGTGGATTTTATTTTTTTTATTATAAATATAATTTTTTCCCCTTTTTCTTATAGTTTATTTTTCAAAAACAGTGCCTTATAGATATAGTTTTTTTTTCCCGAGGAAATTAATGTTCTAGAATTTGTAAAGTTTCTTTTCTAGGTGACTGATTTAAATCAAATAAAAATATAAAACAACAACTGTTTTTGTTATACCGTCGTCGTTTATTGTCGTCTTAAGTAAGAATAAAACGACGTGCTGTATTTGTTACCGACGAGGATTGTTTTTGTTAAACGTCGTTATGTGTAATATAACCGACGTGGATTTGGTTTTTTAATTATAAATAGGGTTTTTTTCCACGGGTTCTTTCAGTTTTAGTATTCGATTAGGGTTTCAACTTTTTCTTGCCGCTTTCTCTGTCTCACCTCATCTCTTGGGATTGCAAATCTGGTTGCAAATCACCAATTTTCAATAAATTGTCTCTCTGATTGCAAATCTGTGGCTGCCGTCGTGAAGTTTTAGGAGGCGATTGTTTGGATGTGAATGTGTATGTGCGTTTGTGTAGATACACAAACGCACATACATCATTCACTTCCAAAAAATTGTCTCTCTGATTGCAAATCTGTGGCTGCCGTCGTGAAATTTTAGGAGGCAATTGTTTGGATGTGAATGTGTGTGTGCGTTTGTGTAGATACACAAACGCACACACATCATTCACTTCCAAAAAATTGTCTCTCTGATTGCAAATCTGTGGCTGCCGTCGTGAAATTTTAGGAGGCAATTGTTTGGATGTTGATGTGTGCGTGCGTTTGTGTAGATACACAAACGCACACATATCATCAACTTCCAAAAAATTGTCTCTCTGATTGCAAATCTGAGGCTGCCGTCGTCAAATTTCAGAGGCAATTTTTTGGATGTTAATGTGTATGTGCGTTTGTGTATCTCAAAGACACAAATACACATACATCATTAACCTCTAAAATATTGTCTTTCTGGTAAGATTATAATGAGCAACAGATCTGGAGTTCCATCTTGTAAGATTTCCTAACCCTTGTGATCTCAGAATAATCTGATTATGTCGGCGGTTTTCTATATAAACCGTCGTGGTTATTTCAATTCTTGTCGTTAGGTAGATCTACCGACGTAGGATAACAAAATCGAAGAAATAAATTGTTAAAAAAAATTCTTATTCAGACGACGGTTTTAAATATAATTTATGACGTATAAAGTGGACAAATACGACGTTAAATTCTATAATACGTCGTTATATGAAAACCCCAACTTGGTAAGATTGAAAGATGTCGTCGTAGAAATACGAGAAAGACGTCGTTATATTTACCTTTGCCGTAGTTGTACATTAATTTAATACGGCGGTATTTTGTATTTTACCGCCGTGGATTTATTTGTAATTTTACGTCGCCTTATACGAAAACTTGGTCGTGTTAATTTCTGGGTAAAAACGACGGCTTTTTGTGAAACCGTCGTCTTTACTTTCTACGTCGGTTGGTTCATAACTTCCGCCGTTATTTGTTGGCTACGATTTTACCTCTTGAAAATCCTATTTCAATAAGACGTCGGTTTTTTAATTAAGTACGTCGTGTTTTTGGAACAGCCATTTGAAACTCCATTTTTTAGTTGTCTAATGTGTTATTACACGGCGGTTTTATAAAACCGTCGTCTTTTAAAAAACAACGACGGTTTTCACGTAGACCGTCGTGTTTTTGTGGTCGTCTTTTTCACTTTTGTAGTAGTGCTTTTTTGTGCTGGTGAAAAGGCTGAACTTTGCATGATGCGTTTTTTTTCTATGTAGGTGCATACGTCTCTGGTACAAGTAGGGGAAGGTGGCGGAAGCTTGCATCATATTCCTTGCCGTTGGAAGCTTCGAGTGTACCGATTTCGCAACTTGGCAATTTGGATTTCTATCTCGATTTCTCAGTAAATAGTTCTGTTCCTTCACTGGAATCGTGAGTCTTTCTTTTGGCTTTGTAGGAATAGACATAGACTGGTGCTTGGCCTAGGCTTGTTTTTCTTGTGAACACATGCTTGATTAAATCTGGACTTTTCTCCGATCTTGTGGAAATAGAAATTGACAGAATGCATGCTCTGCAATGCTTGAATCGGGAGAATTTGCTTGTCATGGGAAAGCTTGAGAATTTTGCTTGCCATGGATAAATTGCCTGCTGCTTTGATATTTGCTTAAGCATTTTCTTTGGCGTGAGCTTGACTTGCCATGTTTGGCATATATTTTGCATGTGCTACATTCTTGACCACCTTTCTAATTGTCATTGAACTATATGCATCACTAGCGTATGCTTGTAACCGCATGATTAATACATAGGATTAGAGGCTGTTGAAAGCTTGAGGAAAGCACCATTGGTTTCTTTTTACGAGCTGAGAGCTTGGACATGGGTAACTATATATATAAGTTTTTGGCTTTATAGGGATAGATATAAACATGTGTATGATGGGTCTGCAAGAATGCAGTGTAACTCATAGGGATTTTTTTTGTTTTTGTGAAAAAGGTTACTAGAAGGTAAGTGGTGTTCAGTTTGTAACACTTGCTTTGTGAAAGGGTCTGCTAGAATGATTGATTGAGCATGGAATGGGAACTTTGCTTGTCATAAGCTCGAGTAATAGATTGCATGATGCTTCAAAAAAAATTTGTTTATGCATTTCGCTTGGTATGAGATAGCTTGCTTTGCTTGGCTTGTGAAGTTCATATTGCTTGCATGCTAGTGTGGAGATTGCTTGGCTTTAACACACAGAACTTACTCTGCCCTTTTACAGCATATTCTTTGTTGGCAATTCTTGCAGGGATTCATGTTATAAGTCATATTGACCTCTATGATGAGTGACGGCCTATTTCCCCTTACACAATGAGCTGCAGAAGAGACGACTACCTTCATCGCTTAGAAACACTTGCCAAGACTTGATAATAGGCACTGGGTAAGCTTCGGAGGCTACTCTCATTTCCAGGTGCTGTGTAGAAAAAATGCATATTTCCGGCGGCCCCTTGATTTTTTCAATACCCTTGCAACATCACTAAGGGCTTGCCAAAGTGGTTCGATTGCGAGTTGACAGACCCAACTACCAAAGATGTTCTGCAAATGATTGAAGCTTGAAAAGGAAACATCGTTCTTGACCTTACAGCAGCGTGCTGAAAGGGCTTAAGCGTGTGTCTTATTAGGATTTTGCGTGGACTTCCCGCTGAATACTTAGAAGAAGTTATAGCACACACTATTTTTAGAGCACGAGCTGCTTGTAGCATGAAGATGTATGCATGATCCCCTTAAGCAAGAGTTGTCGTTAATGCGTTAAGCTTTCAGGAACACGAATTGGAGAGCCAGTGCCGTAAGCTACGAGACCTTCTTCTTGACAAATGAGTGACTGAGCATGGCACTTGGCGCGTGGTGGAAACATTGAAAGGATCATCTTTCCGCACTTCTTCTGTTATTCCAGCACCATCCTTCTATAACATATGTCCTTACTTCGCCTTTCAGGTCGCATTTCTTTGTTGTGAGGGGCTGGCTGGTTGGGTGCGTAGTAGCTTTTCCTTTTGCAACCGCAGGATGAATTGATCTGCAGCATAGTTGGCTGCATTTGAGCTTGAGTTGTACCCCTCATTTTTTTTTTGGAGAGCCTAAAGCTCATGTTGTTGGAAACTTGAAACACAGAATTGTTGCATATTTTCTGTCAGAACTTTTGATGCAAAATGCTTGAGATATTAAGCTTCGGCCTATTTTGTATGCTTTGCTTGATTGGAAGTAATGAAATGCATGAATTGTTGAAGTTGATTGCATTGAGATAATGATTTCCAGCTTGTTTTGTACACTTTGCTTGGTTGGAAATAATGAAATGCATGAATTGTTGAGGTTGATTGCATTGAGATAATGATTCCCAGCTTATTTTGTACACTTTGCTTGGTTGGAAATAATGAACTGCATGAGTTGCTTGAGATTTGGAATGCATTGAGATAATGATTTTCAGCTTGTTATGTACACTTTGCTTGGTTGAAATGCATGAGTTGCTTGAGAGTTTAACAGGTTGGGTTGTGATAGGCGCAAGGTACATGCTGCCAATCTTTTTACAGGATCACAAAAGTATCTGCCCCCATTGCTTCAACGTTGTTTTTCTTTTCACAGCACCCCAACACATACACTCTCCTCAAATATTGCCAGGGTTGGGATGGTTTTCCTTCATAGCATGACCTTCCTTTTTTTTAGGCTAAGAGCATCTCACAAGTCGCGGAGGATACACTTCCTGCTCCTCTTGGGATGTCCGGCGTAGCTGCCGACACTACCCTGCGCCTTCCAGCAGCGCAGCCTCCTGCTCCTCCTTTCCTAAGCACATCCGACACAACTGCCGGCACCTCTCCACAGCTTCCAGCAGTGCTGCCTCCTACTCCTCCTTTCCTAAGCACATCCGACACAACTACCGGCACCTCTCCACAGCTTCCAGCAGTGCCGCCTCGTGGTGAGATTATTGATGACAGCCATAAGGACGATGCTGTTTCCACCTTGGTGGGGCATTTATCGGAGAAAAGCATGTCTTAGCAAGATTGATGAAATTCCTTTATGGCTTTCAAAGCCTTCTTTGATGGTGGTGCTAAGATCCTCCGATATATCGATGAGCTTCTTCCGTTCTTTTTGGGCATTCTTCATAGCTTCAAGGTATATAATTCCTCTTCTTTTTTTTTCTTTTTTTCTTTTTTTCACGCTACGTCTTCCAGCATCAACCAGTCTTGACACACATTCTCCTTTCTTCTTGCAGGTTGTCTTTTCTTGGCTTGGTGATCAATTATCTTGGCGCGTGGTTCTGTTCCCTTGGAGACCATAGGCTGCATGGGTCTTTAGCATGTGTAGTTTTGCTTTGACTGTAGTTTTTTTTTTCTTTCTCTTTTGGACACTCTAACGACCATGTCGTTATGACTTTGTAATGTAGTGTTGAATCACTGGAGCTTGTATTAATTTATGAATGCTTGAGGCATGTTGTAATCTGCATGTCTTATATATATATATATATATATATATTGCTTGGTTTGAAAAATTTGTTTTTATGAATTGCTGGAGATTCTATGACAGGTTGGATATCCTTAAAAACAAGGTATATGCTGCCAAAATTTTGTCTGACCACTAAGCCTGAAAAACACCCTCTTGTCATACCCTAAAAGGGGCAGACTAGTATATGCATGGTCTTTGTAAAATTCCAAATGTTTTGCATGTTCCGATTGCTTATCAAAAAGGGGACAATGGTTTCGTTGTTCCAGCAGCTCAAGAATGCATGCCCCATATTATTTTGCTTAGGCATGCTGCTTGTTAATGGCCCCAGACCCCATCCAAGTGACTTTGCTTGGCATGTCTTACTGCTAAGTGGCATGCTTTTGTAAAGAAAAGTTTGCTTGTCTATTTTTTTTTAAAAAACATGATTTGCAAAACAAAAGAAGATAACAGCAAGGAAAGAATTCTAGAGGCTTTTTTTTTCTTTCTCCAAAATACTCTATTCTCATTGCAAATATCATCTTACACCTTGGCATGCCATAATGGTGGTGCATTCTACAAAAGTTGTGAAAGCATATGGTGAAAACACAAAAGGAGTTCATCTTTGAAATAAATTTGAAAAGCCAAAGATAAAAGGATAGGTGCAAAAGCAACTCAGTAGTAAGGCTTTGAGCCATTTTGCATTGATAAATACCCCCATCAAATTAAGCCCCCAAGTATGAAAGGGCCAAGGAGCGTGCATGACTTGCAATAGCATGAAAGCTTGTGGCTTATGTTGGCATGTATTTGGCATGTGTTGTACTAGGCTGCCATGCTCTGTAGAAATATTTAACAGAGCCACAGCTGCTGATTTGCATGGGACTCATAACCCAACTAATCATAAAGTGATTTGCGGCTTCTATGAGAGGTTACGGCAGATGTCTTTTGATAATCTTGCTGACCAAATGAAGCCCCCAAGTGGCGCTTCTCTTCTTCACTCCTCCAAGCTTCCTGCTCAGTTAGCTTAACTGAAATGCTTGTTTTCCTCACCGCTTCCAGCAGCCGAGAAAATTGGATGATGCCAATATTCTCCAAATAAACTTTATAATCTGCCACAATATTGCTGATGCAAATTTTAACAAGCACTTCCTCATCCTTCTCATCATAGCAGTCTAGAGCCAGGTCCCGGAACCTGCGCACGAAGTCCACGGGATCCTCACCATGTTTTTGGCGGGTGTTGTTGAGTTGAGTGGTAGTGACTCTTTCCAAATGCCGGAAGTATTTCTTACAGAACCTGCTAGCCAAATCCTCCCAAGAGCAAATAGAGCCTGGTGCTAATGTTGTGTACCACATATAAGCACGATCGGTAAGGCTTTTTGAAAACTCCCGGAGACAGAGATTATGATCACCAGCGTGTGGTCCCAAAGCATCAATGAAGCGGTTGACATGCTCCTTCGGGCTTCCATTCCTTTCGTCGAAAAGGACAAAACTTGATGCTTTATAGCCATTGGGGTATGGCTGCTGGAGTAGGCTTGATGGATATGGTGGCTGAGGAACATACTTCCAATCCTCCTGGCTTCGGCTTAGTTTCTTCTCCAGCATGGCAATGAGATCTTCGTGAGTGATAAAAGATGGCTCCTTTTGTTCAGACCTTCCTCTGGCAGCGGCAGACTCCTCTTGGGGAGGTCTTTCGTTTTCTTCGCTTGGCTTGGAGACTGAGCTTTTTAGCTCTTTGATTATGTCTGTCATCTCCCTCTGGGTTTTCCCCATAGCATGGATGGCTGCAATGAGGTCTGAAATGGTAAAAGCTCCCTCACTTGCATGTTCTTCTTCTCTAAGAGAGGCATTTTGCCATGATTCTGAGTCATCGTAGTCCAGCTCGTCTTGGGAAGCCATGGAATTGCTTACAGTCTTCTTCTTTGGAGGCATTGGTGAAGATAATGGCCTAATCCCCAGCAGAGTCGCCAATTTATGTAGGGGACTTTTTCCTCCAACAGCTGCAAATGGGCTGGGCTGCTGTAAAAAGGGCAGACTGATGAAATTGTCCCCTTTGCCTGAGTTCGAAAATTAAGCCCCAAAATACCTCGAAAGGGCAGTAGAGCCTTAGGAAGTATTTTGGTTACCTTCACCAACCAAAATAATGGCAGCTTACAGATAATTTATGCATGCTTACAGATAAAATTTTGAGCTTGGCATGAGAGCAAAATCAACATGAGTTTAGCACTAAGAGGAAATTTAGGCTTTCTTAGAGGGAAAAAGGGAAGTGTTAAGGTGAGAAAAGAGAGATTTTGTAGGAGATTTGGCTAGGAAGAGAGAAATGAAGAACAATGCTCTTCTGGCAGCTTGACAGATACTCTGTTTGCCAGAAGAGAAGAATAGAGAAGATGGTGAACAATGCACGAGACTGCTGGTTTTTTGCAAGTTAGAGAGAAAGCTTACTCTCCAGGCGTGGGTTGTTTTTGTTGGGTAGAAGAGGCCTCATTTTATAGGCGCTGGAAATCATCCCTTCTCAAGAAACCCTAATGGTTTCTACCCATTTTGGCTAAGCTTTTCCCTTCCTTTTTCTTATCCTCCCCTGGCTTTTCCTATCTTGGTGAAATTTCCTCTGTTTATTAGCACAAAATCAGGAACTTTGGGAGCTAAAGGCCCCATTTTCCCGCAGCTGTCTCAGTGACAGATTTCCATTCCCAGCCATTTCTTTTATTGCTTTCTTCTCTATTTTCCATGGCCAAGTCTGATGGGAAAAGAAGTTGGGAAATATATGCTGGTTCGAAGGGTGTTTCTGGCAGCTCGCAGGCTAATATTCTTTGGTTTCTTGAATGTTTCTTGCTTGGAACTTGCTCCCCCCATGTCTGAAACCTCGAGCGGCTTTGTTTAATGAACTTGCAGACCTTCTCTACGTGGCTTCTATTTTTTCCAGCAAAGGGCTGAGGCTTTTGTGGGCTTATTGTGAAGCTTTGTATGGACCAAGGTGGTTCATTAAATAAGTGGGCTATTTTGTTAAATATTGGGCTTTTGAGTCAATAGGTTATTTGGGGCTATTTGGGTTATTTGGGCTATTTGGGCTATTTCTTTTCCTCTTGTGCTCACCCACATGTTTGGACCTAAGAAATGGGCTTGAGTCTCGAGGCTCCCAAGCAACCCGAGACTTTCCATTTCTTGGCCCATCAATGGGCCTCATGTTGATTTATTACCATCCATACCACAACCCACTCAAGCAAGCCCCGGGCATTCGAGTGGCTTGGGCCCACTTAGGCTTGTAGCGTGGTTGGGTGTGTAATAATGATTTCTTGCTTGGCCTGGCATGGCATGTCGCTTGGCATGGCACATCGCTTGGCATGCTTTTTATTATGCTTGATGGGATAATTAGCATGGATTTGCAGGGCCGATATATTCTAGCATGACGAATTATTTATTTAGCATGGCATGTGGATTGCAACTCGCATGTGGCGGGTTTTTGTGTACTCCGCTTTACGCCTTTCCTTGATAGAGTGTCATTTTGGGCCGATAATTTATTCGGGCCCAACCATGGATTTTTTGGGCCTCAACAGTGATATATGGGGATTTATTAGAGGCCCTCATTCATGTACGAACCAAGTATGACTTCATGTATGCTTCCTTAATTATGTGCAAGGAATTCTCTGTATTTAACAATCATGTCAAATTGATGTCCATGTTAACAATCAAAGAAAAATAGAGAAAAACTATCAAGAAAAATAAACTTTTTTGTTTATTTCTCAATTCTATGTAATATAGTAGAGCTAACTTTGTATTTAAATAAAGAGTAAAAGCTTAACTGACTCACCATCTTTCTAATAGTTTTCTAACAACTATATTAACTAGCATGACTTAAGCTTGGCACAATTTACATACTAAGTAGTAGCTACTAATCCTATTTAAGCTAACATAACTTCTATCAGTCCCAACATATTGAAAGACATGATAAAATTCAAGGCTAATAATCAAGAGGAGCTATGTCATTAATTGTGTGAGTCCAGCTCAAATTTTCGTGTCGTATCGGGTAAGACCCACTAAAACTACTAACTCACATCACCATAATTAACCATAAGCCCAAACAAAGCTCACATACCCAATATAACCAAAACCTTAAAGCAACCCATGCTCCTAAGCTAACCCTACCACCACCATCTAAATAAGCAATGTCGCGGCCACACCCACCATTGCATTTGTAATAGATTTGGGAAAAACATGGTTTCCAGCAATCTACATGCGTATAAGAGCGAACAAATAAACGAAAACAACTACCTTGACAAAAAAAACAATTTGGTGATTTGAAGCAACCTCTGTCAAAGAAGATGTAGACCCAAATTAAGAGAACATTAGTAGTATTAGAAAGCATGTTTTGGGAGAAGGATTGTTTGAGAATGCCTAAAAGTGGTGATGGGGAACTTCAATATGAGCATTGCTTAGAAGAAATCACCGCAAGGGGCTTTTTATTCAAAACGCCCCAAGTGAGGAGAGAGGAGGGGATGAGGGAACGCTTCTTCCTCCACCCTCTGTGGAGTTTTAGAGGCTATGGTTCCTCTCCTTTTGAGTGAGAGAGCTGCGCCATGGATGAATTGGGAGATTATGTTGTTGTTTGAGCAAAACTTTTCCTTTATTTTTGGGTTAATTACATTTTTTGTTACTAGGGTTTGGCTCGAAATCAAATTTGGTCACCTTGATTTTAATATTCCTAATTTCGTCACCGTACTTGCAATCGTTAACAAATCAAGTCCAATTTCTTAAATCTGTCAATTTGAAGGCATATCCTAAGTTCATCGAGGGCCGTTATTATCAACACAATAATACTTTAAAACAAAAACACAAGAGAGAGAGAGAGAGGGAGAGAGAGAGAGAGAGAGAGGACGAAAGGAGGAGAAGGTGGAGGATACAGGTGGTTTCTGTCAGTCTAGGGTGGAGTGGGCAGCTATGTGGGGATGATTGTTTGGGTTCTTTTCTCTCTTTCAAACAAAACTTGTAAAGTTGCTTCAAAACCTTCAAACGCTCTTTCAAACAAAATCAGAGTTTTCATCCAGATCTATCACTAATCTAATTCATTTTAATCAGGCCCACACCAATAAACAAACCCATAAGAAAGATGGCGTCTATTGGCCCATATATCACCTCCTTGAGAGTGTACCAAGAACCATTGCCCATGGACAATGACCACTTCGACTCTCTGCCAAAGTCTCTCCTCCTAGTCTTCATAAAGATTAACGATATCAAGCCCCTTTCCTTCTCCAATGTTACCATTTGAGAGAGAGGTAAGGCTGGATGGGATAAGGGTTGTCGTCGTGGTATTTTGGGGGTGGGTATAGGGTGGCTCCCTATAATTTATTGATACTTAATTTTATGTATATTTAAAACTTTTAATTAATGATATATATAGAAATGGATTAATTTTAAATTAAAAAATAAATATAGTATTTATGACTCCTTAATTTAGGGAGTATGATTGAAGTTCAAATTTTATAGAGAGCTCCTCAAATGAGTGCTCCACACTATAACCCAAGGTGTATGCTCACCACCTTCTCAATACTTAACACGTGTCCATAATCATAACCATGGTTACATAAATTAAAGTAAAAATTTAACCATGGTTAGGCCTATAGACACGGGTCATGTATTAAAAAGAATGGTGAGCATATACCTTAGTAACGCAGCACAAGCAAATAGATTTTCAAGCGAAAATCCTAAAAAATAATAATCTGAAATCCACCAGGAAATTAGAGAGAAAATTCTCTTTGAATTATTTGATAAAAGTCGAGATGATTTCAACCAAGCATGACAGCTGATTAAATACAATGTCCTCACCCATTGGACTGCCCTGGGGAGTTATTGAAAACGTAACAGAAAAGAAACGAAAAGTCTGTAAATTGAATACAACGTTGTCACCCATTGGACTGCCCTGGGGAGTTATTGAAAATGTAACAGAAAAGAAACGAAAAGTCTGTAAATTGAATACAATTTTAAATGCACTTTTGGAACGTATTATGCGACCCAATCGGGGCTCGGACACTAAATCTTTAAATTCCTGCTATGTCCTTTTTCCCTTCTTCGCTCCAGTTCTTCTTCAATCCATTCAACCATTTGTTCTACATCAGTCCCCTCCACCTCTGAAGAACTCGACCCCGAGTTATGTTCAGGATAAAGAGTTTCATCTTCACGAAACTCATACAAATCAGCAACATTAAAAGTATTGGAAATTCCCATGGAATCTGGTAATTCAATAATATAGGCATTGTCATTTATTCTTTTCAACACCTTGTAAGGACCATATTTCTTAGGCTTTAGCTTGGTATATGTACCAACAAGGAACCTCTCCTTCCTCAGAAACACCATCATAGAGTCGCCTTCTTGAAACACCTTAACTCGCCTATGTTTGTCTGCAACGGCTTTGTACTTAGCATTAGTTTGTTCAAGTTTTTGCTTCACTTCATCACGAATATCCACCACTTCTTCAGCCAGTTTTCCCCCTGCAACACTGGTTTTCTAGCCTTTAGGCAGCTTCACTAAATCTACAACATGATTAGGCACAACAGTATAAACAATGGAAAATGGTGACTTTCATGTTACACTATGAACTGCACTGTTATATGCAAAATCCACCTGTGGCAGTGCATAATCCCATTGCTTAGGCTTCTCTCTGCAAATGCTTCGCACTGTATTTCTCAAAGTTCGATTGGTAACCTTAGTCTGGCCGTCAGTTTGAGGATGGGCAGTGCTACTACGGTTCAAAGTAGCCCCAAACATTCTCCACAAAGTGATCCCAAAATGGCTCAAAAATTTTGTATCATAGTTAGAAGTTATAGATGTAGGTACTCCATGCAAGCGAATAACCTCCTTGAAAAACACCTTAGCTATATTGGACACATCAGCAGTCTTCTTGCAGGTTATGAAATGCGCCACTTTTGAGAACCGATCAACAACCACAAAAACTGAATCCACACCTCTCTGCGTTCGAGGCAAACCAATGACAAAATCCATAGCAAGATCCTGCCATATATCATTCAGAACTGGTAAAGGCATGTATAATCCAGTGTTTTGTACATGTCCCTTTGAAACCTGACAAATATAACATTTGCGCACAATTGTTCCAACATCACGCTTCAACTGTGGCCAATAAAATCTTTTTTTCCAATCCTGCTATTGTTTTATCGCGGCCTAAGTGGCCACTCAACCCTCCTCCGTGCAAATCCCGAATGAGCTTCTCCCTTAAGGAGGAAACAAGAATGCATAACTGGTTGCCCTTGAACAAATACCCTTCATTAAAAAAGAAATCTGCCATTGGCTCATGATTAGCACATTTGGCCCATATTTCCTTTAAATCATCATCATCTTCATATAAATCCCTCAAACACTCGAACTCCACAATTTCTTGAGTAAGAGTAACTAACAAAGAAGCCCTTCTGCTCAGTGCGTCAGCCACACGATTTAAGGTACCAGAAGTATGCTTGATAACGAATGAAAATTTCTGCAAAAAAAGAGTCACCAATCTGGCATGCATTTTATCAATATGTTTCTGGTTATTAATATACATCAAAGCTTGATGATCTGTAAACAAAATAAATTCCTTCTAAATAAGAAAGTGCTCCCATTGTTTCAAAGCCTGAACAACTGCATAAAATTCTTGGTCATAAGTACTCCACTTTTGATGAGCGTCACTCAACTTTTCAGAAAAGAAAGCATTTGGTCTCTTCTCTTGAGAAAGCACAGCTCCTACTCCCACGCCACTGGCATCACATTCAACTTCGAATACCTTCTCAAAATTTGGAAGAGCTAGAACCGGAGTGGTACAAAGTTTTTCTTTCACAAGAGCAAAACTTTTTTCTTGCTCTTCTCCCCAATTGAATATGCCTTTCTTCAAACATTCAGTAATAGGTGCCACAATGGAGCTGAAATGCCTCATAAACCTCCTGTAGAAAGTGACCAAACCATGTTAGCTTCGAACTTCAGAGACTATTTTTGGAGTCGGCCAATCAAGAATTGCTTTGATCTTCTCGTCATCCACCTGGATACCATTCTCACCAACCACAAAACCCAAAAATAGTAGCTTATTTGTGCAAAAGTACATTTTTTTCAAATTCACATATAGCTTATTTTCTTTCAAAACTCCTAAGACTTGTCTCAAATGCACGAGATGCTCTTCTTTTGAGGTGCTATAAATTAAAATATCATCAAAATAAACCATAACAAAAGAACCAATAAATGGTTGAAGAACCTGATTCATAAGTCTCATGAAGGTGCTAGGCGCATTTGACAATCCGAACAGCATCACCAGCCATTTGTATAACCCTTCCTTGCTCTTAAATGCTGTTTTCCACTCGTCGCCTAGCCTGATGCGAATTTGGTGGTATCCGCTGCGCAAATCTATTTTGGAAAACACCTTAGAGCCTTCGAGCACATCCAACATATGTTCCAATCACGGGATGAGAAATCTGTATTTTATTGTAATCTTGTTGATTGCTCGACTATCAACACACATACGCCATGACTGATCTTTCTTTGGAATAAGAATGACTGGAACCGCATAGGGACTCAAGCTCTCCCTGATAAAACCCTTTTGTAACAATTCTTCAATCTGCTCTCTTAGGATGTCATTCTCCTTAGGGCTCATGAGATAATGTGGAAGATTTGGTAGACTAGCCCCAGGTACCAAATCAATGTGGTGCTGTAAATCTCTCAACAACGGCAACTCGTTTGGCAGCTTGTCAGAAAATAGTTCCTGAAATTTTGACAAAATCTGTTGCATTTTAGGAGGAATTACAATTTCTTATTTGTTGGCCTTTAACAACCCCTTCAACACCATGGGATAAAAATAATCTACTTCTTTTATTGCCTCATTTAACTCTTGCTCGTTGCTGATTAGAGTTAGAAAACTAGAACTTTTAGTTTTGGGCTCAACTGATTTTTTTTAAGGCACTATAGTAGCCATCGCAATCTTGTGGTTGTTCCAGGAAAACAAGATCACATTATCTCGACCCTTGAAGGTTGCATCCACATCAAATTGCCAAGGTCGCCCCAACAAGATATGGCATGCATCCATATCAATAACATCACATACAACATCATCTCTGTAATGCTTACCAATGGAGAGTGGCACACTGCAAGTCTTAGCAACACGAACTGGAGGTCCTTTTTTAACCCAACCTAGTGAATAAGGGCTGACATGTGGCTCTGTTGGTAGCTGCAAACGCTCCAGCAATTTTTTTTACACAAAATTCTCGCAACTCCCATTGTCTACGATCACATCACATATTTTATTTTTGATTGAACAAAGAGAACGGAAAATGTTGTGTCTCTGCCCTTCCTCTTTTGGTGCCAAAAGAACTCGCTGTAAAACCAAAGTAAACCTTTCCATTCCCTCCTCAATTGCAAACTCAGCCCCTGCATAATCATCATCTACAACGTCATCATTTTCTTCATCATCACCAACATCTTTTACAAAATTAGCTTGCCTCTGCTCGGGACAAACGTTGGAACGATGCCCTGGTTTTTGGCATCGGTAACAAATATCCGTCATGGGCTCAGCATACGGGTTCTCCTTCTGGGGCTGGTTCTAGGTCTACACTCTACTGGAAGTCCGGCTGTTGCCTTCATTACCACTTTTACTTTGGAAGTTCGACGGTTTTGACGATCCTCTGAAGTTTTGCTACTGTGTTTTTCCTTTGTCACTAGGAAAAGAAGCAACACCTTCTGAATGTTCCGTTGTATTCCTGCGGTAATTAGTTTGGCGTTTCTCCTTCTCCAACAGCTCAGCCTTTAACGCCATATTAATAGCCTCCTGCAAAGTCCACATATTTTGCAAACCAATTTTTTCTTGAATGGAAATTTTCAGGCCATTAATATGCCTTGCAACCTTTTGATTTTCGGTCTCGGTCAAATGATTACGTTTCACTAGATGCATAAACTCTTCAGTATATTCAAAAACCGAACGATTGCCTTGCGCACAGCTGATGTACATGCAGTACAAAATTTGTTCATAATCAGTAGGTAGGAACAGATCCATCATAAGCTGCTTCATCTTTCGCCATGTACGAACTAGTTGCTTTCCTTGCCTCTGTCGTGAATTCTGCAACTGATCCCACCATACAGCCGTTGTAACTTTCAAACAGAAAGCAACCATCTTCACCATTTTGTTCTCTGGAACCTCCATAATTTCAAAGAACCTCTCCACTTCTACCAACCAATCCAAGAAATCTTCAATTTTCAGGTTTCCCCAAAAATTTGGGATTTCGGCTTTAATCTGATAATCACCAAAATTGTTGTGATTGCGATGATGTGGATTGTTAACCGGTGGTGGTTCCTCAAGTTCTTCTTTGAACTCCGACTCGCTCTCTAGAACACGTTGCTCCTATTATTTCTTCCAGCATTGCCTCTTTGGTTGTTGTCTCTGTCTTCTCTTCTATTGTTATCTCTGTCTTCTCTTCTATTGTTATTTATGTCTTCTCTTCCATTGTTGCCACCAATAACTTGTAACAACAACTCATGCATCTCCCCAAGTTGATTGGCTAAATTGTTGATTCGTGTGTTTTGAGCGTCCAAATCCGAAAAAACAATAATCTGATACCACTTGACGCATCACAAACAAATAGATTTTCAAGCGAAAATCCGAAAAAAACAATAATCTGGAATCCACCAGGAAATTAGAGAGAAAATTATATTTGAATTATTTGATAAAAGTCGAGATGATTTCAACCAAACATGACAGCTGATTAAATACAATGTTCTCACCTATTGAACTGCCCTGGGGAGTTATTGAAAACATAACCGAAAAGAAACGAAAAGTCTGTAAATTGAATACAACGTTGTCACCCATTGGACTACCTTGGGGAGTTATTGAAAACGTAACAGAAAAGAAACGGAAAGTCTGTAAATTGAATACAATTTTTAAATGCACTTTTGGAATGTATTATGCTACCTAATCGGAGCTCGGATGCCAAATCTGTAAATTCCTGCTACGTCCTTTTTCCCTTTTTCGCTCCAGTTCTTCTTCAATTCATTCAACCATTTGTTCTACATCACTTAGGTTTAAGTGGTGAGCAAAAACATTTTCCTCCTTAAATAGCTTTTGTGTGTTTTTAGCTCAATTTTAACGAAAAAATAGATACCCGCATACTTTGGGCAGGTTAGTTAAGGTCTGCCTTTTGAAATCCAAATCTAGCTTCATCTTCATGGTAAAATTATTTAAATAAGTCTGTAATTACCAATGACATTGCATAAGAAGCAAAGTTACTGACAGTTAAAAACCATTACATCATCCCATAAATTAAAAACCTAAATCGCTCAAGTAAGGGTGTCAAACACGAGTCCACCCAAATTCCGTTGTAGACCAACTGTGTTTTTCCCCCCAGCAGAACTTGACAAAATAATTCACCCAATCATTAATGTGCTGGGTAGCAATGGCAAAGCGATGGGTTCAAGTAGAAGAAACTATATAATTAACATGCGCATCATCATTGTAAAAAAATATTAAATGTAGAACATAAACTCCATGGAAACAGAATTTTGTTTTTCTTTAAAAAATATTTAATAGAAGATGCCAAATCCGTTTGTAACCGCAACCAAGAATAAATTAGAAAATAATAAATGAATTTAAAAAAAAAAAGAAAAAAAAAAAAGAGAAAAAGATGCCCAAAAAAAATCTGTAATGAAGGCACTACATGCGCAGTATGTCCTTCTGCCAGCTAAATACAATACATCATCATTTCTTCTTTCCCTTGCTGTCCAAAATTCGCACCATCGTCTTCGTCTTCCGGTCTTTCTCTTCTCTGCTCTGCTGTGTATCTCCCTCTGCAAAAAAAAAACTCACTCCCATTCTCTCCATTCTCGAACTGCGAGCTCAATTCTCTGCTAAACAACTTCAACGAAGAAACCCAGAAAGGAAAAAGAGCAGAAAGAAGAGAAGACCCAGAAAGACGACATGTCGTCTTCAGACGAGGAGGGGTCAGGGGAAGAGTACCTGTTTAAGATCGTGATAATTGGAGACTCGGCGGTCGGGAAATCGAACTTGCTGTCTCGCTATGCGCGCAACGAGTTCAATGCGCACTCCAAGGCCACAATTGGGGTGGAGTTTCAGACACAGAGCATGGAAATCGATGGCAAAGAGGTCAAGGCTCAGATTTGGGACACTGCTGGCCAAGAGCGCTTCAGGGCTGTCACCTCTGCCTACTACCGTGGCGCTGTTGGAGCTCTCATTGTCTATGATATCACTCGCAAGACCACTTTTGAGAGCGTTGGTCGCTGGCTCGATGAGCTCAAGAGTAAGTTGCTTGCTTACTTGGGACATTTGCTGTTTTTGCTTTTGATTTTGGTGCTATGATTCTTGAGCTATGAAATGCTAAAGTATGGAGAATTTTGAAATTTGTGGTGGTTGAGTTTGTGGGTTTGTGTTTGTTTTTTCTGTTTGTCGGTTTGGTGGCTTTTTGGGTTTGATTTGGGTGGATATGACTTTAGATCTAAGCTTATGATGATAAATTCTATGGTTGAAGACTTCATTTTGAAGAAAGCTTTATTTCTTTTTTGTTTTTGTTTTTGGGTGGTGGTTTAAATTCTCTTAAACTTGAAAGAAGGTTCTGCTTATGTTGACTAGAATATGTATGCTTTCTTTTAAATAGGTTCCAGGAGCCAATGGTATAAATAATTCTGGCTGTAGAATCTAGGCCTTAGGTGCATCGTTTGGCTAGTTGAGAAAATCCAGATAATTGGATGGTTTTGGCCGTCTTATTGTATCTGATTTAGGGATTTGATAAAGATCAAGACACATCCACATTTAACACTTCGCGGTAGAATGTGTGTAGTGTGGCATGGGAGCTTTTGTAAGGGGGTATAATATTATTATATATAGGAACCTTTACGTTTGTAAGGAGATGTTTGATAGATAAACGATGATTGGCTGATTATAGCATCAGAGATATGAGTACTACGGTGGTACATCTGAAAGTAACAGTTTTGACCATCTGAATTTATTTGTGAAAGAGCATCAGCAAGTGTAAGGATGGCTCTTTTAGAACTCCTAATTGGATTTTTTAGAAAGGGTTCAGGGATGTGCTTTCCTATCAGACCATCTAGTTAACCAAATGTCTTGTATGGTATTTAGATACCTCACGAAGTTCTTATTAAAAAAGGTACCACATTAAGTTTATGCCTCTGTTAGTTGATCTTGTTATATGTCTGAATTAGGCTAGCAAGAACTCGTCATTTAATCTCCAGTGTCCCCTTATTTCCAAAAATTCAGTCAACCTTATTGTAAAGCTCCTTTTATGGTTTAGCAGGGGTTCCATCTCTACCCTATTTCTTTTCTGAAAAATTCAAACTTTACAATTAAAGTTAATTAAAACAACTTCTTTTCATTTTCCAATAGTCAAATACAGTCTTTCTATTGTATTGTGCTGGTGAACTGCTTGTCCATTGTTAATGTAATTGTTATGTTCTTAGTTTTTTTTTTTAAAACAAACAAACAAACATACGATACTTTCAGTAGTGAAATACATTAGGTTTTTTGCGCCCACAATGGCACTCCTTTATTTTCAACCCTTTCTTTTTCCCTCCCTTTTTTTTTTTTTTTTTTTTTTTTTTTTTTTTTTTTTTTTTTTTTTCGTTTCTTTTTCCTTATGAAATATCTTTTTTTGCGTCTATTCATGGTTTCTTGTGTTAGCTACTCCTCTCCAACCACTCGCAGGTTCACACAACCATTCTGTGCACTTTCTTCGCATAAGCTTTTCCTTTAGGTCTTTTTTCTTGTGTGCTACATCTTCATGATGGTTATGATCAAGCCATTTCTTTTGTTAACATTATTAATTCCTTTTTTGCCATGGTCACTTAGTTTCTTTGAGTTAGGATTGATCACCAAGTTGTTGTTTTTTGTTAGTTGTTAGGTGAATTTATTTTCTCTTCATTTAAACCCTGCATGGACCATCCCCTTGTGAAACAATTTATGAAAAGTATTAATTTAATCTAACTTAAGCACTTCTGAATTTTTTTGACAAACTAGTAACAATACAGGACTCCTCCCTATGACAAACTAGTACCATTCACTTAATTTCCTGCTCCCCAAAAAGTTTTTCAAGCAGACTACTTCTCTATTTAGTGTACCAATCCAGTCCATCCACCTCAAACTGCACCTCTTAATCTTTAGTATAATGCCTGTATACAATGCCTACCATCCCCACATCAACCCCACCTCTCCTCCAAAAAAAAACAAATAATCCTTTCCAGTTTTTTTATATATTTATTGATTTAGTGACCTTCGCTCTTGTTTTATGCTCCAAGGTAACTTCTTTCAAGCCCATTTCCCTAAAAAAATCGTCAGCGTTCATACTCTATATCATTCTCCCTTCTTCAACTTTTCTTTTTTAGTCAAATATATTAACACTAGCCCAACAAGGACCTTACACATTTGAAAATCACCACTATCTCATCTCTCATCTGGAGGAATGATACTGTATAATGCCACATGTTAACTTAAATATCTCACAACATGAACTGTAAATTTGGTCCTTCAACAACAGTTGTTATGCGACCTTGAATCTTAACCATAAAAACCAACATGGTGTCAATCACTGTATATGAATAAATGAGTATTGAAGATTCTATTTTCTTTTGGATTATTCTGTATGGCTTGTCTGATCTACAGATGCAGCATTGCATGCTTTGCATAGCTTGGAAATCTCGATTGATCTTCAATCTTGAGATTTTTGGTCCACTGGTAGATAAAATTGTACCAAACCTATGGCTTCTAAAATCAAATATGAAGGAATCTCTGATGTCCAATAGACAAATTAGAAAAAAATTCTGGCATCACACCGAAGGTTTCTTGGAATTTCTCCAAGCCAAGCTGTGATTCATGCACCAGTTCCGTCAACAACTCTGTTTTTTTTAGTATCCACTTTTTATAAGGTCATAAGTGCATGGATCTGGAAAGATCCATATTAGTATACTTAGGAACTCTAAAGACATTACCTAATACATTAATCATCTGACCTAGAGAGTAAGAAACAAGAAAGACCCTCTTTTATTATACTTTTGAACTTGGCCCCGGCATCAAGTTGTGATGAACCATTTTTAGGTATGATGTGAGATCTTTCTTCATTAGGAATTCAAATCATGAAATATGTGCATGAGATATGGTGTCTCATTAAAAATGATGTGGTGGCATCCCGAAGTGGTGCCAGTTGGTCAGCTTATAAAGTTTCTTGTCGTCATACTCATACAACAAACCTAGGATTGGTTCTGCCCTAAACAGGAATTTAGGGTGTTTAGAGATATGTGAGGGCTTCTACTCACAGCATGGCACATAAAGCCAATGGGTCTCCAGGACCCAAATTTCTAGCAACAGTTCTGTTGTAGTGAAAGCAATACTGTCTTATCAAGAAATACATACCTTGTGTAATATATTTGTACCTTGCTATTATTTTATGTTTGAATGATTTTGTAAGCTGAGTTTTCTTGTCAGCTCTCTTTCGTGTCCCTTTTCTTCAATAAAGATAGCTTGGATTGTAATAACTGATTATGTATATCATTTAATTTGTTTTACTGCATGTATTTAGAGAATGTATCCTTGTTATTGTTTCAATATCCATATTGCTCAACTCTTTGCTTATTGATGATTACTTTTTGGTTGCCATAATCTCCATTTCTTGTTTTTTCACTAATTCTTTTATTATGCTCTTGGGGTTTGATGTGTTAATTATTTGAGCTTGATTAATCAATGCTGCAGCCCATTCGGATACAACTGTGGCAATGATGTTAGTGGGCAACAAATGTGATTTAGAGAATATTAGGGATGTCAGTGTTGAGGATGGTAAAAGCCTTGCTGAAGCAGAGGGGTTGTTCTTCATGGAGACATCTGCCCTGGACTCAACAAATGTTATAAAGGCATTTGAGCTTGTTATTCAAGAAATATATAACAATGTCAGCCGGAAGGTCTTGAACTCAGACACTTACAAAGCAGAATTATCCGTCAACAGGGTAAGCCTCGTTAATAACGGGGCAGACGGATCAAAGAAAAGTCAGGGCTACTTTTCTTGCTGTTCCGGGTGATATGGTTTATGTCTCTGAAAAACGTGTAGGAATGGGCACTTGAGGGCATTTCCAGGGCTGGTTATTCAATTTGGTTCAACAATTGGTTTGTTTGTTTGGTACTGGATATCTACTTGAAGGTTTCCAAATAAGTCAATATTATACAAAGAAAACGTTATCTTTAGTTCATGTAAAACAAGTCAGTTTTCTTTTACTCTGGATACAAGCCATGTAACTGCTAGAAAAAGAAGGCAGGCACCCATTTTGTTTTGTGTGATTGTATTTGTTTGGGGTAAGCATATTAAGTTCAGCAAGTAGACAGAAGTTGTATGTGATTTTATAGTGCAGTGAAGAAAACATCAAATGATGTTATTCTGATTTGGGACATGCGCATTTATCAAAGAAAATATTTTAACAGACTTTCTTTTGTGAAATTCGTTCTGTGATTTGAATCCTAGAAGTTTTATAAAGTGTTTTTGCCAGCAGGTTGTATGCGATTTTCTAGTGAACTGCAGAAAAAGGAGTCAAACCTTTTACTTGTTCATGGAAACATGTTTTTACACAGCCACTTTCTTTTATGAGGTGTTGTCTGGTGAGCTGATTAAGTTGGCAGCTACATTCTTTGAATTTCGCCAATCCAGTTGTATGAGATTTTCTAGTAAAGAAGCTTAAAGTGCACATTTGCAACCAACCATTCTGATGTGGCCTTGATTGATGATTGTATGCCAGCATATCCTCTCTTTTTCTCTTTTTCTTATTTTGGCTTGGATTCTTTTTCTTTTCCTGGTATGTAGGAAAAATTAACGCGGTTGCCAAGGTTATAAGATTGGTTGCTAACCAATTTATCTGCGTAATGAACAATAATGATACGGTAACGAACAATAATGATACGGTCACCAAATTTGCGAGGAAGTAGAAAATTTGATGGTAAATTTGTGAAGGAAGAGAAAACTTGAAGGCACTAGTTTTGTGTTGAGGGATCAATATCTACCTGTTCACATCTTGGAATGAGTAATGAGATGGCAGTTGGTTGCTTGCTTGCCTAACCTCACTTCTCATTTTGCCACAAAGTTGAAATTTTTCAATGGTGCACCACCGCCCCAAAGATCCGTGTTCTAGCACAAATCAACCTTTGTCACAAAATTCAACTCTTTAGTGTGTCTGAGAAGTGGTTCTAGCAATCACATTGTAGGTGGAAGATCAGTTTGGGGTTTTAGATATGATTGAGAACCCAACTCACAAGAAAAAGCCAACCCTACCACTATTTCCACCACCATCAAAACCCAATAGAAAAGAAATCACCAAGACAATGCCAAAGTAAGCAAAATCTAATCAAATTCAAACCATCAATTACCACAAAGATTACTTTTAAGACAAAATACAATAAAAATAAAAAGCATAACTTGTTGAAAGAAAAAGAAAAAAAATCAACCAAGATAAGCTGACCCACCATCATGACTTCAGTGGGTAACCAGCATAAGCTTGGAATCTTCTAGAAGCTTTTGCCCCTAATGTCTGTTGAAATCTTTCTTTTCACTTCCCACTCAATTGCTTATATGGATGGAGATAGTGACACTGATAAAGATAGTTGCTTTATCTTATTCTTCTTCTGTTTGCCCTCACATTTTCTTCTAGAACTTGAGGGGTTTTAATCCATTTCTCCCTCTTTTTTTCAAATATTTTTTTTTGGGTTCCTCAAACTCATTGAGACCTCCAAGACTTGGCCATTTCAAATCCATTCTGGCCATAATGATAATCCTGAATAGTTTGGTTAATTTCATCCTGTGAGTTCATCACAAAAGGCCCATGCTGAACCACTGGTTCATTGATGGGTTGCCCTCCCACCAACACAAATCTCAACGGCTCTGATGACTTGTTGCAGACACTTAGACCATCTCCAGGACCCAAAACAAGCACATGATGAGCTGATGCATGCGTTGACCCAAACACACCTTCTCCTTCAATTATGTATACAAAGGAAGTCCAGGTTTCTGGTATGCTTTGATGAAGTTGAGCTTTGGGTTTTAAGGTGAAATCGAAGAACAATGCCGGGGTTCGGGTGAAAACAGGGGAGCTAACTCCCATTGTTTCTCCTGCTATAACTCTGACTTCAACTCCATCTTTCTCTGCCCTCCTTATGTCCTTACTTAGGAGTTCTTGATATCTTGGCTCAATCCTGCAAAAACAAATAAATACATAAGTAACAGCTTCTTTATTCAATTTAGAACACCATGACCGATTCCACTTTCAATCAATTGAAAATTTAATTCAATTCAAACTCCTTGAAATAAATAAACATATATATATGGAGAAGTGGGGATTCAAACTTACAACATTTTAAAATCAAGTGGAGAAAAATACTACTAAATCAATGGTTAGTTAAATAAAAAAAATTTGAAAATTGGCTCTCTAAAATGGTTTTATTTTGCAGATCGGTGATCTTATATTCAAACCCTTATGACAACTTAGTAGATTGTATGCGAGAAACCCCCTCCCCTTGTAGTCTAGACTATCGCTTGTATTCACACAAAAAGTAAATCGACTTTTTACTCACAAATCTATAAAAATGTAATGTACACCACTTTCAATCCCTCAGTAACATTGTAAGTGCCTTAGAGTAGAGGCAGATGATGAGGAAAGAGATGGAAGAAGAAAAAGAAAAAGGTTTTAGTAAATCAATATAAGTTAAACAAACAAACTTTAGTTTCTTTTGTATTATTACTTGAATTGTTAATAGAGTTCCACCGAAACCACATGTAATGAGCATTCCATGGTCAACTGTTTAAATTTAAAGATACAGAAACCAGATGTACCCAAAAAAATAAAATAAAAAGGCAGGCGTGGTGAGTTGGCCACATATTGGGCATTATAATTTTATGCATAAATGGTCAACTGGGGCCAGTGTGAATACAAAACAGTTTTGGAAATTTCGTTTGGCAATATACTACGAATATTATGTCAGCCTACAAAAAGGATCCAGATAGATCCAGTTTACACACAAAATTACAGATACCAGTCATATTCACCGAATATAACGTCAACATTTCCACAAAACCTACACCTTTTGATTGGGAGAAAAAAAACAAAATTACCACTCTTTATCCTAATATCATCAACCACTTTTATCTCTCAATTCATTCACCTATCCTCTCAAAATATTCCTAATTTTAACTTCTTCTTAGAAAATCTCGACAGTACGGGAGAAACTTTTGTTAAACACCAAAGAGAAAATGGGAGGACTCGTTTGACAATAGAACCGACTTTGAATCTTTTTTAACATTGGAAAGAAAATTACCACTAAATCAAGAACTGGTTAATCCTAATTTTAACTCTTAATTAGTTTTTATTGTTCAATATGTTTAAGTTCTTAAAATAGGCTATTGTGACGTTGTTGTTGGCCTCATCAGGGCCAGCCATTTGCTAGTCTCCCAAGAAGTGGCCAGTTGCGACTGGCCTCCAAAGGAGACTGACTGCAAACCAGTGCCTCCAAAAAAAAATTTCAGCCATGGCTGCCTTATTTTTATTCTAAAGATTAATCCTTTAAAGTATTAGTAGAAACGGGGTAGCAACAACACCAAATAAAGAGACAAAATTATCATAGACACCATAAATTTTGTGCTGTGGATGAAAAGAAGAACGAGGAAGTACGTACATTTTGTCTTTGCGGGATAGATTGATCCAGAGCTGCAAGCCTGTGTTGGGTCCTTCTCCTGCAGGCATTTCAGAATGAACTATACCTCTGCCTGCTGTCATCCACTGCCACAAAATCACATCCAAGACAGCTTAATACATGTCCAATGATATAAAGATTACTGATAGAATCATCAATATTATGTGATAATTCTTCTTTGATTTTGAATTTGAGTCTACTTCGAAGCTCGTTTATTTCCAACAAGTAAGATATTGATACGTATACGAACACACAATTTGTTTTACGAAGAAAAAAAGAAATTTGGTGAATAAATTTAGTGATCTTAGCATTATGAAATCAATAGTTACCTGCACATCCCCTGTCCAGATTGTACCCTTATGCCCTGCAAAGTCTTGGTGAGTGATGCCTCCCTGAAACCCCAGAAAATTATAAATTTGATTCTTAATAATGAAATCAGAAATCCAAAATTCATTTTTTTCTATTCTGAAAAAAAAAAAAAAAAAAAAAAAGAAAAAAAAAAAAAAAAAAAAAAAAAAAAAAAAAAAAAAAGTAGCATGTAGGTGACAGTCTCAAAACCTCTGTGAGGATGATCAGGAAATCCGGCAGGAGGGGATACTGCAAGATCAAAACAAAACAATGTCAACACAAAATCAATCTCATCATCCAAAATGGAACTGAGACATGAAAATTAATGACAAAGTTTACAGACATGTAAGTATATAATATACCTGAAAAGTCATCTAGCATGAGAAATGGATCCAGGTTCCTCAAATCACGGCTGCAAATCAAATGCCCAAGAAACAGAATTAATCCACAAAGCAAGCACCCAGAAGTCGAAAACTTAAGAACACAAGAACCCATAAATTGAAACGAGGAAATGAAATCCCAAAACAGAGCAGAGGAAATATGAAAAGAAAAGAAATGAAAAAAAAGATGAAATGGGCAAAAAACCATGAACCAAACCTTCCAATGGCTCTCCTGACAGTAGCTCCATCGCCCTCAGATTGGGACTTGGCGAGGACCTTCTTGACCACCATTTTTGGGGAGGTAAAAGCAGGGGATTGATGATCCGATTCAGACATGATGTTTCTGATAATGGAAGGAACAATGGTTTTGATGTGGCGGTTGTTGGGTTTGGTAAACAGTAAATTGCTGTATCTTGTTGTAGCTATAGAAATAATATCTCTCATAAAGCTGCTGCTGCTTCTTTTATAAGGGTTTTGGTGTACAGCTTGAGAAGTTGGATGCGTGTCTTTATAACTTCCATGATACGATATATATAACGACTTTGAGCCTTCCCTTTGATGCGCAGCAGTGTGGAAGAGAAAGCAGCGGAATGGAAAAAAAAACCAAAGAAAAGGCTTTTTATTTTTATTTTTTTAATTTGTTTGATTTTTTTGGGGAGGTTGGGTTGGTTGGGTGACTGGGTCTGATGCGGGGGAAAATATGGGAGTGGGGACCACATGGCCTCCTTGGACCAATCATGATTGGTGATGTCAAGCTCTTGTCACCATGAGGTTAGAGGATGTGAGCATTGGAGAAGAAGATGAGGACATTGCCTTGACCTTTTTGTTAAATACATATTTATCTTCTCTCATCTTTCTTCTTTCTTCTGTCAAGTGTGAAACTGAAATATGGGATTTGACCTACTCATATGGACATAGAGCATTCAATTATTCACCCTCCCGTCATCTGCTCACTCTCTTTAGGTCATCAAACAATAAATCATTTTCAAAACCTTCCCATAAAGTTTCTAAACTGTTCACCTCAACAGAATCTCAATCATCAATGCACGATTTTTATTCTATTATTAGGAAGATTACAAATTTCATCATATTTTAAGGTGTGAACTCTCAGAATTTCAGAAATAAAATTTAATGAATTGTGATTAATTTGCATAACACGTCTCTCTAACAACTACAAACGCGTTCACATGCAATACAAATTCACATTGTACAAAATCCAAGGTGGTGGAATATGGAAATGGAAGAGGAAAGAGGGCATAAATTCTCTCTCTATTTCTATGTCTATACTATATTTCTATTTTTTTTATCCAATAAAGAACTTTCATTCATTTGGAACCAACATCAATACAACAAGAAATCCTGGAATCTCTAGGTGCTTCAATGTGGCCTCGTTAAAACTTTGTCATAAAAATCGTCAATTGAGGAAATCTGATCAAGAAAAAAGAGTACCATAACACCACAACACAAATTCAAAACTGACATTTATATTATTTCTATTTACTTTTAAGGGAATGCTAGTAACCCTCTCTCCAACAACCTTCTTTCCAACCTTCTCTTTTGGACCTTCTCCCTTTTCCTCATGACATATGTCACTTTCCTTACACTAAAAATAATGTAATTAATGCATCAAAAAAGGTAACATTTGTTTCCAAATTTACCCTTATTTTTTGTATTGATTTTAATGTTTCCTTAAATTTATTATCCAAATTTATTACAATGTTCTTATCACCTTGTTAAAAAATTAAATAAGAAAAAACATTAGTTTTTTTTTTTCCTGAAAGACTCCAACAAATAAGACTTACCTAATTAATGGTTTAGAAAGAAAAAAAATATATCAATAATTAGACTTATCGAATTAATGGTTTGAAAATGCAATCAATGAACTTCCTTTTAAAACAGACTCATTAGAAGGACGTCTTTTGTCTGTATAAAAAAAAAGGATATATCTTTTGTGGATTTTTTTTAGGTCATTATTGTGTTTTTTTTTTAACCCAAAAAACCTCTAAAAAAATAGACATTTCCTTTTAAAAAAACAGAAATTTTTTAATTTAATTTTTTACATACAATAAGAGAATTATAAAAAAAATAAAAAAAAATAAAAAAGGATAAATTGAAGGACAATACATTTAATAAGGGTAAACTTGGAAAACAAAAGGTGGTTTGTTTGATGTATTAATGTCATTATTTTAAGTGTATAGGAAGTGACACATGTCATGAGAAAAAGGGAGAAGGTCCAAAAGAGAAGGTTGCTAACATTCCCCTTAATTTAATGGCATGTTTACTAATCTGTAATTAGATTATGAGAAATTGAATTGAGGAGGAGTTTGATTGAGGAGAATTAGATTACGGATTCCTATTGAAGTTGTTTACTAAACCATATGGAATTGGAGTATGAGTGGTATTAATTACTAAAATGTCCTCTTGGGTTAAAGTAGATGCCAAATTTGGAATTTTTAAAATTATGTGAGGATATAATAGGTAAAAAAGTTGAATTCATAATGAGTTAGTTCTCCAGGAATTAGAATATCACCTCCCACCTAAGAATTGAATTTATTCCTAATTTTGTGTGGGCCACACTTAGCTTTGATTTTATGAGTTTTGGTACTACACGTTACACTATGATGCAATTTACTCAAAGTGGCATAGCTTTAGTGATACAAATGTGATCGACATGTATTGATTTTTATTAGCTTGTTTAATGTGATGCCTTTAAGAACTTTGTTTTGAAGTAAAACGTTTGTGGGTGTTGTAACTGGTAAATCCTCAGGAGACACAACTCCTCATACTAGGGACACCTAGAGGTTTACCGGCTTGTGGCACATGCTAAGTGCCAATCAAGATTACATGCAAAAGTGGTTTAGTTAGTTTTTCGTTTTGTTTTTGTTTTTGTTTCTAGTTTTGCTCGGAGACTAGCAAAAGATAGGTTTGAGGTAGTTTGATAAGTGCATTATTTCCTACATTTTTATACTTTTTATATTTGGTTTTTGAGGTAGTGTATGACCCGTGCTCATTTTTGTACCCATTCGATAACAATGGAAGCTTGTGTTTCTGCGCTAGAAGCTTATAATTTTAAAACCCAACTCCTTCTAGAAGCAATTCAGCGTCTTCTTGAGGAGAAATTCACTCGTCTTGAGACATGATTAATTCAATTGATTCTCATTGTGAGGGTTCTAATTCGCCCCTTACATCTGATGTCAATGATGTGGTGACTGATTTCGGCGACGTGGAGAGAAGGAAAATGGGTTTTTGATGCATCATGAATCGATTTTGCTGCCCAATTTTGATGAAGACATCTTTGAGAGTCCTTATTGCAAGAGTGAGAAGACTTATCTACTTCCTGTCTCTGTTGGTACTAGTGTTTTCAAAGGCATGCCTTCGCGCGCGTCGGCGCGAGGCGGGAGGAAAACGCCCGAGGTGGTCAGCTGTTTCACGAGTTGCACGTTTAGCGCTAGGAAGGTGGGAGAAGGCGTTGCAAGGCGTGGCCAGACGGAGCAAGGCATACCATATCTGAAAACTTCTGAACCGGAAGAAATTTGAGTCTGCAAATTTTCTGCAAGGAAGACGACCTCGTGAAGAAGACGACTCGAATTTTTTTTTTTAGGTTTGTAATGAAACGACATCGTTTTGATTGCAGTGTTTTAAAAACAATCTTACAGTGAAATGACATCGTTTCACTTGGGGTATGTTGAAAAAATAAAAAATGCAAGTTTCAGTTTTTTATTTCCTTACCTTTATTGTAACCTTTAAGGCAACAATTAATATATTTCTTTCTTTTTTTCCTAACTCCAACCGGCTGTAGCTTTTTGTACTTACCTTTTTTTCTTTTTTTTTCCTTTCTCTAAATTAATATATTAATACATGGACTATATATATTGTATAGTACGTGTACAACCCTAATTTCTACCCTTACCAGATAACTCCATCAATTTCAAGAATTCTCTTCAAATATTGGTGAATGAAGGAGGTCAAAGATTGATCCAATATTGGTGAATGAAATTGAGTCCGATGATGAAGTATAATACGGCACTAAGAGAGAGAAGTATTAAAAGATTGTATTTAAAAGACAGTTAGTACTTATATTTGATTATATTTAAAAGATTGTTATGGTTAAATAAGAATTAGTTGTAAAATTTAATCGTATTGTATTATTCATAAATTTTTCTTATTAAAATAACTTAATGTTCAAAAGGCTTACGCCTCGCATAGCGCTACTAAAAACGCCTCGTCTTTGAAAACATTGGTTGGTACATTCATGCCATCAGAAATCACCACGCCTAGGGATGCTGTGCACATCCAAGTTGACAACCAATGGGAAGCATTTTTTGTAATTAAAGTGGGATTTGTTGGTTTTCAACTGTTGGTGTAAGCGACATCGCTGATTCTGGAATCACTATTCACACAAGGTTTACATGCTTACTTGTCTTCTTTTTCCATCAGTTTAGTTCAACAAATTATTGGGTGTTTTTTGTCTTTGAAGAATCTTGATCCAGAAGCTTGGAAGCAATTGGGTTTTCGGGTTCATACTTATGGCAGATCACCACATGCTCTCCGCCTATTTGCTTGAAATGCCACACTCATGTTGGGGATGCAATGATGGTAATGTAATTCTTGATTTTGATCTTGGCTCCCATATGGGCATTCAAGACAAATGTGGTGGTGCATTTCTCAAAAGTTACTTCATTGGAGTGCTGATGATGGAGTTTCACTAGGCCTTGTACTTGCTTTGTCATGTTTCTATTCAAGAACCATTTGCTATTTCTTTACAATTTCCTACCAAACTGGCAAATTTACATTGTGGGTTGGGTTTGCTTTGTGCACGAGCATACTTGTGCTAAGAAGCAATTCTTGTTGCTTGTTGTGGAGGGTGATGATTTTGGAAGTGAATGGGTTAATTTTGAATTGCAGCATATTGAAGTGACTGCTTGTGTTTTCTTTGGCACACCAACTCCAAAATCGATCGAGGCTATGAAGGTTCATCATCGTAGGACCTTGATAACACATGTGGAGCTTATAAAATTGATTAAAGAGCATGCCTTTTCAGAATATTTTCATATTTCATTGCTCAACTTGAAGCTGCTTTCAATTCCAAATGAATCCTGTTGCGTTTCTCTAGCACCTTTCTGTTTTTCTTCTAATAAGTTTCCAATACTTGTAAACTTAGTTTCAAAGGGAGAGGTAATGATAGGAATCTCCATGGCAACTTGTTAGTCATAATTCCAGAATTTCATCCTTGAGGACAAGGATTATTTTGGTAGGTAGGATAATGATAGGAATCTCTATCTGAGATAGCACTATGGTTTGTTAACCATTAGCAGCTAGGCTATGGCTAGTTGAGAGTTGGTTAGGTTAACTCTATATTAACTGAGAGAGTTTGTATTGAGAAGTTATGTTAAGAAATATACATAATTGTTCTTTGGCTCTCTCTGTTCTTGGTCAATTCCTAAGGTTGAAAGATAGAGTCTTATCATGCGCTCTTGGAAGGGTTTTGACTGAAAATTGACTTTTCGAATAAATTTTAGCGCAAGGCTAATTGGAGAAGAAAAGTAAGACATTGAATATCATTGTGCCAAAGTTTCATAATTTTCTATCAAGCCAATTGCTCCAGACTTGCAAGTCAATACAACCTAAGTTGAAATCCCGTCAAAACTGCGCTGCTGTGGAAGATTGAAGAGTTGAAGACTTTCTCGATTTTGCCTAGTGGCATGTGATATATTCTCGGAAAGCTTAGAGATCAAGCTACATTTCTCATATTTTTTTTTCAGAATTTTCTAGGTAGTGGAACGACCCCAAAATGTGCGTGCAAATTTACTAATGTGTTTTCTAGTCAAAGAAGGATTCTTTGCTAGTTTGTTTCCTTATTTTTTTAGGATATTAGTTTGCTTTGGGAGAATTTTTTCAAACCTTTTTAGAGTAGGGTTTAGTTATTTTACACTATATAAGGCCACCCTAAGCTCTTTCTATGATAGACCATATACCTTTTCACCATCTTTCAATACACCCACAAATATATCAAAGAGAGAGAGAGAGCCAAGAGTTTGGTGCTGCGGTGCTTTTGGAGCTTACAAAGATGTTGCTACGGAGATTCCAAAGATCAAGTCGTTCGGCCTAATTGGTTTTATGACAATGATTATTCTGTTTATCTTTTCTTTTGTCACGAACTAATTTCCCTTACTAGGGCTACGATGTAGCCTAACCATGAATACTTAATTTTTTTTTATAGTTACATTAATTTCTGATTACTATTCCATGTTGAGTATTTGTTAAATTTCTTAATGCTTTAAATATCTAGCAAATATTTAATTGATTTGATGATCCAAGCGGAGACCGAGAAGAGATGTTTGGGGCCCAAGGCCCATCTTTTGACAATTAAATATATATATTTATTACCCAAACCATGATGAGGCCCAACTTTGCCTCCATTAAACCCATACCCTATTAGTATTTCTAAAGTGTTGGTGCTTATAAACCAAGGAAGGAAACAACTCACTTCCAACGTGGAACTAAATGCAAGTGTATTTTTCCTATACAAGGCTCTCATAGAACTTAATGGATTCTTGATTTTTTAAATCCGTTGCTCAAGAGAGAATGAGTTGTTAATTGAGAATACTTTTGGTTGAGCTCGAGAGGGGACATCGAATAAATTAGGAGAAACCAATTGTCAAAATGGGTAGTAATTAGGGTTAATTGGCTATATGAATTAAGTGAAATTGGTTATGGTGAAATTGGATGGTCTAGTGTCTCCTCAACTTGATTTTCTAAATCGTTACTTAGATTGTTATTTTTCATATTCGTTTTAATTTAATTTAAATAGATAAATCACTCTCCTTAATCAATTGTTCAAATAAACTTTTTAATTAATCATAATTGGTAATTAATATGAAAGTATAGTTTTCATGGAAACGACACTTCACTTATTTCAATATTACTATGGATTGTGCGCTTGCAATAATTTTACAACATAAGATAGTAATGGGTGCTAACTAAATGAATTGGAGCCCAAAAGGCCCCTCTTCCAAGAAAAAGGAGTTGGATCAAAAGGAGTGTGGTCCAAGATGAGGCATGGGCATGGCCTGCCTTGCCTCTGGTCCGGCCCTAGTCCCAAAGGGTTGTTCCAAGTCCAACATTAGATGTTGCTAGAACGATGGTTAATCCTACTATGTATGGGAGCTAGCAGGAGTTAAAATTCCACCTATAGGAGATGAAAAGATATGCATACATAATACATGGGGATAAAAGATCATTTTCAAGGTATCACACTTCATACTTCCTTTCTTAGTATTTGAATACTAATTTGAGCATTATAGTCTTTTTGAAAAATTATCTCGTATACATGGACTTAGCTAAGTTGGCTAAAACAGATATACTCCCTACTCTGCACTCAAGTTTGAATTATCCTCTCATAATTTAGATTAGATTAAAATAGAGTATCATTTGTATTAAAAATAATAATAATAATTATTATTATTATCTCAAAAGGCCCATAGCTTCCATATTTATTGATAACTTCCATCCACTATCAACAATTTTTCTATGTATTATGTAGGCTACTTTGCATGCCAAAGAGCTCCCCAAAAAAAAACCTTCAACAAAGAGAATGACTATTGACTGCACATTAGGGTTAAATGAACTGGGTTGATGCGGTCTATGTGTTAAAGGATGGCAATGGGCAAGAGGGCTCTGTCACCTCCGTAGTTTCAAACATATGTACAATAACATGCCATTGTATATAAATATTGCAAGAAAACTCTCATATTTACATTAATGGCCCTCCAAACAAGTATATGGTATGTTAAATTTAATCAGTCAAACTAAAGTTTGTTCTTTATATTTTGGCCCATTATATTTAAAATCCTAATTCCGTCCGTGGCCATGGGTGGTCATCAAGTCCGTATTAAGCCAAATTTGTGTATGTACATATTGTAACTTGGCCTCCACCAAAACTCACACACAGACACGACACTAATCTTGAGAGAGAGTGGACTTGGCGAAGATCATTTTGTTTTTCATCTTGTATTGAATTCCCCACCAATACTGTACACAAATCACGTGTTATAATACGACTAAACAACAAAGTTGATATTTTTCACAACGAGCATATAAGGTTTCAGTTGATATTTTCGCTCTATCCAAAACGAGCCGAATATCATATGATTCTCCCATCCTATGCGTTTATGGCCATACCTTTTAGAACACATATTATTCTTCCTCTTCTTCTTCACCATTCCATATAATTCTCAGCCAAATCCAAATAAACAGAAAATCCCAAAGACTAAAATCAGAGATGGGATTTGAAAATGAGCATATTGTGATGCTGCCATTCATGGCTCAAGGCCATCTCATACCATTTCTAGCACTAGCAAAGCAAATCCAGCAAAGAACAAACTTCACCATCACCATTGCCTGCACCCCCCTCAACATCCAGTCCCTCCAATCCACCACCTCACCAAACAACAACACCATCCACTTGGCTGAGCTTCCATTTTGTAGCACAGACCATGGCCTTCCCCCCAACACTGAAACCACAGAGAACCTGCCTCTCAAACAAGTGGTCAATCTTTTTACTGCATCCCTCAGCCTTGAATCTCCTGCTCGCCGCCTGATCTCCGGCATCATCGACAAAGAAGGCCGCCCTCCGCTTTGCGTAATCTCCGATGTGTTTTTCGGATGGGCTAATGATGTTGCAGACAGCTTAGGCACTGTCAATGTGAGCTTCACCACAGGTGGTGCTTATGGCACCGCAGCCTACATCTCCATTTGGCTTAACCTCCCACACCGCTCTACACACAAGGACTTCTTCACCCTGCCCGGGTTCCCGGAACGGTGCCGTTTCAATATCTCTCAGCTGCATCCATTTTTAAGAGCTGCAGATGGTACAGATTCTTGGTCAAGATTTTTCCAGCCCCAAATTTCACTTTCTGCTAAATCTTTTGGTTGGCTGTGTAATACTGTGGAGGAAATTGAACCCTTTGGATTGGATATCTTGAGGAATTACGTGAGGCTTCCTGTTTGGTCCATTGGGCCTCTCATTCCTAGAGAGGCACTCAAGAACTCATCCACTTTGGATGTAAGTGTCTCAAGGCAACGTGCAGGAAAAAAACTGAGTTTTCCTGCTGAGAAATGCCTTGAATGGCTTGATTCACATGGTTCGGATTCTGTTATTTATATTTCTTTTGGTTCTCAGAACACAATCAGTGAAACCCAAATGAAGGAATTGGCTATTGGGTTGGAAGAAAGTGGGAGGGCTTTCATTTGGGTCATAAGGCCTCCTGTTGGGTTTGATTTGAAAGGAGAGTTCAGAGCAGAGTGGTTGCCTCAAGGGTTTGAAGAGAGAATGAGAAAAAGCAAACAAGGGTTGTTGGTGCACAATTGGGCACCTCAGTTGGAGATTTTGTCACACAAATCCACAAGGGTGTTTGTGAGTCATTGTGGGTGGAATTCAGTGATGGAGAGCTTGAGCCAGGGTGTGCCAATTGTTGGGTGGCCATTGGCAGCAGAGCAGGCTTATAATTCCAAGATGTTGGAGGAGGAGATGGGTGTGAGTGTGGAGCTGACAAGGGGTGTGCAGAGCAAAATTGTTGGGGAGGAGGTGAAGGGTGTGATTGATTTGGTGATGGATGAAAGCGGGAAAGGAGGAGAGATGAGGAAAAATGCTGCTGTGATTAAGGAGAAGATAAGAGCATCAATAAAAGATGATGACGAAGAAAAAGGGTCTTCTGTAAAGGCAATGGATGATTTTGTTGCTGCTCTTTTATCAAAGAGACAAGAATCATCAAAATCCAGTAACTCCATTGTTAGTAATTAGGTTTTTCTCTTGAAGAGAAATGAAAGAATCTTTGTAACTTTCAAGTCATTTGAGAAATGACCTATTGTTTGGAGTTCATTTTTTTTTTTTGGCCCTACTGTCATTTCTTATAGACTATTCATAGAGATGGGAGTCTCATAAACAAGAGATTGTCATTAATTTAAGGACATTCAAGAGAAAGCATTAAAAAAGATTGTTAATTGTGTGGATGCTCATAAACATCTTTGGGCACAACAAGTATATATCTTATTAACAACAAAAGGCAAACTCAATTCTGCCAATTGCTCTGTCTCTTACTCACTCTCTGTTATTTCGTTATACACACACACTCTCACTCACACACTCTCACTCACACTCTCTCTCTCTCTCTCTCACACACTCTCACTCACACTCTCTCTCTCTCTCTCTCTCTCTCTCTCTCTCTCTCTCTTTATGATTGGCTCTTGAAGTGTTTGGTTCTTACCTCTTTGATAAGAGGAAGATAGAGGACTGGAGAGAAGCTCTGCAGAAGCAGAGCAAGATTCGTACAGGTGATCTTCACGATGTGCTAAAGATAAGTTATGACGCACTAGACAAGCCAAACAAGTATATCTTCCTAGATATTGCATGTTTATTTGTAAAGATGGACATGAAGAGAGAAGATGCAATTAACATATTGAAGGGTTGTGGTTTTGCGGGCGAGATAGCCATTTCTGACCTCACAGCAAAGTCACTTATTAAGATCACTGAAGACAGTACACTGTGGATGCACGATCAGATTAGGGACATGGGAAGGCAAATCATTAGAGATGAAAACCTTTTGGATCCCGGCATGTGTACTAGACTGTGGGATTGCGATGAAATCATGAATGTCTTCAAGGATGATAAGGTAAAGATTCCAGCATGATAAATTTTATTCTAATAATTTTTATTGTTTATATATATTCATACCTACTTGACAATAGGGTACAAGACATATACAAAGGATAGTCCTAGACTTCGAATCAAGGACAATGAAGGTGAGGGATCCGGTTGGTGACAGAATTTCTTGGAATAACTTTCGAAGAGGCCCAACTTTTACCTTACATACGTTAAGGAAAGATACAAAGCACATCACCAAAATAAAGCAGAGAAAAAAAGAGAGGTTATAATTTGCTCAAAACCCCTTGCAGCAATGGTCAATCTTAGACTGCTTCAAATTAATTATGTGCATTTGGAAGGGGACTTGAAGTTTCTTCCTGCTGAGTTGAAGTGGTTACAGTGGAAAGGTTGTCCTCTGAAATCTCTCGCTTTGGATTTTTTTCCTCTCTGACTTGCCGTCCTTGATCTTTCAGACAGCAAACTTGAACATTTGTGGCGTGGGCGTGGTCACAAGGTACGTATAGGCTTAATTATCTGATCCATAATCTTCATTATTATTTTGACATTGTATGCATGTGCATGACTGATCTTTATTATTTTATCTTTCTATTTCCAGGTGGCTGAGAAACTGATGCTCTTGAATCTGACCGGCTGCTTTAATCTAACTGCTATTCCTGATTTATCTGGTAATGGGGCCTTGAAAAAGCTTATTCTTGAGCATTGCACCGGACTCACTAAGCTTCACAACTCTATTGGGAATTTGCAGACATTAGTCCACTTGAACCTTAGAGAATGTTCCAACCTCATTCAACTTCCAAATGATGTCTCCGGCCTGACAAAACTTGAGAACCTAATCCTCTCTGGTTGCTTGCAACTGAAACAACTGCCAAACAACATGGACCGCATGGTATCATTAAAAGAACTTCTCCTTGATGACACTGCTATAATAAGTCTTCCCGAATCTATCTTCCGGCTTACAAAACTTGAAAAGCTCAGTTTGAACAGGTGCAAATATTTGAAAGGGCTTCCCGACTTGATAGGAAAGTTGTGTTCTCTGAAAGAAATCTCCCTTAACAGGTGCGAAAAATTAGAAAAAATACCGAATTCGATGGGATCTTTGGCAAACCTTGAGAAACTAAGTTTGCTCTGGTGTACATCACTGAGCATTATTCCCGATTCAATTGGCAACCTCAAATCGTTGATGGAGTTTTATATTTACGGTAGTCCAATCAAAGAGCTGCCTGTGTCCATTGGTTCATTATCAAACTTGAAGGAATTATCGACGGGGAACGGTCAATTTTTGAGCAGATTGCCTGATTCAGTTGGAGGTTTGAATTCTCTAGTTGTGCTAAAAATAGATCAGACATTAATCACAGATCTCCCACATGAGATTGGTGCCTTGAAAACACTTGAGAAGCTTGAGAGCCCTAACTTCTATAATCATAACTGAAGCTGCTATCACAGAACTGCCAGAATCAATAGGGATGTTGGAAAATCTTACCATGTTACAGTTGGACAGATGTAAGCAGTTCTGTAAGCTTCCAGCTTCAATAGGACAGTTAAAGTCCTTGCACAGATTGCTGATGGTGGAAACTGCAGTGACAGAACTACCCGAAAGCTTCGGAATGCGTTCTTGTTTAATGGTTTTAAATATGGGAAAGAAGCATCAAAAGAGGGAAGACACAGAAGAGATTAATTTTATAGTCCCAGCTTCTTTCTCAAATCTATCCTTGCTATATGAACTGCATGCTCGTGCTTGTAATATATCTGGTAAAATTGCAGATGATTTTGAGAAGTTGTCATCACTCGAAATCTTGAATCTAGGCCGTAATAACTTTTCCAGCCTTCCAGCCAGCCTGAGGGGCCTGTCTCTTCTCAAAAAGCTTCTATTACCTCACTGTATAAAGCTCAAGGCTCTGCCTCCGCTTCCCTCGAGTTTAGAAGAGGCGGATGCTGCAAACTGCACCTCATTAGAAAGTATTTCTGATATTTCAAACCTGGAAAACTTGGCGATGCTGAACCTTATAAGTTGTGAGAAAGTTGTGGACATTCCAGGACTTGAATGCTTGAAGTCCTTGGTAAGGTTGTATGCAAGTGGTTGCACAGCTTGCTCATCAACTATTAAGAACAGGCTTGCTAAGGTGCTCTCCTAACTCTCTCTCTGTCTCTCTGTCTCTCTGTCTTTCTCTGTCTCTTTCTCTCCCTCTCCCAGTGTGTATACTATATATGTATGTGTGTGTACATGTATATATACATATATAAGAAAGTGAAAGCCAGCAAGTACACACACTTATATAAGAAAGTTATAAGATAAATGTAATGCGAAGAGAGCCGCCGATGATGAAGGGGGTTGAGCTGAAGATGTGGGGGATCCATTTGGTCTATGAAGGTGATGATGATTATGAGGGAGACGAAGAATCATTAAATGAAAGCCAGCAATCTCCTTCAGAAAAGATGGCAAGGTTCTTCAGCTCTTTTGAAGAAGGTGACTGAAGAAAATAGTTCAGTTGACCAAAGCAAGTGAACAAAGAATGTATATGGACCCTCGGTTACGTTATTTCTATCTTCTTAGTGCAGCCTCCTTATATTCTTACTGAGTTTTATCATTTTTATTTTTACCTTTCATTTTTATGTGGCTACTTTTTTTGGTTTTCGAGCACCTTTCCTATTGGGAGGGCAAAGAACCCTAGTGCATTGGTTTGGAGCGATGTCCAAAACGTAAGGCACAACCCAAGCAACTGGTAAGAATAGTCCAATACTTATATCACGAATGGTGCATATATAGCTGCAACTTTGATTCGAAATTATCGATCCTTCAATTGGCATCTACATTTCTCTGCACGCATAACAAGTGAAGCAGAAATGGCTGGCGAAGACGACGCCGACGACGCCGTTTCACCAACCGCGGGAGGTTTCCGGCTACGCTGGGACGTGTTCCTGAGCTTCAGCGAAGACACCCGCTCAACGATCACGAAGAATATCTACGAGGAGCTCGAGAAACGCAGCATCCGAGTCTTCCGAGACGACGAAGGTTTGAACCGCGGGGACGAGATCGCCTCTAGTCTGCTGGAGGCGATCGAAGACTCGGCGGCGGCCATCGTCGTCTTGTCGCCGAGATATGCCGAGTCAAGGTGGTGCCTTGAAGAGCTGGCTAAGATGGGCGAGCGCAGCCGGAGACTGCACCTGATGATTCTGCCTGTGTTTTATCAAGTGAACCCCTCCGACGTTCGACGGCAGAGGGGCCCATTTGCAGAGCATTTTAGAGCTCATGAGCAAGTGTACGAAAAGGCCGTCGTCTCTAGGTGGAGGATCGCCATGGCGAAAGTCGGTGGTACAGCTGGGTATATTTTCAACGCCAGGTAGTAATTGATCGAATTAAATTAGTAATAGTACTAAAATTATAATCATAATTCATAACTAGATTCCCACTCAATCAGTTTGAAAACCCTTAAAACCCTAGCTTAGCTACGCTACCATGCAAAAATTGAGATATGATTAGAGATTTAGTTATCTAATGTTTAAGGTTTTGGTATATGATATTAAGATATAACAAAGTGTTTTGGAAGAATTAATTAAATAAGTGTGGTGGGGTATTCTTTTCACTTTGTTTAATTCATTCGTTCATATGTAATATAGTAATTCAAATTGGGCAATACTATAAAAGATTAGCTAATGTATCTTTCTTTCCTCACCGCACTGTCGTTTGACTCGTTTTCATTCGGATTTACGTTCTGAAGTGTGAGACTTTTGGCTTGTTTCTGAGGACCACTTGTTTTCGTAAATAGCTGCTTCGTGTGTTTTGCTGCATAACATGATTTCATTCTGAGGACCACCCGTTAACTAATTGGTGTTTTCATTCTACTTCCTGTTCCTCTTGTATGATCACTGATAACATGATTTGCAGTTGATTTGTTACTTTTGGCTTGTTTCAAGATTTGTACTTGTCAAGATAAACTTGTCTGTAACAGATACAATTAATTCCCAGGCGTTCTATGTTTTGCTTATCACCCTAAGGGCCTAAGTGATGTATTTGTGATTATGTATATTGACAGCGAAGAAGCAGAGTTGATTCAATTGTTAGTCAAAACGGTTTTGACTGAAATACGTAAAACCCCTATACGTCTTGCTGCATACACTGTGGGACTTGATTCCCGAGTTGAAGACATGATGAGGTTGTTAGATGTAAGATCTAAGCGCATTAGAGTTGTCGGAATTCACGGCATGGGCGGTGTTGGCAAGACAACGCTTGCCAAGGCTCTTTTTAATAGACTTGTGGGTTATTTTGAGTGCCACAGTTGCATCTTAGATGTTAGAAAAATTTCAGCAGGGCTGGAGGGTTTAGTATCACTTCAAAACAGACTTATTGCTGATCTTTCTTCTAAACCCGTGTCTGTAAATGAACTTAATATTGGCATTTCTGAAATCAAAGAAATTGTATACGAGAAGCGAGTTCTTATTGTATTGGATGATGTTGATAATGTAAACCAACTAAATGCTTTAGTTGGCAACAGACAATGGTTTTATGAAGGAAGCCGAATTATTGTTACCACAAGAGATAGAGAAGTCTTACCCAGTCATCTTGTGAACGAGTTGTATGAGGTCAGGGAGTTGCAATTCCCTCAGGCACTTCAACTTTTTAGTTACCATGCACTGAGAAGAGAAAAACCCACAGATACTTTCTTAACTCTGTCTGAGCAAATTGTGTCTCTCACAAGTGGGCTACCATTGGCTCTTGAAGTATTTGGTTCTTACCTTTTTCATAAGAGGAGAATAGAGGAATGGAGAGATGCTCTGCAGAAACTGAAACAGATTCGTCCGCGCAATCTTCAGGATGTGTTAAAGATAAGTTATGATGCGCTAGATGAGCAAGAGAAGTGCATCTTTCTAGACATTGCATGTTTATTTGTAACAATGAATATGAGGAGAGAAGATGCAATTGACATATTAAAAGGTTGTGGTTTTGATGGTGAGATAGCAATTGCTGACCTCGTAGCAAAATCTCTCATTAAAGTTTATGAAGACGGTATCTTGTGGATGCACGATCAAGTTAAAGACATGGGAAGACAAATCGTTACAGAGGAAAATGTTGTAGATCCTGGCATGCGTAGTAGACTTTGGGATCATAATGAAATATTGAATGTCTTCAAGTATGATAAGGTAGAGATTCCAGCACTATTATTTTTATTGTTTATATATTCTTCTAGCTAAATATAGATGTCAAAGACGCTTCGACCAAAAAAATAGATGTTGAAGACGCTTGAATGTCCTAAAGGATGATGCATTATTGTTTTTCTTCACTCAGGTTCTTACATATTTTTCCATACCTTGATAATAGGGAACAAGAAGTATACAGGGGATAGTCCTAGACTTTGAATCAATGAAAAGGCTGGCGAAGGATCCAAGTGGTGATAGAATTTCTTGGGAAAACTTTCGAAGATGCCCAACTTTTACCTCTGCAGTTACATACCTAAAAGAAAGATACAAAACATACTTGAAACTGAAGCAGAGAAAAAGAGACAGGTTACAATTTGCTCCGAACCCCCTAAGAGCAATGGTCAATCTTAGACTGCTTCAAATAAATTATCTGAATTTGGAAGGGGACTTCAAGTTTCTTCCTGCAGAGTTGAAGGAGTTGAAGTGGTTACAGTGGAAAGGTTGTCCTCTGAATTCTCTTCCTTCTGATTTTCCCCCTCGCCAACTTGCCGTCCTTGATCTTTCAAGCAGCAAAATAGAACATTTGTGGCATGGGGGCGGTAACAAGGTATATGCTTCACTATCTGATCCATCGTCTTTATCATTATAATTGTGTTGTGACCAGCAAGAATTTATATCACTGATCTTCATAAGTGTCTGCCTTGTATCTCTGTCTCTTCCTTTCTATTTCTAATGCACAACTAATGCAGTTTGGTAGATGCTCATACACTTTTGTTGTTTCCAGGTGGCTGAGAAATTGATGCTTTTGAATCTATATGGCTGCTTTAACCTAACCACCATTCCTGATTTATCTGGGAATCGGGCCTTGGAAAAGCTTATTCTTGAGCGTTGCAGTAAACTGACTACGCTTCATGCCTCGATTGGGAATTTGCATACATTGGTCCACTTGAACCTTCGAGACTGTGAAAACCTCATTGAACTTCCAAGTGATGTCTCCGGCCTGACAAAACTTGAGAACCTAATCCTCTCTGGTTGCTTACAACTGAAAGAACTGCCAAGCAACATGGACAGCATGGTATCATTAAAAGAACTTCTCCTTGATGGCACTGCTGTAAAAAGTCTTCCTGAATCTATTTTCCGGTTTTCAAAACTCGAAAAGCTCAGCTTGAACCAGTGCAAACATTTGAAAGGGCTACCTGAGTTGATAGGAAAGTTGCATTCTCTGAAAGAAATCTCCCTCAACGATTCTGCTTTAGAAAAACTACCTGTTTCCTTTGGATATTTGGCAAACCTTGAGAAACTAAGTTTGCTCTGGTGTAAATCACTGACAACTATTCCTGATTCCATTGGCAACCTCAGTTCGTTAATGGAATTTCATACTTACGGTAGCGGAATCAAAGAACTTCCTGTGTCCATTGATTCATTATCAAACTTGAAGGAATTATCAACCGGACACGGTCAAATTTTGAGCAGATTGCCTGATTCAATTGGAGGTTTGAATTCTTTAGTTGTGCTAAAAATAGATCAAACATTAATCACAGAACTTCCACATGAGATTGGTGCCTTGAAGTCACTTGAGAAGCTTGAGATGAGGAAATGTGGATTTCTTAGATCATTACCAGAATCAATTGGAAGCATGAGGGCATTGACTACAATAGTCATAACTGAAGCTGATATTACTGAGTTGCCAGAATCGATAGGGAAGTTGGAAAACCTTACCATGTTACAGTTGAACAAATGTAAACACCTCTGCAAGCTTCCAGCTTCAATAGGACAATTGAATTCCTTGCACAGATTGCTGATGGTGGAAACTGCAGTGACAGAACTACCCGAAAGCTTTGGAATGCTTTCCAGTTTAATGGTTTTAAATATGAGAAAGAAGCATCAAAAGAGGGAAGATACGGAAGAGATTAAATTTATACTCCCCACTTCTTTCTCAAATCTATCACTGCTATATGAACTGCATGCCGGTGCTTGTAATATATCTGGTAAAATTGCAGATGATTTCGAGAAGTTATCATCACTTGAAGTCTTGAATCTAGGCCGTAATAACTTTTACAGCCTTCCAGCCAGCCTGAGGGGCCTGTCTCTTCTCAGAAAGCTTTTATTACCTCACTGTAAAAAGCTCAAGGCTCTGCCTCCGCTTCCCTCGAGTTTAGAAGAGGTGGATGCTGCAAACTGCACCTCATTAGAAAGTATCTCTGATATTTCAAACCTGGAAAACTTGGCGATGCTGAACCTTACAAGTTGTGAGAAAGTTGTGGACATTCCAGGACTTGAATGCTTGAAGTCCTTGGTAAGGTTGTATGCAAGTGGTTGCACAGCTTGCTCATCAGCTATTAAGAAAAGGCTTGCTAAGGTGCTCTCCTAACTCTCTCTCTGTCTCTCTGTCTTTCTCTGTCTCTTTCTCTCCCTCTCCCAGTGTGTATAACATATATGTATGTGTGTGTACATGTATATATACATATATAAGAAAGTGAAACACAATCATAGGTTTGGAAAATTTTGTTGCAGAGCTACATGAGGAAAATAAGAAATCTTAGCATGCCCGGGAGCAAGATACCAGACTGGTTTTCTCAAGATGTGGTTACATTCTCAGAAAGAAAAAACCGTGTTCTCAAAAGTGTGATCATAGGTGTTGTAGTCTCTCTCAACCAGCAAATACCAGATGACATAAGAGAAGAACTCCCTGCAATAGTAGACATTCTAGCACAGATCCTCATACTGGATTTTTCTATCTTCCGTTCAGCTTTGAACTTATTGGGAGTGCCAAATACAAATGAAGACCAAGTTCATTTGTGCCGATACCCAACTCACCATCCCTTGGTTTCTCAGTTGAAAGATGGTTATAAGATACGTGTGATACGGAGAGAGCCACCGATGATGAAAGGGGTTGAGCTGAAGAAGTGGGGGATCCATTTGGTCTATGAAGGTGATGATGATTATGAGGGAGATGAAGAATCATTAAATGAAAGCCTGCAATCCCCTTCAGAAAAGATGGCAAGGTTCTTCAGCTCTTTTGAAGATGGTGACTGAACCGAACCTGGAGTTTTTAAAAAGATGATTGCATTGCACCTCTGAATGAATCTAGTTGTTTAGCAGAAGAGGGAAATAGTTCAGCCGAACAAAGAATGTCATTATATATGTGACCCCTCAGTTACACATACATTATTTTTTCTGTTGCTTTATCAAGGATTTATATACATAACCAAAGCCAACTATTTTTTTGCCTCCTTAGAGTCTGTCTGAGTTTTTATTTATTTTACTTTTCATTTTATAAACAAAAGTAGCTACTTTTTGGATAGCTTTTTTTGATCGCAGAGTGACTTTAGTATGTTATGGCACTCTCAATAATAAAGGTCTTAAAAAAAAAGAAATAATGAATGGACACAATGTCGAACACGTACGGCATAAGCCCAAGTAACTGGCAAGAGTTCAATACTTTTGGTTAGCTGCAACTCTGATTTGAAAGAATATTAATTAGTTTTTCTATTTAAACTCCGTACTTTCTCTTTGTTTACCCCAACTTCTAATTTAAATTTTCTTAATTTTTAAGAAAACATTACTATCTTCCCAAACTACTCCTAGATACACACCCATCAAAAAAGAAAATTTTAAAAACTCATCAACCTCACACCTTACACCCTATTATCTTGCCCCTCACCACTCTAAGTTCACCTCAACCTCAGAATTACAGGTCTTTAATTGCAGCATCCTCAATCATTCTGGGAGGAGTCCCAAATCAAGAAATAATCTCATATTATATATCTCAATTGACGACCAACAAGTCACAATTTGTATATCGTATTTAGGATTTGTGAAGAGAAGATGAGAGATAGTAGGTTTCTTGGATCGAAAAAAAGAAAAGTAATCTGGCAATAGAAAGGAGTTCGTGTTTTTTGGTGGGGGCGTTGGATGACATTTTTTTGTCTTTTTACACAATAATAAAACTTAAGACCTTAATGATTTAACTATTGGGATAGAAAAACTTGTTATAAAACTAGGGGGAATTGTGGAGAGCAATAAGAGAAAGAGAAAGACATATAATTTGTTCTATGAACTTGTATATCATTCATCTTTGATACGTACAATTTATAGGCTTCCGGGATAGACAAACATTCACCGCCCATTATTGGTAGGTTACAAACACATAATTACAACCCATAAATGTACTAAATACAATCCTTAGTGCATAGGTTACAACTATATTATGATGTGTTTAATGGTAGGTATTATGAGTGATATTATGGTAGTCATCCACAATTAATAGATTTACAACACAACAAGAGCAATACTTCAAACTAACTTACAATTCGTAGTCATATCCAAGCAAATGTGAATCTTAAGAGAAAACAACTTTTAACTTATGTTCCTTACTAATTCCAAGCATTTTCTTGACTTCCACAAAGTCATAGAATTAGTATTGGTCATGAAGGCTCTTGGAAACACTCTCCCTCAGACTGCACCTTTTCACCCACTGCAGGAGCTTGGCATCCCATAAGTTTCTCTAGAAAATAGGCAGGACATACACAATTGCTGTCACAAAATCAACATTTTTTCACAAGTCAAATGTAAATACCGAGTGTAATATATGCTGCAGCTGCATTCATCATTCAATCATTACATTTGAACCTTCCGGGTTGGTGCTAGCTCTACGAGTCACCATAGATACCTGAAATTATATTTGAAAGAAAACTTAAAACTACATTTTAATCTTTAAGTCCAGCTGTAGACAGTCCATAAAAACCTGGCAGAATGGCTGGAAGAGCATCGAATTGCATAAAAGTAAACAAAATTTGTACTGCTTCGGTGGGACGAACACACGTCCTTTTGTGTTTATTTAATGGCCATGTGTTCATCCCACTGAAGCAAACTAGAGAAAACCTCAGTATTTTACTAGTTTAAATGATCCAAACTATTTGATGACAGGTTATGTAAACCCTTCAAAATGTTTGTATGTTGTGGTTATGGTACTACTTTCAATTTGTAACACATGAAACCTCACATTATGAAACATAGCTACAGCAACTCATTCGAGCACCTCGGAAACCACACATTATGAACGAGGCTACAGTGGGTGGGTGCAATGAAGAAGGCATTTCAGTTATGCGGAAATAGGTAAGTGGATTGGAGAGGCGGTACGCAAACACAAATCAACATCTGAACTAGCCTTCAAAACATTAATGCAAGAACTGATCTAATTTTCACAACGTACCGAACCAAGAGTTGTAAACTCATTCATTTTGCATCCGAATTCCACATGATCTAATTAGCATTGTCCTATTATCGTGAACCAGTGTAAAGAATTAACCACATCAACACAACAACCAAAGTATCTGTCAAAATTAAGGAACTCACAAACAAGAGCAATATAACAACACAGAGGAAGGGAGAGAACTTCATTTTTTTTATTATTATCGAGAATTATGCCTTAGGCAATTTTCTTTACTTGTGTTGTGATCAATTACTGTTGAAAAATTAGGCCTTAGGCAATTTTCTTGAATTGTGTGTTTTTTTTTTTGGGGTATGATGATAAGCTCTGTTTCATTAATTTTTTTTTCATTGTGGGAATTATGCCACAAGTAACGTGATTAGTGTTCTGGTTAGGCTTCTCTCAGATTTGCTAAATGTGGTCCTTTATCAATCTTGCAGATTTAGCTCTGTATTTTTTAATAAGACTGTATTGTATTTTCTAGTAATTTAAATAGATAATAATAACATGAGAGAGGATGGGTAGCGGTGATGGGGCGGTGACGGGGATTCCCCGAAAACTCTTAACCCGGGATGGGGGTGGTGACGGGGGAGGGGATGGGAAGTAGGGACGGAGATGATATTGTCATACCCGATCCTTACCCGGCCCGTTGCCATCCCTACTCTCTCCTCTCTCACGGCCACGCGCTTTTCTCTCTTGTACAGTAGAGAAAACTCCATCCTTTTTAGTTAAAGCTGTATCTTCCTAAGACCATTTAGCTGACTTAGGCATCGAAGGACCCTCAGCCAACACCCCCAGGTGTGCTCCATTGACCAAATCTATTTTTCAGGGATCGGGGAAGAAGAGGATTGAATGTGAAGAAGAGGATCAAGTGTGAAGATTATCTTTTGCGAATATTCTCACCAGAGGAAATTTGCACAAACAAGACAACATTGAAAGAAAGATGGGAAGAGGTGTGCTCAATTTTCAGTAGGGCTGGCAATGGGTCGGGTCGTGTCGGGTTCGTGTCGTGTTGGGATATTAAACGTGTCAAGAATGCTCAACCCGAACCCAACCCATTTAATAAACGTGTCGTGTCGAGTTCGGGTCGTCTTTTATCGTGCAGGTTTCGAGTCGTGTAACGGGTTGATAAATAATAACATGCATGTTACAAAAGTCACAACTGAAAAAATTTAAATAAAAAAAACGGAGAGAGGAGAGAAAATATAAGGAAAAGAAAGAAAAAAAGGATAGAGAGAGGAGAGAAGAGAGAAGGAAAAGAAAAAAAAATAGAGAGAGAGAGAGAGAAGGAAAGAAATAAAAATAAAAAGAGAGGAGAGAAAACTAAAGAGAAGGAAAAGAAAGAAAAAAAAATAAGAGAGGAGAGAAAACTAAAGAGAAGTAAAAAAAGAGAGGAGAAAAGAGAGAAGGAAAAGAAATTAAAAAAGATAGAGGAGAAGATAGACGGAAAAGAAAAAAAAACATCATAAATTTCAAAAGGCATAGTATATAATCACAAAGTTGTATCTAGCATAGTGGATAAGGTGTCGGAGAGTAATGAGGATGGTGGGGGTTCGAAACCCCATATGTGTGTTTTGAAGTCTCTATTTCTCTATATTTTTTCGCGGGTTGGCGTGTCTTACACGGGTTGACACGACCCGTTTAATAAACGGGTTACACATGTGTTTTAACAGGTTGGCGGGTTGACTCGAAACCCACCCGTTTAATAAACGGGTTGACCCAAAAATTACCCAATTATTAATCGTGCGGGTTCAAGTCGTGTTTTTTCCGTGCGGGTTTCGAGTCGTGTAACGGGTCGTGTAGGAAATTGCCACCCCTAATTTTCAAGCATTACGGCTAGAGAGAGAGAGAGAGAGAGAGAGAGGAGGAGGAGGAGGAGGAAGAGGGGGAGTCCCCCCTTGGGAAACACACAGAAAAAGAGAGTTGAGAGAGATTTTTAGGGTTTCCCATATTCGATATTTCTTTGGTCCTTGTTTAAAAATCAAATTTAAAGCTATAGACATGATGTTCAACCTCTTGCCATATCCACGAATAGTGTGTAATATTAGAATTCCAAAGTACTTATTCGTAAGTCCCTAAAACATTGGCTCCATAATTTGCAAACAATAGTTCATTTATCAAATGACTTGGAAGTCACAAATATTCTTCCATTTATTTTAAGAGAAAAACTAATTACTAACACAATAGTTAGTTACTGGATTTTGATGATTCTTGTTTCTTTGATAAAAGAGCAGCAACCAAATCATCCATTGCCTTAACAGAAGACCCCTTTTCTTCAGCATCATCTCTTATTGATGCTCTTATCTTCTCCTTAATCTCAACGGCATTTTTCCACATCTCTCCTCCTTTTCCACCTTCATCCATCACCAAATCAATCACACCCTTCACCTCCTTCCCAACAATATTACTTTGCACACCCCTTGCCAGCTCCACACTCACACCCATCTCCTCCACCAACATCTTGGAATTATAACCCTGCTCTGCATCCAATGGCCACCCAACAATTGGCACACCCTGGATCAAGCTCTCCATTACTGAATTCCACCCACAATGACTCACAAACACCCTTGTAGATTTGTGTGACAAAATCTCCAACTGAGGTGCCCAGTTGTGCAACAACAAGCCTTGTTTGCTTTTGCTCATTCTCTCTTCAAATCCTTGAGGAAGCCACTCTTCTCTGAACTCTCCTTTCAAATCAAACCCTACTGGAGGCCTTATGACCCAAATGAAAGCCCTCCCACTTTCTTCCAACCCAATAGCCAATTCCTTCATTTGGGTTTCACTGATTGTGTTCTGAGAACCAAACGAAATATAAATAACAGAATCTGAAGCATGTTGATCAAGCCATTCAAGGCATTTCTCAGCAGGAAAACTGAGTGTTTTTCCTGCACGTTGCCTTGAGACACTTAAATCCAAAGTTGATGTGTTCTTGAGTGCCTCTCTAGGAATGAGAGGTCCAGTGGACCAAACAGGACGCCTCAAGTTTTTCCTCAAGATATCCAATCCAAAGGGTTCAATTTCCTCCACAGTATTGCACAGCCAACCAAAAGAATTAGTAGAAAGTGAAATTTGAGGCTGGAAAAATCTGGACCAAGAATCTGTACCATCTGCAGCTCTTATAAATGGATGCAGCTGAGAGATATCGAAACAGCACCGTTCTGGGAACCCAGGAACGGTGAAGTGTTAGAATCCATGAGAGAGAAAGAAAGCTAGAATTTGTCAGTGAGAGAAACCAGAGAAGAAAGATCAAAGAGAAATGAAGTAGAATTAGATTCTGTTCTTGATTACAGTGATTACAAGAGGGAGGTGCTATTTATAGCAACTCAATGACAGCTAACTAATAATTAACCCCAAACTATTGCTGACGAGGCTGGTCAGCTATTACCCCCCTGCAAACTCATGCGAGGTTTACCAAGCATGAGGTTGTTGCGCAGATATTGAAACTGAGGAGCAGCTAAGCTTTTGGTCAGAATATCTCCAAGTTGCTCAGTACTAGATAGATGACAGACTTGCATTTCCTTCCTTTGAACTCTCTCTCGAACGAAATGAACATCAATTTCCATATGTCGAGTCTTACTATGAAAGACTGGATTATGAGCAAGAGCAATCGCAGAAATATTATCGCACCAGATAACTGGTGGTTTACGAAGAGTGATGTGGATTTCCTGCAATAACTGTTTGAGCCAAACCAACTCACACGCTGAATTTGCAAGAGATCGATACTCTGCCTCTGTGGAAGACCTGGATACTGTCGTTTGTTTCTTTGCTCCCCAAGAAATAGGATTTCTCCCTAAGAAGACTACATAACCTGATGTTGATTTGCGATCATTAGGGTCACCTGCCCAATCAGCATCTGTGTAGGCCTGTAACTCTAGGAATCCTGAAGTAAACTGAATCCCATAGTCAAGAGTGCCTTGTATATATCTCAAAATTCTTTTGACTGCAATGAGATGTGTGGTCGTAGGTTGTTGCAAGAATTGACAAGCATAATTAACTACGTATGCTTTGTCTGGTCTGCTGAAAGTAAGATATTGAAGAGCTCCGACAATACTTCTATAAAGAGAAGGATTGTCCAACAACTCACCATCATTCTTGTAAAGTTTTGTTCCTGGTAGCATTGGAGTAGGGACAGTGGCACAAGTCTGCATGTTCATCTTGGCAAGTAACTCTGAAGCATATTTAGCCTGATTGACAAACAAGCTTGAGGAAGTATGTTGAATTTGTAGTCCCAGAAAATAAGACAACTCTCCTAGATCCTTCATGTCAAATTCAGCACTGAGAGTAAGAATCAACTTGTCAATTGCAGCTTGATTGTTTCCTGTGAGAATAATATCATCTACATAGAGCAATAAAAGCATCAAGACAAAACCTTTATTGTAAATGAAGAGAACTGGATCTGAAAAAGACTGAGTGAAACCAAGATGAATCAAATGAGTAGAAAATCTCTCATTCCATGCCCTAGGAGCCTGTTTGAGACCATATAATGACTTATGTAACCTGCAAACCATTTGAGGAGAGCCTTGGTCAACAAGTCCAGGTGGTTGATCCATATACACCTCCTCTGTGAGTACACCATGCAAAAATGCATTTTTGACATCTAATTGTTTCAGTTTCCACTTGAATTGAGTAGCCAATGCCAAGATTAATCTAACTGTGGTGTGCTTGACAACAGGACTAAAGGTCTTTGTGTAATCTATTCCTTCTTCTTGGTGGTATCCTTTTGCAACTAAACGAGCCTTAAACCTTGCAACTGATCCTTCTGCATTCTTTTTTACTTTAAAAACCCACTTGCATCCTACCACTGTTCTGTGAGAAGGCAAAGGAACTAAAGACCATGTCTTTTGTCTGTGCAGGGCATCAAACTCCTCTTTCATTGCAGCAAACCACTCAGGGCTTTGCAGAGCCTGTTTGTAAGTCTTAGGCTCTTGGATTGTATCATCCTTGGATCTTGAGATCACAGAGAACACTTTCTTGGAGGCAGCAAAAGCTTTCTTCTTCTTGGACACCCTAACCTTAGACTTTGTAATCATAGGATGCACATTAGAAGTGGTTGCATGAAAAGAATTACTACTTGTATCAGCATGTGGAATGATCAATGGAAGTTCCACAGGGATGGAAATGCCATTGTCAACAACATTGTGCCAATTGTCATTACTTCCTTCATGTGTATTCCCTTCATCAACACCATTGCTACCAATACCAACACCATTGCTACCAATACCAACACAATGGTCATCATTTCCATTATCTGGATTATCACTTGCCGCATCAATAACATTACCTGCACTAGCACTTACACCACCATTTCCATTAATCCCAATTTCTGCATTACCACTTGTACCACCACTGTCACTAATATTTTCACCATGATCATGAAGAGAAGCAGTAATTGTTGGAGGCAAGTGAGCTCTTATTGGAGAAGTATATAAAGGAGTGACGGAAGAAGGAAAGGGCATAGTGAGAGGATTGACAGTGTTAGCCTTGATTGTAGCAAAAGGGAAGACATTCTCATCAAAGATTACATGCCTGGAAATGTACAACCTCGAGGTGGAAATGCGAAAACACAAATAACCCTTGTAGTCCAAGGTGTAACCAACAAAGACACATTGAGATGATCTGAAGTGTAGCTTATGAGGTTGATAGGGTCTGAGATAGGGATAGCAGGCACAACCAAATACTTTTAAAGCTTGCAACTGAGGAGAAACACCAAATAACTTGCTGTACGGAGAATCCCAGTTCAACACTTTGGTACACATCCTACTTATAAGAAAATTAGCTATAGAGACAGCATGAAACCAGAATTTCAGTGGCATAGAGGCTGTGGACAATAGAGTCAAGGCAGTGTCTACAAGATGCTTATGCTTCCGCTCAGCTAATCCATTCTGCTGAGGGGTGTGAGGACAAGATTTATAATGAAGAATCCCATGTTTGGCCAAAAAATCTCTCATAGCTGTGTTCACAAACTCGCCACCACCATCACTTTGAAAGATTTTGATATGCTTATTAAAGAAGGTGGAAATATAAGCATGAAACTTGACAAAGATACCAAACACATCAGATTTATTGATTAAAGGATAAACCCATGTATATCTTGTACAATCATCAACAAAGATGACATAATATCTATATCCGGAGATAGAAGTACATGGACTTGGACCCCATACATCTAAATGTATTCGATGAAAAGCTTCTGAACTCCTAGTTTCTGACAAAGAAAATGGCAACCTACTCATCTTTCCTTCTAAACAGGACTGACAAACAGAAGGCTCATGATCTACGTGACAAGATTCATGACATTTATTTAACATATGAACAAGCACCTCATTGGCTGGATGACCAAGCCTCTTATGCCATAATGAAGAGCTCACTTTTTTTCCAAGATAAGCAACTGCCCTTGTGAAGTAAACAGCTTTGACTTTAGTGGCACTGGATAGAGTCCATCACTGCTGAGACCCTTGTATAGGATCCTCCCTAATTTGTCCTGAATTAGGAAGTAAAATGCATCAAAAAGCATTTGACACTTGTTTTCAAGACAAAATTGATAGACAGAAAGTAAATTCTGTGCTATTTTGGGAACATGCAGAACATTGGCTAACTTATAGGAAGTGCCACAACAATTAAGGAAGGCAGTACCAGCATTAACAACAGATAAGCTAGCTCCATAACCCACAGGTCCCAGGATCGAAACTAGGCTCTGATACCATGTTAGAATCCATGAGAGAGGAAGAAAGCTAGAATTTGTGAGTGAGAGAAACCAGAGAAGAAAGATCAAAGAGAAATGAAGTAGAATTAGATTATGTTCTTGATTACAGTGATTACAAGAGGGAGGCGCTATTTATAGCAACTCAATGACAGCTAACTAATAATAAAACAATAATTAACCCCAAACTATTGCTGACGAGGCTGGTCAGCTATTATGAAGAAGTCCTCCTCTGTAGAGCGGTGTGGAAGGTTGAGCCAAATGGAGGTGGAGTCTGCTGTTCCATAAGCACCACCTGTGGTGAAGCTCACATTGACAGTGCCTAAGCTGTCTGCAACATCATTAGCCCATCCGAAAAACACATCAGAGATTATGCAAAGCGGCAGGCGACCTTCCTTTTCCATGATGTCGGAGATTAAGCGGCGAGCAGGAACTTCAAGGCTGACAGAAGCAGCCAAAAGATTGATCTGTTTGCTGAGAGGCAAGTTCTTTGGGGTTTCAGTGTTTGGGAGCAAGCCATGGTCTGTGCTACAAAATGAAAGCTTAGCCAAGTTGATGGTGTTGTTGTTTGATGAGGTAGCAATGGTGGATTGGAGGGACTGGATGTTGGGGGGGGTTGTGGCAATGGTGATGGTGAAGTTTGTTCTTTGATGGATTTGCTTTGCAAGTGCTAGAAATGGTATGATATGGCCTTGAGCCATGAATGGCAGCATCACAATGTGCTCATTTTCAAATTCCATCTCTGATTTTGGGTTTTTCTGATTCCTTTGGATTTGGCTGAAATTATATGTAATGGTGAAGAAGAAGAATAATATATATGCTGTTTTGAAACGTATGAGATGCATGCGTGGGATGGGAGAAATTTATGATATTAGGCTCCGTTTGATGGAGGGATGTCAAAGGAATTATTTGGATTTGACAGGCCTAAATTTGCTATAAGTACAAAAACCAAGTTAGATTGAATGTATTTTAAATAACTAAATGTGTTACATTTAAAATCACTACTGCAAGGAATAATTTGAATTGTAATTTTGTTCCTTTTTCTCTTGTCCCAATTCTTGGTGTACATGAATTGTAATAGTCGATACAAATAATTTTACTTGATAATGTTATCTAAATTCATCGATTTAGAATCCCTACATCCAAATGCAGTATGTGCTTGAAGTTGGTATTAGAGTACATCATTGTAGTATAACTCGTCCACGTGTTTGTGTAAAATATCATAACATGTGAAACTCAATATACCATGCTACCACATTCATGTACCATACGATAATTTCTCCGCATTTTACATAGATCTAGTGAATTGGCCAAACTTTTGGTCTTAATCTTTATCCTTAAAGGTCTACAAAAATTCACTATTTAACAAACTCTTAAGGGTTCGTTTGGATGAGTCACTTGGACAAGATTTGGGCTTTCCTGACACTTATAAGTTCATACAGACCAGGTAACCCATTTGGCAACTCCAAAGAATGAACTTTAGAAATTACGCGGAACTTTAAGATGAGACTTTGTGAAACCCAAGTCCCTTCATTAAGGCCGGCCTAAGCAAGCGTTATTTCGAAATTCATTATGATCACCACCAACGAACCATAAAAGTCATTAAATATTTGGATACCACTAAGCATTTAAAGACTTTTAAAAGTCACAGTCGAATACCACTAGACTTTTATAAAGTCTTTAAAAATTTGAGTTAAATACCTCCAGACTTTTAAATTTCATCAAAATCATAAAACGCCACATAAGTATGGATTGAATACACCGCCGACAACTGGTTTTAGGGTTGTGCAAGATCCAATCCAATCCAATCCAATTTAATCCAATTTTAATAAGTTTTGATGATTTGGCATATCGGATCGGATCACTAATTTTCAAAACAGACATGATTGTCTCTAATGATGGATTTGCTTGTGCGAATCCAATCTAGTCTAGTTAGTTTCATGCTTATTTTGCTCGTGTAGGTATTTGTAATTGAAAATTTTATGAAAATTTTAAATAATTTGATGGAGTTATGTTTAATATATTATAGAATCAAAATAATTTTCTCTAGCATTTTATTTATATTTTACATTTTACATCTATAAATATGTTTGATTAGATTAAACCTAATGTTAAATGTTTCTTATTTCATTTTTATTTTTTCATTGTCAAAACCGATCATCCAATCCAATCCAATCCAATATCAATCTGATCGGATTAAAGAGGATTAAACATTTAATCTGATCAGATTGGATTAGAAAAATCATAATCTAATCTATATTGGATCAATTTCGAACCAACGCATACCCCTACCTTATTTTAAAAGCTTTGAGGAATTAACAAATCAATTTGTGTGCGGTGTTGGTGGGGAATTGGGCGTTGCATGATTTAATTTCTATCAAGACTGACATTGTGGAAGAGCCTTCACCACAAATCATAATCTTGAATTGGAGTCTGATGCTGACCCAACCATTACGTACTCTAAAGGATCTCTGTTCTTATTTTATGCTAAAAACGAATGCACAATGACAACCCATGACAAGTTGCAATATGTGCATATATGAGTTTGGCTTAAAACCTTTGACCAAAAAAAAAGTTTGGCTTAAAACTTAATTCATTAACCCAAACTAGTGCACAATGACAACCCATGACAAGTTGCAATATGTACATACACAAGTTGGCTTAATCTAGACGTAATTCATTAACCCTAGCTAATGTATAGTCAATAGGGCGGAGCCAGTATATAGCCTGCAGTGGCCCTGGCCCCAAAAGTTCTCAAACATTATCGATAAATTGGCTGTGAGAGTTGACGTTTTCTGAAATAACTCTCTTTAACTAATAATTTCGAGAATTAGCAATAGATACATTGCATTGGGGAGGGGGGCACTTATCCTAGAATTCGAACAGTATTGTGTAAAATTGTGATATTGCGTAATTGGTCCCAGCAACTCAATGAACGAAATAAAAAATAAGTCCAACTACATTAGCTAATTCCTTCCATAATCAATACATGTAATCTTCAAAAATAATTGAGCTGCTTTTGTTTGCATTACTTTATATTGTTATAAATTATGTGAATTTGTTTTTATTAATTTTCTTTATGTAAGTGGCTATTGTCTTTTATTATTTTTTTTGGTGGAAACTGGAAATCAACACCAGGGCGCAAAGAGCGCAAGCAAATAACACAAGCAGGAGTCCATTTAAGAGGGGACTACAAGAACACATACATCACAGCAAAAGACCAAACAAGATACAAGTTAAACTAGAAATGCCAGAAAAAGAAAAGAAACAGACGGTGCTATAGATAGGTGAAAGATGTCGAAATCTGATCTAGCATTCCTTAAGCGCTACGAATTGGGGGATTAGGAAGACCATCTTTGTCCAAGATTCCAATCAAGGAGGATGGGGGTCCGTTGACCCAAATAGAGAAGCTCATCCTCGACATAGCTAACTTGGCTAAGTGATCGGCTGCCAAGTTTGCGGTCCTAGGGACCCATGACCAGTTACAATCCCGAAAGGTAGAGCAAGAGTTTTTGATACTACATAGAATTGAATAGAGCTGCCACCTACCCAGTGGGATTGAACGATTAAGGCAAGATATGGCCTCTTTGGAATCAGATTCTGTTTGCACCCAGCTTTGGTAAATGGACCAAAAATGGTTTATTTTAAAAGAAAGCATATTTTAAGAAGGCCCAAGCCCAACAACCTTTATCTTTTTTCTCAAAACTAAAGGGCCCCCGTCTCTTCGTGGGTCGTTAGCATGCAATAAGTTAATCTAAGGCCCGAAATCAGGAAGCCCAGACTTTTGAATCACACTAAAATTAACAAAATCGGTAATCGTTATACATAGGCCCACATGAGGGTTTGAAGGAGGTTATCATCATTAATGACGACTTGACTCTCTTCTCACCCAGCAAGAAAGCAAGTTGTACAAAAGCCACCAGAACCAGAAAAGGACCAAGTTGCCAACCAGATCTTCGAGTACAAAGGATTCAAGTCAGAGGAACATCACAAAGGACCAGTAGTTCTTGTTAGAAACATCCCATCATTCCTTCTACAAACCGGTTTAGATCAGCTGACCTTGGGCAGCAAACCAAATATCCTTTCTTAGCTTCCATCATTGCAAGCTATATCTTTGCCTATAAATAAAGAGCTTCCGCCGCAGAAGAGGAGGACTCTCTCTCCAAACTAGACACAACGTCTCAAAAAACACTTGAAAAGCATAAGATCTTTTCAAATCAGCCTGCATAAATTTCTAGATAACCAGTTGACAACTCCTGCGTTCAACTTTTGTTGCTCTACCATCTTCATGGTATGATTTTCTTTTAAAATGATCAATTTGAATTCATGTAATCATCTAACTGGATAGATAAATCTCCAGTCTTTCCTTGTTTTGTAATATATGTTTGGATTAATCAAATGGATTAGTTAAAAAGAAACTTGGTTCTCTCTTTGTCATTCGAGTTAAGATTAGATGAAAAGATTACAGTTTTAACTGCTTCATTAAGCACTTATCATTTAATCGCTTATATATATAGATTATAAATCATTTCAGTGGATAAATTTAAGTTCCCACTTTTGCACTTTTAAGTTTATCATTCGGACCCAAAAGAGGGATCCGGGCTCGAATAAGGTCGTGGTGGTCCAAAAGATAGGAAGTGGATTCTGGCTCGAATTATACCATTGGGCCTGAATTGACTATTGGCCCAACCCGAGGGTTATATGAATTTTAAATCAGGTTGCTAAGCCCAAGCAGGGTATTACTAACCATGATCTTGATCTCTCCCCTTACTTGCTCAGGTGCCGCTCATACTTGTCAAGCTGACATACACGAACAAAAGAATATCGAAGTCCTCTTAGTTGAGGCATGAAAAAGAACTAATCCAGGCCAATAACCCCCTTGGAGCACTATGGCTTGAGTAGAGATCCAGAGAAAAAGCGCGAACATCATATAACCCTCGGGTTGGGCCAACAGTCAATTCACAACACTTTCCCATACCAGGTTTATTGGACTAGTCTCATATCCAATAGTGGCACACCTACGCAACCTCACGGATCATAATCGAAAGGAGTCGAGGGACAGGGCCCTATCCGAGCCCACTCGATCCTGTCAAACTGATTTAACTTTCAATTTTGTTTAAAAGTTGAAAGAGTCCTCATTGCGAGCTAAGAAACATCAATCGGGGCATTGGTGTTGATCCAACAACCTCTCCGCTCCTTTGGGCAAGTCGATCTCCTCATCTGGCAGAAGGAGCGCCCGACAGAAAAAATGACCAACATATTCAATGACAACTCTAGTGTGCCCTTGTTGAATAGCAAAGTTACATCCTTCCAAAATAGCCAGAGTGTCTTAGCTTCGATGGTAGAATCTGCAGCAACAGAGCGAGCAAGGCCAGCTGGCAAAACTCCACTAGAATCACTTAATATCACTCCAATACCTGCCTTATGGTGCTCAGGTAGAAACATCCACATTAATTTTTACGATACCATTAGCAAGAGAGGACCAAAATTGGGGAGTTTAGGCCACAAGTACTAGGGTTCTGCGACTTGTATTCTTCGAGGCTTGTGCATTAAGGTAGCTCCTACAAGCAGCATGAGATTCACAAATTACCACCATTAGTGATGGCTGGTGAGATTCGATTGCCATCTTGCATCACATTTTCCAAATGTACCAACAAATGTAACCAATACTAGTCATGATGTTGTCCTTGTCACCCAAATTTCCGTTCGAACTCGAGGAGAGAGATAAAAGCCATTGTTGGAATAATTGCTTTGATTAATACTCACCTATATTACCGTCGGACCAAGGTTCTCAACTGTGCCACTATATTGGAATTGGAAGAGTCTTCTTGGGACTGAATACTAAGGGAGTTTTGCATATATATGTACTACTGAACCTCTTGTAATTCTCATGATGAATAAGATCAAACAACTCTCTTTCAAGTGGACGTAGGCTATATCAAGTAGCTGAACCACTATAATTCTGTGTATCTTATTCTCCTTATTTCACTTTATCTATTTCTTTATGGTATCAGAGCAGGACTCTTGAGTATCCTGTCTCTTTGACTTCTCATGGGTGTTTCCATCTGACAAGGCTTCTGTCTTTACTATGGATGTCGATAGTAATCCTAATCTTCATCTCTGTTCAGTACTTATAAATGGGTTTAATTATATACAAATTTATAAATAAACCCAATCATAGACATGTATTTATAAAAAAACTCAAGCACTATTTAAACATAGAAACACACCCAAAATCAACCCCAAAGTCAACTTTTTGGGTGTGTTTATAAATGGGTTTTGAATGTATGTAATGATGGGTTTTGGGTGTGTTTATATGTTTAAATAGTACTTGGGTTTTTTTATAATTTCAACCCCCATTTTGGGTGTTTTAGTGAAACTCCCTTAATTATATTACTTGGTCAAGAGCTGTTATGCTGGCTCCTGGGGGAAGATCAAAGCCTGGTTTCGTCAATGGAACCATTCGAGCACCAGAGGCTAGCGATCCAAAGTTTGAGGACTGGTTCTGTAAAGACCAGCTTTTTATGTCTTGGCTACTTAACTCCATGGAACCTCAAGTGGTTGAGATGTTTAGCTTTTCAGGTTCCGCACATCACTTTTGGGAATTTGTGAAAGAAATGTATGCGCAACAAAACAATGTTGCTAGGATTTTTTAGTTAAGGAAAGATATTGCTGGGTGTTATCAAGATGGGAAACCAATCATTAAGCATCTTGGGAAGCTTAAGAGCATGTGGAATGAGCTGTCTCTTTATAGACCTCATACTACAGATTCTGCTACTCCTCTAAAACGAGCAGAGGAGGATAAAAAATTTCAGCTCTTAGCAAGTTTAGATCAAGAATATGAAGATCTTCATAGTCATATATTGATGAGTGCTGAGATACCTTCTTTGAACAACGTGTGCACAACAATACATCAAGAAGAAAGCAGGAAGAAAGTCATACATGGAAACAAAAACAAATGCTGAAAGTTCAGATTCTCGTGCATTTGTGGCTAGTTCCAAAATGTCAAAAAACAAGTCTTTCAAAAGTAAGAAACCAAATATTACTTGTAGTTATTGTGGGCTAAAGAAGCACACCAGGGACAGATGTTGGGTTCTCCATCCACATTTGAAGCCTAAATTCAACAAAGATAAAGGTTAACAAAGTTCTAAAGCCAATGTTGCCGTGTGTTCTAATTCCGTACCCAATGATATCATGGAAAATTTCACGTCAAATCCTTCTGCCTTGCTTGGTCAATTTGCTACTTATCTTCAACAACATGGTTCATCTGGAAATATAACTCAGAATAGTGGTGTAAGTCAAACTGATGCTCATGCAAATATTGCTACAAATCCATCGGCTCTTCTTAGCCATTTTGCGTCATTTCTTCAACATTTGGGCAAATCAGAGAATTCTCCTCTTGATGGAACTGTCACTTCAGGTATTTTCTATGCCTTCATGTCTGCAATAATATCTAATTTATACTCAAATTTTTGGATCATTGATATGGGTGCTACCGATCACATAACAAATTAAAAGAATCATCTTCATAACTTTAAGGCACCAACGGAGACGCAATCTGTTTCTGTGGCAAATGGTATGAATGTTCAGGTTATGGGTCAAGGAAGGATTAAATTCTTTAATTCAAAAACTGACTCTACTTCTCTTTAATTATGTGCCTTCCTTTCCATTCCAGCTCATGTTAGTTGGAAGGGTAACTAATTCTCTAAATTGCAATGCTATTTTTTCCCCTCATGATGTGATTTTTCAGGATCGAGTCACATTAAGGACGATTGGTAGTGGACATTATTTGAATGGCTTGTACATCTTACATCAAATGCCCTTGTTGAGGCCCAAAAAATCCACGGTTTGGCCCAAATAAATTTTCGGCCCAATGTGATACCTTATCAGGAAGAAAACCGATTTGGGCATGTGAAAGTTCGTCACATACGCTTTGCACACATGCCACGCCAAGCAAATAAGCAACATGCCACGCTACAAGCTTAAGTAGGCCCAAGCCACGTTAATGCCTGGGGCTTGCTGAGCGGGTTATGGTATGGATGGTTACGAGTATTCACGAGGCCCATTGATGGTCCAAGGAGTGGAAGTTTTGGGCTACTTGGGAGCACCAAAACTCAAGCCCATTCCTTGAGTCCAAACATATGGGCAAGCATGAGAGAAAACCCAATAGCCCATCACCTTAAGAAAAGGCCCAAACATCTTTAAAAAAATGTCCAATAGCCATAGCCCATAAAAAATCCCACATCAGCCAAAGCTTCCAGCAGTCTGATGAAATCAAAGGGAACTCACAAACCGCTGGAAACAAAACAGCCCAGCCTAGAATTTTATAAAATATCCAATGTTGTGCTCTGTTAAAACCAGTTCAAAGCCAAACCAGCAAAAGCAAGCAAACTCATGTGCTGATCACCTTTTTGACCAAGAACCCTTACCCATTCTTTCCACTTCAAGCTTTGCTGAGAAAACAAGAAGCAAAAGTGGGTGGCACCTCACCCACATGAAGAGTCTAGCTGCTTGAGGACCTTGGAACCCCAAAAAGCTGCGTGCCTATGGGTTTAGGCTAGAGAAATTTCACCAAACTAGATAAATGGAAGAAAGTGAAGGAAAATGAGAAAGGTTGGCTTGATAAAATTGAGTCTTCTAGCCCCTATAAAAGGAGACACTTTCTTCCCAGCAAAACAACTCACAATGGACAGAATAGACAAGAACGAATTGAAGGCAAGCATCCACTCTGGAATCCTTCAATTTCATGCTTTGTTCTTCCATTCCTCTTCCTCTCTCTCAAAACCCACATCCAAAGAGAGCAAGCATCATCTCTCATCTCTCCTTCGATTTCAAGCCTTGTTCTTCCATTGCTTTCATTTTTCTCCTCTGTCAAATCGCCCATGATCATCTCTCATCTCTGGAACCCTTCGATTTCAAGCCTTGTTCTTCCATTGCTTCCATTTTTCTCCTCTGTCAAATCGCCCATGAGCTTGACGAAGCTTTCGTCAAGCTACTAGAAATGTGCTAAAGCCATCCATGCTTTCATCTTCTACCTCTCTTTCCACAACACAGATTTAGAGAGCAAGCTTCATCTATCTCAAAGCCTCTGTTCCTCATAGGAAACCCCAAGCCTTCTCTCTCTCATGCTAAACTCACGAATACTCAGCTCCCATGCTACAAGCTCTCATGCCAAGCCCAAGAATTTATCTATAATCAACTGTTGGTTTTGTTGGTGAAGAAGACCAAGGTGTTTCCTAAGCCTCAGCTACCCTTTCGAAACACTCTTAGGGCCTGATCCTTGAACTCAGACTCAAGGGGCAATTTCACACATATTTCTCTTTTCGGCAGCCCAAGCCCATTCATCAAGCTGCTAGAATAAAAGACCCCTACAGCCCTCAAAATCTATAACAGGGGTGTTCCAAGCCAGTTCAAGTCCAAATGGAGTTTTGTGGCCTCAACGTCCCGATCATTCATCCGATATTGTTTTATCAAATATGTTTTCGTCCTTAAATAATGCATCTCATGGCTGTGAATTTTGTCGGTTCTCAAAGCAAACTCGGTTGCCTTTTAGCTCATCGGTCACTCAAACAAGTAGACCTTTTGAGCTTGTTCACTCGGATTTATGGGGACCAGCTGCATTAGAATCACATGATGGTTTCAAATATTTTGTCATTTTTGTTGATGATTATTCTCGAGCAACTCGGTTGTATTTGTTGAAATCAAAGGGTGAAGTTTTAAGAACTGATAACGGCACCAAATTTGTAAATAGCTCTATGACTCAGTACTTGAGCTTTTATGGTATCATGCATCAAACAAGTTGTGTTGGAACCCCCCAACAAAATGGAATAGCCGAAAGGAAGAATCATGATCTTCTTGAAGAAACAAGGTCTATTATGTTGAATATGAATGTTCCAAATTTTTTTTGGTCACATGGTGTTCTTACAGCAGCATATCTAATCAATAGGCTACCCAGTCCCATTCTCAAGCTTAAATCTCCCTTGGAAATTCTCAAGAAAAGGAAGATTGATTTATCTCATTTAGATTGATTTATCTCATTTACGGGTCTTCGGTTGTGTGTGTTATGTTCATGTTCAAGCTTCAAAACATGACAAACTTGATTCTCGAGCTGTTAAGTGTGCTTTTATTGGTTATTCCACAACTCAAAAGGGTTACAAATGTTATGATGTAAAAGCAAGACAGGTTCTGATCTCACGAGATGTCAAGTTTGATGAATCCAAATCTTTTTTTGAAAAGACTTCAGAGAAAAATCCTCAGGGGGAACAATTATCTGATAGTATTCCATTACCATTGATAGAAACAGATTTATTTCCTTGTTCATCAAATGATATTCCAGATGAGAATTTTTTTCCTGAGCATAATGATGAGCATAGGGCTGAAAGTCCTAATGGTGTTCAAACTGAAATAAATGGTGAGTCTGAAGTTACTGTCATTGCTGCACCATGATGCAATCCTATAAGAAAACGACATCAGCCAACAAGACTGAAAGATTGCATTACTTTTGCATCCAGGTATCCTATAGAGAACTACATCTCTACTGCAAATGTATCTTTGTCTCATACGGGGAGAACTTCATATTTTTTATTATCAAGAATTATGCCTTAGGAAATTTTCTTGACTTGTGTTGTGATCAATTACTGTTGAAAAATTAGGCCTCAGGCAATTTTCTTGAATTGTGTTGTGATCAATTATTGTTTTGTTTTGTTTTTTTTGAATGGTGATTTTGTTTAACTTTAAGCTCTGTTTCATTATTTTTTGGCTTAATTATGTACATGAACCCTGTGCTTTCCAACTTATCTCAGATTACCACCTGTGGTGGAAAACGTCTCAAAGTACCCCCCAAAGTGCAAAAAACTGTCTCACGTTACCCTTTCCATCAGTTTTTTTGAAGTTCCGTTACGAACATTACTGTTCATCTCCCCCAAAATTCCAGAACAGCAGCTCCTCCCATTTGTTACTATTCATCGCACCAGTTTTTGGGCTGCCATCGCCTCCTCCGGCCACCCCAAGCGACGACATGGATATCAAAAGAACCAGCACGTTGTCCTCTACCACCCTCACATCTCAGCCGCTGCCAACCGTCGTCTGGATCACCGGAAAAAGCAAGAAATTGGCCGGTTTTGACCCAAAATCTCCATTGCTCGTTCGGGTGATTCCGAGCACCATTTTCTTCGATCCAGGTATGATTTTTCAACCTCTCGAGTTGTTCTTGCTACTAGTTGTGTTGGTTAGGAGAAATTTCTAAGTTTTGGAGGGTAAATAAGCGATGAACAGTAACAAAGGGGAGGGGCTACTGTTCTGGAATTTTGGAGGAGATGAACAGTAACATTCGTAACGGAACTTCAAAAAAACTGACGGAAAGGGTAACGTGAGACAATTTTTTGCACGTTGGGGGGTACTTTGAGACGTTTTCCACCACAGGTGGTAATCTGAGATAAGTTGGAAAGAACAGGGGGCATGTACATAATTAAGCCTTATTTTTTTCATTGTGGGGAATTATGCCACTCAGTTTTGACCCAAAACTCTGGCAAACTCTCTCCCTCTCACGCCACTCTCTCTCTCTCTTCGGGATGACAAAATTCCCCCTCGAGCCCAAGACCCAATCTGGCCCTAACGGGGGAAAATTTCAGGGCAAAACTGGGATCCTCGATATCTTAAAATTCCTGTTGGGTATGGGGTGGGGATGGTATTAGCATCCCCATCCCCAAACTCGGCTTGATAATTATAAGAGTAATTTTAAATTAATACATATATAATATAATACTAGCCTCTCTGCACGCGCTTTCGCGCCTGCGAGAGGCCTTTTTAGAAAGAATTTAATTTTTTTTTAGAATTAAAAAGATAATGGGTAGTTGTGTTCCGTAAAAATAGAATCCATTATATGATTTTTCTTTTAATTTTAATTTTTTTTAAAGTATAAATTTACCATATTATCCTCATTTAATTAGTAATTTTAATTCTTAATGTTTGCATTAACCAATGACATTTTCTGGTATTTTGAATGTTTCACCATTCTCTGCTTTTTGCTTTATATATATAGATAAACATCATTAAAAAATTAAAAATAAATAAGAAACCAACCCCCCTCCCCCCCCCCTTCCCTTAAACTCACATACTTCATCGTCTTTTTCTTTTGTGTTGCATTGCATCTGACATAGCAACAAACCCTCATGTTTTAGCTTAGAAAAGAATTAAAATTGTTGGCCATATAGAAGTTATATTGTTGTTTTTTTTTTTTTTTTTTTTTTGAGGGAAAAGCGATGGGTTGCATTCCATTCAACTAAAATTGTGTACAAAAGGGCATGTTAAGGTGGCCTCGTTAAAACCTTCCCGAGGAAAACCACATGGGATAAAACCCCGGGGTAGGAAAGAGTACCACCCATGCCAGCCGTACAATATAATTTCTAGAACAAGGGAATTAAAAAGAGTCTGCCACTAAGGCATCAAGCAAAACTACTGGGGGGTCCCCGAACCACTCAGCCGCTCCGTGGGAGTGTAAAGCTATCCTAGCAAGTCTTGCAGCCGCCTCATTAGCCTCCTTCATCACATGTTGTACTAATATACTGCCCTGCTGCACTAGTAACAGTTTACAGTCGTCAACTAAGCAACCAAAGTGGGACAAATCCTGTGATACTTGGCTTAGAACAATACCAACTCTTTGACCAACACCTTCAATGAGCCGCTGCACATAAGGCCATCTTTGGGCAAACAAAAGCCCCTCCTTCAAGGCTAGCAATTTTGCATGCAAAAGGTTGGAAACCCCCTGAACAACCACTAGTTTACATGCAAGAAAAGTGCCATCATAGTCACGAACCACAACTCCAATCCCCCCAGTCCCTGTTGCACCTCGACAAGCCTCCCCCAGGTTGATTTTGATAGACCCCAAGGGGGGACGCTGCCACTTCGCCTTGACTCTAGATGGATGGATCAAAGGAGGTTGAAGCTCATAAGAATCATGCAACATCCGGATGGCTCCACTAACAATTTCCGACACACTCCGCCGACGGTCATTCCAAACCACTTGGTTACGTTCATTCCACAGAGCCCACATACAAATCATGACTTGCTCTAACTCAGGGGCTGAAAGGGTGAGGGCAACATCTTGGAACCACGCTGTGAGGTCAACAGCCACAACCCTTTGAAGAGAGCCCCAACATGAACAGTGATGCCAAACCGCTTTAGCCATTGGGCATTGCACAAATACATGAAAGCCGGTTTCCTCCTCTCCACAAAACACACACCCACCCAGCTCAGCAATGCCCCGCCTCTTTAAGTTGACTTTGGTGGGCAGATTATTTAGCATGGCTCTCCATAAAAAGAGGCGGACCTTCGGCGGGACACGAACCTCCCATATTTTCCTCCAGACTGGTGCAGTAATCCCATTGGCCGTACCATTGGTTTGAACGACATCCCCCCCTAATTGGAGAAGATATTGCCTTGCTACCTCATATCCGCTCTTAACTGAGTAATGGCCATGTCTCTCAAAGTGCCAGATCAACGTATCCGGTGGCTGGCGGAAACTCAAGGGAATTTTATGTATGATTGCTGCTTCTTCCGCAGAAAACCAAGCTCCTAGAATATCTGTCTTCCATTGCAAAGTAACTGGATCAATAAGGAAACTGACACAAGTATTACCATGCTCCGTCACAGGAGTAGACAAGACCTTGAAAGAAACATGAGTTGGCAACCATCTGTCTTCCCAAATACGAACAGTCTGGCCGTCACCAATTCGCCAGCGGGATCCTCTCTCAAGGACCACTTTAGCCTGGCACAGGCTTCTCCAAACGTAAGAGGGGGAGTTTCCCAGAGTGGCCTCCAAGATGGAGCAGTCCCTATAGTAACGAGCTTTGAGGAGACGAGCCACCAGAGAGTGTGGGTTATGAGCCAAACGCCATAATTGCTTGGCTACCAAAGCCAAATTAAAAGCATAAAGATTCCGAAAACCAAGACCACCCTCATGTTTTGGTCTACACAAGTTCTTCCAGCTTAACCAATGGATTTTTCGCCTTCCTTCTTGCTCTCCCCACCAGTAGGAAGCCATCATTTGCTGGATTTCCTCACACAAAAATTTTGGAATAAGAAAGCAACTCATCATGTATATGGGCACTGCCTGTGCAACCACTTTTAGAAGAACTTCTTTACCAGCAAAGCTTAATAACTTTGCCTTCCAGCCCTGTATTTTCTTCCAGGATGCAATCTTTAAGATAGTTGAAACATTGTCCCCGAGAACGACCAATGTGAGTAGGCAGACCCAAGTATCTGTCATGATGGGCAACTCGCCTAACTCCCAACGTTGTGGCAAAAAGCTCTTGGTCTTCATCCGCCACATTTCGACTAAAGGACACACAACTTTTATCAAGGTTTATTTTTTGACCTGACACCTGCTCATAGCATTGGAGGATTTGTTTCAACTGTGCACAACCACTTTGACTTGCTTTTAAAAACAAGAAGCTATCATCTGCGAAAAAAAGATGGCTAACAGTGGGAGCTCCCCGACATAGGCTGACACCATGGAGGGTACCGTTTTGTTCAGCCTGCACGATTAGCCCCGAGAAAGCCTCAGCACATAAGAGAAATAAATAGGGGGAAAGAGGGTCACCCTGTCTCAGGCCACGCTGTGGGATGACATAACCAACCGGGTTTCCATTCAACGGGAAAGAGTAGGAGACTGACGTCAGACATGCCATAATTAATTGGACCCATCGCGGATCAAAACCCATCACTAGCATCAAGGACTCCAGGAAATTCCATTCAACTCGATCGTAAGCCTTACTCATGTCTAGTTTAAGAGCCATGTATCCCTGCCTGCCGTGTGTTCTTTTATGCATGAAATGGAGGAGTTCAAAGGCCACAATGGAGTTGTCTGAAATCATTCTCCCAGAGACAAATGCACTTTGTGAGTCATTGATTAAAGCAGGAAGGATGACCTTTAAGCGATTAGCCAAGACCTTAGCCCCAATTTTGTAGAGAACGTTACACAGACTGATTGGGCGCAATTGTGTCATATTTTTGGGGTCAGGGACCTTGGGGATGAGAGCCACATGAGTATAATTTATCCGTTTCAGCAACTGACCTGTATGGAGGAAGTGAAGAACAGCTGACACCATGTCGACACCAACCACATCCCAGTACTGTTGGTAGAATAAAGGAGAAAAGCCATCTGGACCTGGGGCTTTTGAAGGGTGCATCTGGAAGAGTGCATGTTTAATTTCTTCAGCCGTGAAATCAGCTAAAAGCTTCCTGTTCATCTCTTCTGACACACGACCCCTCATTACATCAGCCACCTCCTCATAATCTGTATTCCCATTGGAAGAAAAAAGTTGCTGGAAATAATGGACCACTGTATTTTCCAGCTCGGGTTATGACGTCTGCCATATGCCATTCTCATCTTCCAGTCCAGAAATAGTATTCCTTCTCTTGTGACTTGAAGCTTTATAGTGGAAATATTTTGTGTTACGGTCACCCGCTTTTAGCCAAAGTGCCCGAGATCGTTGTCGCCAATAAATCTCATTTTTGGCCATAAGCGAGTCTAGTTTTGTAGTAAGTTCCTTCCTGGTCTCAACTGTCTGAGGGGTTAAGGGGGCTTCCAGTAGCTCCCCTAGTTTAGTCTGGATAGACTTAATTTGATGCGGAAGGGAGCCAAAAATACCTCTACTCCAACCTAACAGTCGAAGCCGGGTTCTTTTTAATTTTTCAGTAACTGCTCTAGGTGCAGAGCCACTTTCAGGCTGGAGCCATTCCTCCCTTATTGTCTCCATACAATTCTCATGTTGTACCCACATCTCCTCAAAGCGAAATAGGTTCCGATGCCTGGTATTTGATAACATCCTCTTGCTGATTGTAATTCTTATAGGCAAGTGATCAGACTTCGTGGGATTTAAGTGCAAGACTTTTGTTCCAGGAAAACGAGTACACCAATCTGTAGTAGCTAGAGCACGGTCAAGTCAGACTCAAATTTCCTCTGGACTATTCCTCCACCAAGTATACTTTGGTCCAGAAAAACCCAAATCCTTGAAGCCACACTCATCCTTGAAGCCACACCAAATCCTTGCCCCTCTAGTCCTCCCCCCTGTCTTCTCATCCGCTGTCAGGATTTCGTTGAAATCTCCACAACATAACCAGGGCAATGAATTGGTTGCTCCTAGCCTGATCAAAAGGTCCCATGAGCGGTGACGTTCCACTGTAACAGGACAGCCATAGAAACCTGTGAAGCGCCATCTCCCTTGAACCCCCAAGACTTCCACCTCCGTATCGATATGGTTGTTGCTGGCAGACCTTAGGGAAACTGCTAACTCATCTGTCCACATCACACAAAGACCCCTAGAGGCCCCATTACTTTCCACCACAATACATTGACGAAAGCCCAACTTGAGCCGAACTGATTCCATAACGCTCTTGGAACAACGTGTTTCACAAAGAAACACAATTTTGGGATCCTCATTACGGACAAGACACCGTAATGCTTCAACTGTCCAAGGGTTCCCAAGCCCTTGGTAGTTCCAACTGAGAAGATTCATGGTGCCTGGCGGGGCTGGGCAGCGCCAGCTCCCGCCGATCTCAGCGATGAAGAAGAAGAGACAGAAGGCAAGCATCGCCTCTTCTGCCCTTGTGTGTTCGCAGTACTGTCTGTCAAGTTAGCACATCTCTTGCCGTTATTATTAAGAGTTCCTATAATCCTGCTCTCATGATGATCCTGCGTGTTGCTATGAGCCCTGGAGATATTCTGCATGTTGCTATGAGCCTTGGATATACTCCTTCCTGCATGGGCCCGCTTTGTTTTCAGTTTTGCTTCCTTTGTGATTCGTCGGATAATTGGGCTAAGCCCGAAAGGATCCTCGGGAGACATGTCCCTCGTGAAGCCCCCGTGTTGTTCACCAGCTACGTTGGGCCCATGTTGGTCATAGGTAACCCCATCTGCACCAACCGAATTTTCTTTAGAATCACAGCATTGATTGGGGCCAATCCTCCCACTTGAGCAGTGATCGGCCAAAGGGGTGGCGTCATGAAAATCCTGAGTTAATGATGCGTGAACGGCTGAGTTAATGGGAGATTGCATCAAGTCTGCATTACCATCAGCAACCGTTGAGAAAACCAGCCCTGTATTAATGGCACCAATAAACTTCTCCTTTTCCCTAGCCTCTCCACGTACTAACCCAACGTTCAAATCTGGCAATAATTGACTTTCTTCATCTGCTGCCACCCCCCCAACCGTTTCACCCTCCATCATGGCAGAATTATTATGTATAACCGCAGCCATCATTGGAACATTAATTGACCCTAAATGCGAGGCCACGTCAGCCCTAATCGAATCCCCACCATCCTGCCGCCCTCTGCCATCATTGGAGTCCACCGGTGCTTCCTTCGACTCACTGTCACTGTCACTCGATGATTTTTTGGAACACAATGATGATTTTTAGATCCACCGTCGTCTAGTTTGTGTCGTTGTTTAACAATTTTGTAGTACTGTTGCACTGTTCACTTCTCTCTTTTTTTCCTGTGTTTGTTTACCCTTTTCTTTTTTCTAATTATTTGGTCACCTTTGGAGACTTGGGTTTTGGAGTAGGTTTTGGTTAGGTTGATCCCAGCTCAAGAATCGGGGATTTGGGGCGGGGATGGGCGATATCCCCCCTACGGGAATGGAGACAGGGATTTCGCAAAAACTCTTCACTGGGGATAGGGGCGGGGATGGGGATGGTATTGTCATATCCGACCTATTGTCATCCCTACTCTCGTCCTCTCTCAAGGCCATGAGCCGCCCCTCTTCTCTCTTGTACCGTAGAGAGAGCTCCACCATTTTCAGTTAAAGCTGTATCTTCCTAATACCAAAGCTCCACCCTTTTCAGTTAAAGTTGCATCTTCCTAAGACCATTTAATTGACTTAGGCATCAGAGGACCTTTGGCCAACACCCCGGGTGTGCACCGTTGACCAAATCTATTTTTCAAGGATCGGGGAAGAAGAGGATTGAGTGTGAAGAAGAGGATCGAGTGTGAAGAGGTCTTCTCGGAGGATATTTGCCCAAAAAAGCTTGTCATTGATAGAAAGATGGGAAGAGGTGTGTCAATTTTCGGGCATTACGCCGAGAGAGAGAGAGAGAGAGAGAGAGGATAGAGGAGGAGGGGGAGTCCCCACTCAAGAAACACACAGCCCCGCTTAGAAAAAGAGAGTTGAGAGAGATTTTTAGGGTTTCCCATATTCGATATTTCTTTGGTTCAAGTTTAAAAATCAAATTTAAAGCTATAGTCATGACTAGCAAATGATGCCCGCGCGATGCTGCGGGTTTTAAAATTGCGTAAAATGTGTATAAAGTGATGAAAATAAGCATGGAACATTGGTCTATTTATATATACATGAAAATGTAAATAGTGTTATTACAGTTAGTTTTTCAAGTTTTAGATTAGTTACAAAAGATAAACTAATAACATGTTTTATATGCTGTTTGATATTAAAATATTAGGCATATTTTAATAGATCAAACAGCTATAAAAACATCAAAATATGAGAAACTTTGCTTTGCATTGTTCAAAATAGCTAGTACAACTGTTTATCTATATGTTATCGCTTTGTGGAAGGGGGTTTTTCCTTTTTGATGTCTGTTCAAAGGAGATCAAGGTGTTGCTGGCTTTGCTGCAGAGCAGACTTATGTTGCTTTTCCTGAGCAGAGGTTTTATCTCTATTCACATAAAGTTAGAAGATGCTATGTGTTAATGTTGATGAATGAAAAAATTTAGAATGAGGGCAATAACTAATATGATAGAATTAAGTTAAAAAATCAAACATGACAAACAATAATGGAGATATATCAAGCATTGTATTAACTAGAGGGACAAAAGTATAAGTTCAATCTATCAAATCAATTAAAAATAAATTGAGGACAATTGTGACAATTTATTAAAGATCTATAAGAGATTTAAGCGAAAATACTTTAGTTTTAATAGAATCAAATTAAGAGGTCTTGACTTTGTCGTCATCAATTTGGTAAACGATAGGTGTTAGCATACAAACATAAACTGCACAAACATAAATTTAAATAATCTATAAACACCTAATGATCTATAAATGGAAATAAGATAACCTAATGGCCTAATGAGCAAATTTGTTATAGAATTAAGATAATATAATGGATAAACAAACTATAGAAGTAGTAACAATCTATAAACCACCATATTGGAAAAAAGTACACATAATAGAAATGTTATCAAATTGATGTCATAATTGAAAGAAAAGAAAAAATAACTACATGAGACACCAAATGAACAAAAGGGAAAGCTTTTTCAAATTTAAGGTTAAACCACGTATCATTATAGTAAATATTTGAATAGAAAAGTTCAAAATTGGGGAAAAAAATCAATGAAGTAATAGACAAATGTACATCCAGGTTAAAAGACAAATGCACAATCTGGATTACATAATTGCCTTCTTTTCTAAAAGTGCTTATGACAATATTTGGTGTGGAAGTGCTTTAGGCCATAGAAGTTGTTTTTTGGACTTGAACTTTTTTTTATAAAAAAAAAAAAAAAAAAAAAAAAAAAAAAAAAAAAAAAAATTGTTTTGAGACGGTTATGAGCTTAAGTGCTTGCTAGAGAAATCAAAAAATGATGTTGTAAACTCAGCATGCATAAACACAGATAACCAAACTGTCAAATTTTACATGAAAAATTGGAAAAAAAAATAAGGGAAAAGTATAGATATGTTCTGAATTTGAGTTAAATAAAGGAAATTTGGGTGAAATAATGCATACTCCTTTTTTGGGGCAATGATTCCCACATTGGCTGATGCAATCTTGGTTTTGAGAGAGATAGTGGGGCATCATCAGAATCTGATACATCTTTGTCTAGACCTTTTGCAGCATGAATCGTTTCAGTTTTCTCATCAGTTGTATGATCACTTGAATACATGCAAAATAAAGGGAAACAAAAGGAATAAGTATATATATTAATTGATATGTAAATATTAATATAAAGAAGTGAATTGTCATAAATTCTTACATTTTGAATTTTTTCTATGTTTGGATGAGAGAAGTGAAAAGCTTTTTTCTGACAGCAATTCTTGCCTTTTTCTTTGAGGCGGGCATGGATTCGTTTGGAGATGAGGTGAATGAAGCAGTAAGTGGTGTGGAAGTTTCTTTTGAGAGTGGTGGTGGAGTAGATGGAAAGATTTGGCCGGGTGTGTCTTTCTTTTCATATTGAACTAACGCTTGATCAAATGGGCTGGAGCTTGATTTGAGTAGCGGCTCAATGTCGTCAAACACGGCTTGAATCAAGAGATCGCTTTTGTTCAAATCATTTTTAATGGCTCCAAAGTGCAGCTGAAAAAGTCTGTATTGGCCTCTGACTTGAAGAATTGCATCTGGGAATTCTTCTTGGTTTGTAAAACCTTTCTCAACTACCAACTGATAGCAAGAAATTCCAAATAATTGTTCTGCAACACAAAAAAAATGTGTATAAAGTTGTGGAAGAAAAGAAATATACAAACATGAAAATGCAGAAATGATGAGCAAACAAACATTACAAAAATAAAGAAATCAGTACCCCAAAAAAAGTAAGAGTATAAGGAAGAGAGGCAATCATGAATTATACATTTAAAGCGAAGAATGGTTAAACAATTTGGACGAACGACCGCCTCTCGTATTTGGATTTCGTACCCAAGCTCTCTTGAAACAATCAAAATTTCATGGAAGCCTGAAATTAAATCAGGGGGAAAAAACAGAAGGAAAGAGAGAAGAAAGCACGTAGTAGTAGAGCCAAGTCGAATTTTGTGAAGGAATTTTGAGGCAACACAAAAAGGAAAAAAATGTCAATAAATCAAAATAAAGAAACATTAACCTGAAAGTTATCTTCGCTTCTTTGCTTCAGTGATTGCTTGTCAGAGAGGTGAGAGACCATTGAATCTGTTGAGATAAAATTCCAAAGTTTCAATAAGACATGTAGATTTGAATAACTTTTTAATTTTCATAAGTCATACCTGAAGCAATTGGATGACTGCCTAACTGTGATTCATACTAAAAAAAAAGGAAAAGAAATAAAAAGTAATTAGAATGAAGTACAACAACCACATAATTACATAGCCTCAAAATACAACCAACCAACCACCTTGAAGCAAATACTTAAATTTCAGGATTCTAACAATGTAACTACAAAAGAATTCAAACATTACACATCATGTAGCATGAAACTTAAATTGAAATCAAAACAACCAAAAACTAATATGAAATGCACAGTGAGGTTTGGTAATGCATGTAGTAAAAGCTTAGCCAGAACGAAAAAGCAAAAGAAATGGATAATAAAATCACCCAGAGAGAGAGAGAGAGAGAGAGAGAGAGCGAGAGAGAGAGAGAGAGGGAATAAAATGGCGTTCTAGAACAAAATCAGAGCGTTACCTAAGAATATCCAGAAATTAAAGTGAAACCATATGCCGATGCCAAAAAAACAAATGCAATTTAGGTAAGCGAAAACAGAGATGGAGAGAAAAGGAAATTTGTTAATTTGTTTTAATTTGCTAACAATATCCAGAAGACACAGAGAGAGAGAGAGAGAGAGAGAGAGAGATTAATCCCGAAAAAATAATTTAAAAAATCAGAAAATCAAAATAGACGAAAACCATTTGGTGAACCAAAAACAAAACCAAAATGAGAGAGAGAGATTCATACCATTGACATCAAACCCATCAAATATAAATGCTTTTTTCATTGGTGCTCTAGAAACAACATATATAATCAAAGAAATTCCATTAGGATCCAAAAATTAGAGATAGTAAACAGATCAAACCTAAATGCTTTCAACATTGAACCAAAAAGAGGAAGCATGGTCTAATGTATGAGAAATCCGAATATCACAACAAAACACAGATTCAAAGAACAACAACATTAAGCAAGCATATTGATGAGTATTTCATCGACACTTAAGCTACATATTTTTGGGGAAAATCACAGCTAATCAGTAACAACAACATTGAGATTCAGAGTGATTAACTGGCATTTAGAAACCCTAATCCACTACTAAAATTAGCTAAACACAAAACAACAACAGACCACGAAATCAACAGAGGGGTAATAGTCCGTATGTTACCTAAATGATTTCTTTATGAAACTGTTGAAATATGAAACTGTAAATCTCCTTCTACTCACTACAATGAGGTTGGCTTAACCAACAAAGTAGAAAAAGGAATGCTACCCAGAGATGAAAAATATGTTCAATTATAGGGGAAAAAAATGGATAAAGGGAAAAGTTAAAACAAATGCATTGACGATTAATGAGGAAGAAAGGTATTGCAAATGAATTGAGTTGTTTAACTATGGATGTGCATTCAATTGAAAGCAATAACATTTTAAAAGTAAATTGTTGGCCAAAAGTAAACAAATTTGTTAACGATTAGATTGTAAAATTATAAAAATTTGTTATGACAAATGGTAGGGGTTAGATTGCATAATCAACAAAAAGAATTGTTTAATAAGAGCTGCGTTAATAGCCAAACATCAATGTCCAAGCAAATAAATGAATTCATGTATGTCTTGTTACTATTTAAGTTGAAATAGTATAAGGGAGTGATTTCCTCACCATTGTATCTACCAAGATACATTGTAAACCAGAAAATTGATCATCTGATTTGAAGACTTTTGGTCTCCATGTTCTATACACACGAACTCTAATTGTAACACCGAACTGAAACAGCTGGAGATCACGGATAGAAGCAATGTTCATTGTGTTTTGAATCTGAAAAAAGAAAAGGTTTTATCACTATAAAGATGTGTACAAAATTATCTAGCAGTCATCAAAATCGTCATGTTGGTCTCTCTTTCTTTTTATGTTAAATATTCATTCATGCTCATATATTGGCAATAAAACACATCAAATAGCTATTGAGACGGTTTTTAATATCTATAACATGAAATCACCAAATGAATATATTCTACACAAAATTAGTATAAAAAGATATGGACATAAAAACAAAAAATTTAAAAATTAAAAAAACTAATATTAACAACAATAGATCATTACACAATTTAGAGTGATCCATCAACAGCTGATGAATTGGTTGTTTTTTGTTGGGGACAAAAGCAAGTGTTTCTAAAATAGAGAACAAAAACATAAAAGCTTTTGAAGCTTAGATCTTGTGTTCATTTTTTGTTTCTTTTCAACATAGATACGAACCTCTTGTTTAACAGAACCAAAAACAACGACCAAATGGCTCTATCTAAAGCAGCAAAACACCACTTACAAAACATCAAAAGTAGACATGGTTAAGAAAGAAGGGGAGAAAAAGCAAGAAAAAATCGAAAAAATTGAAGGTTTTGATCTTCTAGTTCCAAAACTATTCAAATATGTTTTCCTGTGCAGCGTTTTTATATGAGATGCTTCAACTTTGTTAGTCCACTACTAAAACAAAAGAAAAATCCTAGAAAACAAAAACAAACAGAGACAAAACAAAACAAAATAACATCTCTCAAATATAAATCCTTTTCGACAATGGCAATATCGCAATGCAGCCATAATGAAGTAATTAATCAATTTAATTAACAATGATAGCACAATTGTAGATCAATGGGCAACAAATTCCCCCAGCAAGAAATTTGAAGAATCCATTTCCTTAATTTATATTCATTGTATTTCACTGGATACTAACAGTAAATAAAATATTTCAAATCCCATTTGAAACTATATTTTTTGCTGCAGAATGCATGATCCAATATCAAGATTTTTCAACTTTTTGGCATTAAAATGAGGCAAATCAAGACTTTTGAATATAATACAAAATCCATCATCCATTGTTCTGTTAGTTTTCTTGGTATTAGATTGCCTATTGGCCAAGTTGTTTGATCAGGTAAAAGCTTTTCATGCGTGCCACAATGGTAAGGAATTAATCCTCATAGTCTTAGACTTGGCTTTTTCTTTTAGAAGAACACTGACAACCACATATTTCCAAAGGCTAGTTGCAGAAAATTCATCAATTTTAATCAAAAGAGAAACCAAAGGCTAGTTCCAAAGGCTTTTTCCAAAGGCTTTTTCTTTTAGAAGATCAAAAGAGAAACCAAATAATAAATATAACCAACAATTGAAATATTCATCAATTTTAATCTCTCTTTTTTTTCAAAACCTGCCTAAGCAACCAACAATTGAAATATTCATCAATTTTAATCTTTTTTTTAATTTAAAAACCTACCTAAGCAATCAAAAGTCACCTTAAACAATCAAAATCACAAAATAACTATATTTACATAGTCGTTGTCATCAAAGATTTGAAAATTCTTTGCTAAACTCAAAGAATTTCAGTCCTTTAGACAGTATTTCTCCTCTACCCTTGTGCTTGTAGTTCGATAGGAGTCTGTCCACCAGGATTAAACTATCTTAAATCTAAGCCTAAGCACAGTGGCTTTGATTTCAAGCGAACAGTGGTATGAATTCTCTCAGGAAGTGTTAAAATGTGAGAATGATAATGCAGTTCAAAAGGTGTACTTCTGGTTTGATCGTATTGTCAATATATAGAGGTCTGGCACCCCTTTATCCAACAGTTATGTTAACTGTTTAATTAATTCAAATTTCAGATTTTGGTTTTATCTGAAAACCGAATTTTCAATTAATAAAAATAAATGAAATCAACAGAGCCCCAAGGCCCAAGGCCCATCTTTTGACAATTAATTATATATATATTTATTACACAAATATACATATAATCCAAGCTCCCAAGGCCCATCTTTTGACAATTAATTATATATATATTTATTACACAAATATACATATAATCCAAGCTCAAACCATTTTGAGGCCCAAGTTTGCCTCCACTAAGCCCATGCTCTATTTAGTATTTCTAATGTGTTGGTGCTTATAAACCGGGGAAGGAAACTACTTTCTTCCAATGTGGGACTAAATGCAAGTGTCTTTTCCTATACAAACTCTAACAATACCCCACATTTGTATAAGAAAATTATAACGTGCGTATTTGAGAAAAAACTTAGATATAACACACAACAGGAGAGGCGTCTTTTGGACTTAAACCTACCCTAGTGAATACTTATCGGATTTACTAGGTGATGCAGTGAATATAAAATCTTGAACTGTTCACCTATTGTAGTAAACCGAGACAACAAGTATCACATATGTTACATCTTAACATACCACTTATTCACACGTTTGTGTTCATTTTGGTCCTGAACAAATCCTGGATTCATAGGAGCTTTAGAGAATTTAGCCATTTCATTCTCATAAATGCGACCCCACATTTACTCCTACATAGGTAATGTTGACTAAGAATAGTCTGCTCTATTCCTCTTGATTTCAAGAAATCAACATCATTAAACTTTCGTACCCTAATAGACTTCTTGCAGACAACACACTTCTTTCCATCATAGGAATGAGATCTATGTGTGTTAGCTCTTTTGAATTATGCCTAACCAGTTTGCCTATTGAACCTAGACCATGGGATCTTCAATCAGCTAGGTTAGGTTTCCGTTAGGCCGATTCATTTATTGAATTGGCTTCAATCCCATTCCCCTCTATGTTAATTTGATTTGCTCTCTTAACAAGCCTTTTGTAAGCGGATCTGCAAGATTTTGTCTTGACTTTATATAGTCAATAGAAATTATTCCATTTGAGAGCAACTGCTTGATTGTATTATGCCTTCGTCTAATATGTCTAGACTTTCTATTGTATACATTATTTTTGGCTCTTGCTTGAGCAGCCATATAATCACAATGTATACAAACAGCCGTCACAAGCTTAGGCCAAATAGGAATATCCTCCAAAAATTTCTTAGCCACTCGGCTTCTTCACCAGCTTTATCTAAAGCTACAAATTCCGATTCCATTGTTGATCGGGCTATGCAAGTTTGTTTACTAGATTTCCAAGATATGGATGCTCCTCCTAGTGTAAAAACATATCCACTAGTGGAATTTGTTTCTAAATCATTAGAAATCCAATTGGCATCACTATATCCTTCTAGTACTGGAGGATATTTGGTATAGTGTAATCCATACTCCAAAGTGTAATTCAAATATCTCAAAACTCTAATCAATGCTTCCCAATTATCATGTCAAGGATTACTTGTATACCTACTAAGTCTACTCACAGAATAGGCTATATCAGGTCTTGTACAGTTCATAATGTATATAAGACTTCCAATGATTTGTGAATATTTCTTTTGTGAAATAGATTCACCTTCATTCTTCTTTAATTTGCAACTTGCATCAAAAGGTGTTACAGCATGATTACTTCCAAAATGACCAAACTTTCTAAGAACAGTTTCTACATAATGGGATTGTGTTCATATATAACCATCTGAATTTCTTTTAACTCTAATTCCAAGAATTATATCAGCAAGACCTAAGTCTTTCATGTCAAAACTGGAGTTTAACATTTTCTTGGTAGAGTTAATTATGTCCTTGTTAGTCCCAATTATGAGCATGTCATCTACATACAGACACACTATAACACATGCATTCTTATGTGTCTTGATATAGACACATTTATCACATTCGTTTATTTTAAAACCATGTGTCATCATAGTATGGTCAAATGTTTCATGCCATTGCTTTGGAGCTTGTTTTAGTCCATAGAGAGACTTTACAAGTTTGCAAACTTTTTGTTCTTGACCTTTTACTACAAACCCCTCAGGTTGTTCCATATATATTTCCTCATCCAACTCTCCATTTAAGAAAGCTATTTTTACATCCATTTGATGTATTTCCATGTCATAAATTGACGTTATAGCAATCAACATCCTTATTGATGTTATTCTTGTCACGGGTGAGTATGTGTCAAAGAAATCTAAGCCTTCCTTTTGACGGTATCCTTTGGCTACCAAACGAGCCTTATACTTATCAATTGTACCATCTGCTTTTAATTTCTTCTTAAAGATCCATTTGTATCCAATTGGTCTATTACCGGGTGGTAAATCAACCAGTTCCCATGTATGATTTTGTATAATGGATTCAACCTCACTATTGATTGCTTCTTTCCAAAATGGAGCTTCTGGACTTGATATTGCCTCTTTATATGTTTGAGGCTCAGCTTTAGCCATCATGGTCAAGAAATCTGGTCCAAAATCTTTTGGTATTCTTGTCCTTTTACTTCTTCTAGGTTCTTGATCTTGTTCATTTTCTTGAACACTAGATGAAGTAGGATTACCATCATCTATTCTAGAATTTTCTTTTATTCTAGAATCATCAATAGTTCTTTTTCTATTGACATTGGACCTTCCTTGTTTATAAGGAAAAATGTCCTCAAAGAATATTGCATCCACATATTCTAGTATTGTATTCACATGTATATCATAAACATCAGAGTGAAATACTAAAAATCTATAAGCAGCACTATTGGATGCAAATCCAATGAAGGCACAATCTATAGTTTTGGGTCCAAGTTTAGTTATCTTTGGCAAAGGAACTTGAACTTTTGCTAGGCAACCCCACACTTTGAGTGTCTTATAGGTTGGTAACCTTCCTTTCCATACTTCATATGGTGACTTGTTACTCGTTTTATGTGGAATTCGATTCAAGATTGTATTTGCAGTAAGTAAGGCTTCACCCCACATATTATGTGGAAGCCCAGAACTATTCAGCATAGAATTTATCATGTCTTTTAATGTCCTATTTTTCCTTTCAGCAACACCATTTTGTTGCGGTGTATAAGGAGCTGTCGTTTGATGAATTATACCATTTGTGGCACAAAATTCAGCAAATGCAGTGGCTTCATATTCCCCTCCTCTATCTGATCTTAGGACTTTAATTTTTCTGTTGAGTTGATTTTCAACTTCAGCCTTATATGTCTTAAACATATCCAAGGTCTCATCTTTGCTATGTAATAAATATACATAACAGTACTTGTTGCAATCATCAATGAAAGTCACATAATATTGCTTTCCTCCACGACTTGGTGTTGATTTAAAATCACAAATCACTATGAATTAAGCCTAGCAGTTCATTGGACCTATTATGTACAGATTTAAAACTTTTTCTGGCAAATTTAGATTTGTACATGTTTCACATTTAATATTTTCAATAGAATCTAATTTAGGCAGCAATCCTAAATTATACATTCTATGTAAGGAACGGAAATTCACATGTCCTAATCTAGCATGCCATAATGTAGAAGAAGAATCAACCATATAAGCAAAAGCCTTATTTATATTATTATTCATAGAATTGGCAGATACATTAAGTTTGAATAACCCATTAGCAAGATAACCTTTTCCCACAAACATTCCCCCCTTAGTTAGTACAACTTTGTTGGATTCAAAAACTAGTTTGAATCCTTTGTTACTTAGAACAGGTCCAGATACCAAGTTCCTTCGTATGTCTGGCACATGCAGCACATCTAGGAGGGTTAGTTCCTTTCCAAAGGTGAATTTCAGAAGTACTTTTCCCTTTCCAACAACAGCAGATGCAGATGCGTTTCCCATAAACAGTTGCTCACCACCATGTATCTCTTGGTAAGTAAAAAATGCATTCTTATCACCACAGATATGGCGGGTTGGCTCCAGTATCAATCAGCCACTCATTGTCATTCAAAACCATGTTGGTTTCTGACACCACTGCAGCCAGGTTTTCTTCAGTCACATTGGCCTGATTGTTCCTTGGCCTGTTGTTGTTTGGATTTGCAGGATTCTGATCCCTTCTATGCCTGCAGTCTTGAGCCTTATGGCCTGTTTTCCCACAGACCCAGCATGCTCCTTTAATCTTTTTGAAGTCTTTTCCTTTTGCTCCAGGAACAAAGTTCTTCTTGTTCTTTTTGGGATTGAATTTTGGTTTTGCTGAGGTTCCTTCAACTATGTTTGCCTTGGCTTCCATGTTTGAAACCACATTCTTGTTCTCACTTATTCTGTTATCCTCCTCAATCCGAAGCCTAACAATGAGATCCTCCATACTCATCTCATTTCTCTTGTGCTTCAGATAACTCTTGAATTCTTTCCAGTTTGGTGGAAGTTTTTCAATCAAGGTCGCCACTTGGAAAGATTCATTGATCTTCATGCCTTCAGCAAGAATCTCATGGATAATTTTCTGGAGGTCTTCAACTTGTTTGACAACATGTTTGGAATCTACCATCTTGAAATCCAGAAATCTGCCTATAACAAATTTCTTGGATCCTGCATCTTCAGTTTTATATTTTTTCTCAAGAGATTCCCAAACTTCTCTAGCCGTCTTGAATGCTGCATAGGCATCATACAGTGCATCATCAAGTCCATTCAAGATATAGTTCCTGCACAGAAAATCAGATTGTGTCCATGCATCAATTGCAGTGACAGTCTCTTTGGTTGCAGGATTCTCATTCGACACAAGGGCATCCTGTCTGAGAATGTGGGCTAGATTTAATGTTGTCAGATAGAACAACATCTTATGTTGCCAACGTTTGAAGTCAGTGCCTTTGAATTTCTCAGGCTTTTTGGCATGAGAGGTCTTACTTCCTGATTGTTCCATTATACTGTCTAAAGATTGTTGTAGAACAATCAGTATAAACCCAAAATAACAGAATAATAAAAAACCAACGAATATATTTTATATAAATATAATTGAATCAATACAACAGTAATATAGATTGTAGAATACTGACTTCAATTGTAGATAGAGTCCTGCAGATTTGCAGTGTCCTGCAGACAGTATTTCTCCTCTACCCTTGTGCTTGTAGTTCGATAGGAGTCTGTCCACCAGGATTAAACTATCTTAAATCTAAGCCTAAGCACAGTGGCTTTGATTTCTGGCGAACAGTGGTATGAATTCTCTCAGGAAGTGTTAAAATGTGAGAATGATAATGCAGTTCAAAAGGTGTACTTCTGGTTTGATCGTATTGTCAATATATAGAGGTCTGGCACCTCTTTATCCAATAGTTATGTTAACTGTTTAATTAATTCAAATTTCAGATTTTGGTTTTATCTGAAAACCGAATTTTCAATTAATAAAAATAAATGAAATCAACAGAGCCCCAAGGCCCAAGGCCCATCTTTTGACAATTAATTATATATATATATTTATTACACAAATATACATATAATTCAAGCTCAAACCATTTTGAGGCCCAAGTTTGCTTCCACTAAGCCCATACTCTATTTAGTATTTCTAATGTGTTGGTGCTTATAAACCATGGAAGGAAACTACTCTCTTCCAATGTGGGACTAAATGCAAGTGTCTTTTCCTATACAAACTCTAACAACTGTTGGTCTCTGTCTTCTTCAATGTTGTCTTGCACTGCCTTTCTTCTTCTCTGTTACAAGGGTATTGTTTTCTTTTCTTTATAATTATTTTATGTTACTGGGGTATTCTCTTCTCTTCTTTTCAATTGTGTTGTCTCTCTCCCTGTCATGGGTTGTCTCTGCCATCTTGAGTTTCCTTTCCTTTTCATGGGTTGTCTCTTGCCTCTTGTTCTCTCTCCCTATCTTGCCTACTTTCTCCTTTTTGATGGGTGTTACCTTTTCTCATCTCTTTCTTTCTCTTTTTTTTTTCCATCTTTATTTTGAAAAGATTTTAACTCTATGTGTTTTTCCCACACTCTCTTTCCTTTCTCTGTCTCACTTGGCAAGTGTTTCTTCTCTTTTTGTGGTTTTTTTTTCTTCCCCATCCTTTTACTTTTAAAATTGTGTTTCTCTCGCTTTGTGCACGACTTTCTGGCCTTTCACACTTAATGATGTGTTGCACTTCCCCATCCCTTTATTTTCCCGCTTATCGCATGCTCTTTATCCTACCTAGAGGTGATTCCTAGGTAGAGTTATGTTTCTCAGGTGCCTAGAGTTGTTTCCTAGGTACATTTGACTTGTATGTCAGCCTTTCATTTTATTCCCTCCTTCCATGAGCCCATGCACTCCTTCACTTTCTACCTCTCACTGGGCATTATTTTTATTTTTCTGTTACTTTGTTTCTCTCAAGCTGTTGTTGCACCTATGGAGTTCTTCTTTTTGTTTCCCTTACTAGACTACTACAGACGACTGCTATTGCCATCTCCATCACCATGTGGTTTCTTCATTCAAATCTTGCTATGCTGTGCGCGCTCTATTTGCGGGGGAGTGTTATGGAGTTACAATAGTATTTCAGTTACAATAGTTAATCCTACTAATGATAGGAAATGGTCAGTTGTCAGTTACGTTGTTATTAGGCCATAATTCCATATTTATGTTTGTGATAATGACTTGTTGTAACTATAGATTAGTCTCTATAGACTTTATATATATTGTATAATGATCATATGAATAATACAAGGGAAATCATTTTCTACAGAATTTAATATTAGAATTCCAAAGTACTTATTCATAAGTCCCTAGCTAAAACATTGGCTCCATAATTTGCAAACAATAGGTCATTTCTCAGATGACTTGAAAGTTACAAAGATTCTTTCATTTCTCTTCAAGAGAAAAACTAATTACTAACAATGGAGTTACTGGATTTTGATGATTCTTGTCTCTTTGATAAAAGAACAGCAACAAAATCATCCATTGCCTTAACAGAAGACCCTTTTTCTTCATCATCATCTCTTATTGATGCTCTTATCTTCTCCTTAATCACAGCAGCATTTTTCCTCATCTCTCCTCCTTTCCCATTTTCATCCATCACCAAATCAATCACACCCTTCACCTCCTCCCCAACAATTTTGCTCGGCACACCCCTTGTCAGCTCCACACTCACACCCATCTCCTCCTCCAGCATCTTTGAATTATAAGCCTGCTCTGCTGCCAATGGCCACCCAACAATTGGCACACCCTGGCTCAAGCTCTCCATCACTGAATTCCACCCACAATGACTCACAAACACCCTTGTGGCTTTGTGTGACAAAATCTCCAACTGAGGTGCCCAATTGTGCACCAACAACCCTTGTTTGCTTTTGTTCATTCTCTCTTCAAATCCTTGAGGCAGCCACTCTTCTCTGAACTCTCCCTTCAAATCAAATCCTACTGGAGGCCTTATGACCCAAATGAAAGCCCTCCCGCTTTCTTCCAACCCAATAGCCAATTCCTTCATTTGGGTTTCACTGATTGTGTTCTGAGAACCAAACGAAATATAAATAACAGAATCTGAAGCATGTTGATCAAGCCATTCAAGGCATTTCTCAGCAGGAAAACTCAGTTTTTTTCCCGCACGTTGCCTTGAGACACTTAAATCCAAAGTTGACGTGTTCTTGAGTGCCTCTCTAGGAATGAGAGGCCCAGTGGACCAAACAGGACGCCTCAAGTTATTCCTCAAGATGTCCAATCCAAAGGGTTCAATTTCCTCCACAGTATGGCACAGCCAACCAAAAGATTTAGTAGAAAGTGAAATTTGAGGCTGGAAAAATCTGGACCAAGAATCTGTACCATCTGCAGCTCTTGTAAATGGATCCAGCTGAGAGATATGGAAACAGCACTGTTCAGGGAACCCAGGAACGGTGAAGAAGTCCTCCTCTGTAGAGCGGTGTGGGAGGTTGAGCCAAATAGAGGTGTCAGCTGCAGTTCCATAAGCACCACCTGTTGTGAAGCTCACATTGACAGTGCCTAAGCTGTCTGCAACATTATTAGCCCATCCCAAAAACACATCAGAGATTATGCAAAGCGGCGGGCGGCCTTCCTTTTCCATGATGTCAGAGATTAGGCGGCGAGCAGGAGCTTCAAGGCTGACAGAAGCAGCAACAAGACTGATCAGTTTGCTGAGAGGCAAGTTCTCTGGGGTTTCAGTGTTTTGGGGCAAGCCATGGTCTGTGCTACAAAATGAAAGCCCAGCCAAGTTGATGGTGTTGTTGTTTGATGAGGTGGCAATGGTGGATTGGAGGGACTGGACGATGAGGGGGGTTGTGGCAATGGTGATGGTGAAGTTTGTTCTTTGCTGGATTTGCTTTGCTAGTGCTAGAAATGGTATGATATGGCCTTGGGCCATGAATGGCAGCATCACAATGTGCTCATTTTCAAATCCCATCTCTGATTTTGGGTTTTTCTGATTCCCTTGGATTTGGCTGAAGTTATATGTAATGGTGAAGAAGAAGAAGAACATATATATGCTGTTGTGAAAGGTATGAGCATAAATGCATGCGTGGGATGGGAGAAATTTACGATTTTAGGCTCCATTTGATAGAGGGATTTGAAAGGAATTATTTGGATTAGACGAGCCCAAATTTGCTATAAGAACAAGAACCACATTAGATTGAATGTATTTGAAATAACTAAATGTAGTACATTTGAAGTGACTGTATGCAAGGAATAATTTGAATTGTAATTTTGTTTCTTTTTCTCTTGTCCAATTCTTGGCATACATGAATTGTAATAGTCGATACAAATAATTTTACTTTATAATGTTATCTAAATTCATCGATTTAGAATCCCTCCATCCAAATGGAGTCTTATATGCTCGAAGTTGGTATTAGAGTACCTCAGTATAACTCGTCCATATGTTTGTGTAAAATATCACTTTGTGTTCAATCATATCATAACATGTGAAACCCAATATAGCACACTACCACATTCATGTACCATACGATAATTTCTCCGCATTTTGCATAGATCTAGTGAATTGGCCAAACTTTTGGTCTTAATCTTTACCCTTAGAAGTCTACATAAATTCACTATTTAACAAACTCTTAAGGGTTCGTTTGGATGAGTCACTTGGACAAGATTTGGGCTCTCCTAGCACTTATAAGTTCATGTAGACCAGGTAACCCATTTGGCAACTCCAAAGAAGGAACTTCCGAAATGACGTGGAACTTTAAGATGAGACTTTGTGAAACCAAAGTCCCTTCATTAAGTAAGGCCTAAGCAAGTGTTATTTTGAAATTCATTATGATCACCACGAATAACCATTATAGTTTGGCTTAAAACCTTTGACCAAAAAACAGTTTGGCATAAAAGCTAAATCATTAACCCTAACTACTGCATAATGACAACCCATGACAAGTTGCAATTAATATGTACATACACGAGTTTGGCTTAATCTAGACCTAATTCATTAACCCTAGCTAATGTATAGTCAATAGGGAGGAGCCAGTATATGGCCTAAAGTGATCCTGGCCCGTTCTCAAACATTATCGATAAATTGGCTGTGAGAGTTCACGTTTTCTGAAACAACTCTCTTTAACTAATACTTAGTCGAACAGTTTTGTATAAAATTGTGTTATTGCATAAGTATATGTAGGTCCCAGCAACTCAAGGAACGAAATAAAAAAATAGGTTGCTTTAGTTTTAAAACACAAAATTATTTACTAATTTGGAAGATAGGAATATAATTTCATCTCATTAGCATAAGGTCAAAGACCAAAAAGTAGTACCTAATTTTACAATAATATAATTAAAAAATTATCAAAATTACAGCATATGCCATTATGCCATTATTTTCAAATTTCAATATTTAGTTTCAAATTTACAAAATATGCCATTATCTATCCCATTCGTGCGAGTATTCGTTTTCACCTCGAGAAACCGCTATCGACAAAGAAATTTTGGCGCAATAAATTCTGTTAAATTAGAAAATAATTAAGGTTTGGTGGATTAAATTGTGGGCCCCGTAATCCGCCCATGTGGCATACGACTCATCAAAATCGGATTAGTTGTCAAATGTGACGTGTCGACATTCGTCGGAGTGCATCAAACGGTTTAAAGTGAAGACAAAATTAAAGGGAAGAATCTTTTATGATTGACTTTGATTTAAATCAAATATCAATCAATCGAAGATAATTGGGTTAATTTGCCAAATTATCGGAATTGATTTTAAATCAAATCAAAATCCAACAACAAAGCAAGGTCCTAAAGAAGGAAAGATATTTAGGTCAAGCATCCTGCAAGAGCCTATAAATAGGAGGCCTCAAGATGAAAGAGGGGAGCTTAGACAGACCAAGCATTCAAAAGAAACAGAAAACTCTCTGCATTCTTCACCTCACTTTGAAAGAGCCGCCAAGCACAAAAAATACATGCCGGTTCCTCCACCCTTGAAAAAACTAATCACCAAACAAGCCTTGCGCTACCCGTTTGATCAAGATCAAGTCTCTACGACCCTTGTATCAAACACAAATTTTCTTAAAACACTTTGGAGATTGAATCAGAAGATTTAATACAAAGATTGTAACCCTAAATTTCATTAATACAAATATTATTTTGTACACGTGTTCTTGTCCCATTTGTCCCAGGAAATTTGTGTTTACAAATTTGGCACGCCTAGTGGGACTATCTCTGCCTCTCATCTCTCTTTCTCCAGTTCCAAGCTCAATCAATACATTGAAAACGATGGCTTCCACGAAGACTCAAACCATTCCCGCGACAAAAGGCAAAAGCTTGAGCTCCTCCTTCTCAAGCAGAGTCTCTGCTAGGGTCATCACATGGAGCAAGGCCAAGGTGATATCCACAATTTAACATGTCACTTCCATACTGAGTCAAGCCAAGGCGAAAGATGTGAATTGAAGGGGTGAACCTGTTATCAATTTGGCCTCCTTGGGGGCAAAGAAGAATACCCCCGAGCGGATGAGAGAAACTCTCAGAACGAAGAAAGGAGTTTTTTGGGCTCGAAGAATTCAAGAGAACATTCACTCCGACCTTTTTCAGATGCTAACTCGAGCACATGCTCATACCATGGATCCCCGTCTGACGACCAATAGAAGAAGATTTCCATGCAACCCTCGGCGTCCATATGTGAGTCTTATTCTATGGCCATACAGGTCATGGTGACAGGAGCAATGTCTATTGAAGAATAGCTGGCCTATATGAGCGAAGCGGTCACAAAATTGACGAAGGTGGTCGAAGAGAAAGATGCGCTGATTACTTCTCTCATGAACAAGTAGGAGGCACATCATGATAAGGAGCCTAGTCAAGATGTGCATAAGAAAGGACCACATCATGAAGCTGAATCCAGTGAGAAAGGATTGGGTCATGAAATAGAATCGGGTGAGAAGTTGCATGGAAAAGGCGATGCCTCCTCAGTGGGTTCTTTATCGGTCCAACAATTTCAGGACATGATCGCGAACACCATCAGGGTTCAATATGGAGCTCTTTCCCAAGACACGCTCATATATTCCAAGCCATACACCAGGAGGATAGACAACCTACGGATGCCAAGAGGGTGATGAGGTTTTGCAAAATCATGCCTACATCCCTAGATAGAGTATTTAACTATGAAAACTAGGGATCAACATTTTTCTTGCAACCGATGAGACAAAGCGGGTAGCTCGAGGCCTGATGGGCTAAAGCTGATCTACCCCATTGTTTAGGCTCGCTTGGCCTAACTTGCCCTACGATTTGGTAGGGCTTGGTCCAAGGGTTTGAGACCTTGAGCTTGCCCTCAGCTCGACCGGTTTAAGACCTTGACCAAGCCCTCAGCTTGGCCAGCCAATAAGTAATAAATAATTAATATAATACCCAATTAAATATTATACTTCTTCACTCAACTTTCTTACTTGTGAATTTTCTATTCTTATCTAAAATAATTTTTTTTTAATTTCAATCTCCTTTCTTTTCTTTTTTTTTTTTTTTTTTTTTTTTTTTTTTTTTTCTAAATCTCTCTCCTCTTGATGGTGGCGCTCTCATTCCTTTATTCTCTCAAATTTCAAGCTCCATTTTCTTAATCTCTCTAAATCATCATTCCTCTGGTGATGGTACACTCATTCTTTTATTCTCTCAAATTCAAGCTCCAATTTTCTCAATCTCTCTAAGTCCTTATTCATTGGTGATGGTGCTCTCATAAGTTGGTGGTCGTGGTGCTCTCATTCCTTTTTAATAAAAATCTATAAAAGACTTAGAAAAGAAAATTAAAAAAAAAGGGACCAGCCTTTCTAGGCCCATGGGCGGCTAGGCCTGACCCATGGGCCATGTCTTGAAATTTGAAACCTCATCTCGGTCCGACCTAGCTTGAAAATTCAAAAAAGCCCATGACGTCCGGCCCGAATCCAAAAATTCCAAGCCTGGCAGCCTAACCTAATGATGAACCCCAATGAGAATAATAACATTACAATATACACTTGGGGCTCGTTTGGTACATCGTATTAGACTCTGGATAAGAGTAAATAGTCCATCTCAGTTGTTTGATGTCAACTTGTATTATTTAATTACATGATTATTTTAAATAGTTGGGCTTTTAATACTCTCCTTACTTGACTAATTAATGCAACTCACACACCCCAGTTTAGATAATACACACTTAATTATAAAGTTAGGGAAAAAAAATATGTGTGAAACATAATACGCTTTCATCTTCTTCTCCCTATAGTTCTCCAATGCAAGAGGCACCAGTCAATGGTTGGGGTTGGGGTTGACTCTCGCTTCATCGCCATCGACGACGTCCAAGTTCGTGAAATTGCAATTGCATGGGCTGGTGGGGTTTGCATACCCAATTGAAGGGAGAAGTCCCCAGGATAAAAAGAACACCACAAAGTCAATTCTGCAATCAATGGATATTTCTCCACCTATTGAGAGAGATTTTAACAAGTCCAAGTTCGGCTCTGACGTTCTCTCCTTTCAACAAGTCCGTTGTTTCTTGCTTTCATCATTTTGATTTAAAGTTTTATACTTTCTTCATTTTTCAGTTTTATGTTTGTTTGTTTATATTTAAATTTATATATGACTTGTTTGTTGGGTTGGGTTGCTATAGATGTCAAAGCAATTCAACCAGGATTTGACTGTATCTGCTAAAATCTCAACTGGACATTTCAATATTGCATTTGAGTTTACAAGAGGATGGCAAAAGGACGATGTCAACACAAAAACCATCAGAAAATATTTTTTTATTTAAATATATCCAGATGTGAATTTTTTTTTTCCCATCAATAAACATCCCAAGTTCTACAATTATGATAATGAGTTAGTTGATGTAATCTTGTCTTATAGATTTTGGCAAAAACAAAAGAAAAAAAAATCTTATCTTATTTATTAACTTAGTCATACTATTTATCCGGAACACCACCAAACACTTTATAATATTATGAATAAACAGTAAATACTATCCATAATAGATTAATACTATCCGACATAAATTAGTCAGTACAATCCAACATACTAAACGAGCCCTTGATGAGTTAAATCAACATAACCCGAACCCGAAACCCTTCTACACCCCCTCACAATATTTCCCAAAAAACTCTATCTCTTACAAGAGCTCTTTTCCTCTCTTGCTTTCCTCTCGGTTTCTCTCAAGGAGGTGAAGGTGTGATAGATTTGGTGATAGATGAAAATAGGAAAGGAGGAGAATGAGGAAAAATGCTGCTGAGATTAAGGAGAAGATAAGATCATCAATAAGAGATTATGCTGAAGAAAAGGGGTCTTCTGTTAAGGCAATGGATGCTTTTGTTGCTACTCTTTCATCAGGAAACAAGAAATAATTAAAATCCAGTAACTCTATTGTTAGTAATTCGTTTCTCTTGAAAAGAAATGAAAGAATATTTGTGACTTTCAAATCCTTTGAGAAATGACCTATTGTTTGCAAATTATGGATCCAATTATGTTTTTGGGACTTGTGAATTAGTAGTTTGGAGTTCTAATATTCCTTTTTCTTTCTGTATTTTTTGCCTTACTTTCATTTCTTATACACTATTCATAGAGATGGGAGTCGCATATACAAGAGAGTGTCGTTCATTTATGGACTTTCAAGAGAAAGCATAAAAAGAAAAGGATTGTTAATTGTCTCGATGATCATCAACATCTTTAGGCACAATATGATCAATATATTTATTAACAACAAAAGGCAAACTCAATTCTGCTCTGTCTCTCATCTCTTATTCACTCTCTCTTATTTTATAACAAGGGCAATACTTCAATCCAACATACAATTCCTAGTCACATACAAGCAAATCTGAATCTTTAAAGCAAACAATTTTTTAACTTTTGTTACTAATTAATTCCAACACAAAGTCATAGACTTTATATTGGTCAGGAAGGCTCTTGGAAACACTCTCCCTCAGACTGCACCTTTTCACCCACTCGATGAGCTTGGGGCACTCTTTCTCTACGCTGAAATTGCAAAGAGTCTCATATGTGTAAAACCTGCAAGAGAATGGTATCAGGGCAATATCCAAGAGGCCGAAGCGATCGCCTCCAAAGTAGGGCTTCTCTCCAAGCTCGCCTTCTAACAGCTTCAAGCTTTCTACGAACTCTTTCTTTGCTGCCTCTTGGTCTGCTCCCTTGCTAGCCCACATCCTTCTCCCACAGTCTGCCATCTGCACAAACATGATAAGACTAATTTGCATGACTACACGAGGATCAAATTTTAAAAAAAATGATACACAAACTCTCGCTTAGATGGAGTCGAGTCAACGGGGTTAAACCGCTCCAAAAATATATATATATATATATATATATATATATATTCATAGGCTTTTAGTGAGTAAAAATTATTGTATGGTACCGGAATATCTCCATATTTAGACTGAAACTTTTATGTGTTTCAATATACCACCATACATAAAAGTTAAAAAAAACATATGTTGGAGCAATTAATGGCATCTGGTAAAAGAATTAATCAAATGAAATAATTTGTAAAATTTTGACTATGATCACTTACCTTCTTGTCAAAAAAATCAACCCAAAACCTTGCTTTAGCTCGCTGATAAGGATCCTCTGAGAGTATTGGAGCTCTGTCATTCCAAACATCATCAATGTATTGAAGGATGATGAGGGATTCACAAATGGGCTTATCATTATGGATGATAACTGGAACTTTCTTAAACACTGGGTTCATTTTCAGAAGCAAAGTGCTCTTATTCTTGAAAAGATTTCCTTCTTCCATATAGTAGTAGTGGACTCCCTTCTCTGCCAAAGCAATTTTCACTCTCATGACATAAGGACTAGTCCAGAACCCCAAAAGCACCACTTCATCCTCATCCATTTGATTAATTAAGCAGAGGATTTTTTCTCTGTACTTCCTTCCTGGGAGTGGTGAAGTTTCTGCTCCTAGTTTGTAGCTCAGTTGGGGCAATGGCATGGACCAACTCCGAAGGCATATATATAAGTATATTTCCACTAGACTTCTAGATCATGATTCATTAACTTGGCCTGTATGACTTGTTGAGCCTTCTGACTAGAAAAGGTGCCCATCAATTTTTTTTGCATATATGTATATTTATGTCCATATTTATAAGCAGCTATAAGTTAATACGGCACTAATCACTCATTTTGATCTATTCCACAATCTATTTCGTGATTCAAGTCGTTTACTTTTAGGGTTATTATTGTCCCTACAAAAATTCACTCAAATCCAAAAACACTTGATTATCTAATTGTGACCAAATAAATGGAAGAAAACCATGTTTTTTAAACAAGGAAATGTTCACAATAATAACCAATTTCGGATTTGGATAAATTTTGCATGGGTTATATTTGAGCGAGGACAAAAAATTTGAACAATTCAAATTATAAATTACATTTTGGAGTAGACTCGAACGAGGAGATTAGTGTCATATTAACTCGCCACTTGAGCACTTGACAATTAAAATAATAAGGTGTCAATTGACCGAGTTCTCTTTTCTTAGTTGATTGATATGCGTTTACACATGAATCCAAACTTCAGCGTTTGGAATAAGTATGATAACTTCCAACAATATTTTTGTGATTTTATACTCCTAATTTAAATGATAAATCGTTCATTATGGTTTGAATCAACCAATTTAAATAGTTCGATAGTGAGAATTGTCAAGCTGAAATATAAATAATGTTATCAACATAACGTGAGATTCATATGTGTAGTAGAAAGATTGAATAATTGGCAAAATCAAAGTCAGTCAATTGGCTACATAGTCAAATTCTATATTTCTTATTGCTCCAAAACCAGGAAAACCTAATCTGCCTTTAGAAAAATATATATTACATTGATTTCTCCAAGCTATCCTTCTGACGTAATCCATTACGTCTATGCGTTGAGAGATAGAGTTCTCTCCATTCAATTCAACCAATAAATAAAGGGTTAAATACAATTTATACGAAAATTTATACTGTGTTTCGCAAAGTTTACAATTTTTAGATAAATGTAATTAAAAAAAAATTGAATTTCCATGTGTAATCCAGTGACCAAAAAGGTATTTAACCTATAAATAAATGTAATTAAAAACAAAGTTATCCATAAAGTAAAAAGATAAGGGCCAACAACGTCTAGCTGAGTGGAAAAGGGTCTTAATAAAGGAAACATGTATATAAATTCAAATTTAATGGATCTTAAGTTACATCAAGCATGAATCAACTATTCAAGAGGCTGAAGTGAAACTTTAAATCATCTTGAGGCTAATATTTTTATGCCCAACATATCAAAATCCTAGAGAAAGGATAAGACTTTCTTACCCTTGAAGTACTCTTGGATGGTCTCCAAGTTTTCACCTTTGGAAAGGCCTTCTTCCTTGCTTAGTCTCCATAAATTCCTCACAAAGATACCAAAGTAAATATTCTCTAGTTCATGCACACCAAATAAAGTGAAGAGGTGAAGAAGATGGCCAAGAGGAGGTAAGGTTCTCGCCCTCACCCCTAGGACCAGTTTTTACCAATTGGCTGAAAGAGATTATCTATCCTCTCTCTCAACACCACACCCAAACACTTAGGAGGCTCAAACCCTAGAGAGAAATGGTCTTAAGTGTGGCTTATATAGCCAACACATGGGTGAGGAAAACTCCCCACTAATATAGATGGCCAAGGGGGTATTGGCGCTTCTCTTGGGCCTCATTTTACTTGTGTTGTCATACAACACTTGTTCCTATGCCTAATGGGTCCTTGGGCTATTTTGCTATTTGGGCCAAATTCCTTTAAAGCCAAAACCGAGTCTAATTGTCAAACTAACTTCATAATTAATAATCTAATTATGATTTGCAACTTAACCATTAAGTCATAACTAATTATGATTTCCGACTTAACCATTAAGTCATAACCATAATCCATATAGTTTGACTTGTTCAACCGTTTTGGTCATATTGAGTTGACTTTGACATTGAATTTTCCCGTTAACTTTCAACGTGTTATCTACTTCATTTGTTTCTCTGATTACATTTATTGGTGTGTGATCCGTAGTTTCCAATTAGCAAGGCAGTGGGTAAGTCTAATTCCTCCGAACCGTGTCTAAATTAAATCAAATCATTTAATTCTCCCTTTTGGTGAAGGCTAATTACAATTAGACCTTATAAGGCTTCCACAAGCCATGAGTGACCCTGCAATATGTCATGGCTACCCAAGCTAAGTAGAAATGTGAAGAACCTATTCAAGTTGATTTGTCGTGCAATTGAGTCCTTTATGGTATAATGCTCCTAATTCATATTAGCAAGGCATGAATACTTTTGCCAAAACCCAAATATGAATTCTCCACTTATATGATCACATTGGTTATGTCTAGAAACTTCATTTCTAGTCATATTCACTACTCTGCAGAGATTTCATCAATCATATCTTTGGAGAATTCTTTTTCCTTACTGAGAGCAAAGATCCCTTGTTGTACATTCACTTGCCTCTGTGAGCTTATCAAGAATCATTAAGATCACCTTTTGAATCATATCTATCGACACAACTGTTTAGTGATTTCAAAGACAAACGACTCACTCACAAGACAAATATGACGTCTCGGGCCTGAGGACTAGTTTACACTATTGCAACTTATGAGTTCTAGTTTGACATGTGAGTAAGACCTATATCCTATAACTCGTGGTTTGATCGCATTCAGTGTACGTATCTCTATAAGCACCTACACACTTATCTTAGTATCTCTACACCCAATTACTTGAGACTAGTCATTCTCCCAATCGAGCAGATGTAATGTGCACTAGTCTTTGCAGATGATCAATGCCCAATTGATAATCCAACGACGGGGAATGTTTAGGAAACAATGTGAAAGTATGATAAGTCTTCTTAAATCCAATCTCATTGTATAGCTCTCATACTATTTCATATTCCAAGGACTATTATTTTACTGTTATGATTATAAATCATATATCATGGTTGAAAACAACGATCTTGTAAGTGATGGCAAAATATCTAGAAAGCAACATCAAATGTTTGGCTTTAAGGCATATTTCTTACACTTGACTTGCATATTAGTGGTTTTAGGTTCAAGTGATAGTCTCACACACACACTATACTACTACAGTGCTATGGGGGTTCGAACCTGTAGGGGCTTTTTTTCTCCTGGCAGCAAGTGGGCTGGGCTGCTGTAAAGAGCAATCTGATGCAAGTGTCCCCTTGTGTCTGAGTTCGAAGATCAAGCCCCAAGGATGTCTCGAAAGGGTGATGACGCCTTAGGAAACTCCTTGGTTACCTTCACCAATAAAAATGACAACAAATTACAAATAAATATTCTAGCTTGGCATGAGTGACTTATGGCATGGGAGCAAAAATTATCATGGGTTTAGCACTTTAGGAGAGAGAGAGATCTATGGGTTCCTATGAGGTACAGAGGTTCTAATGGAGAGGGAGAAAGGTCTAAGGAGGTTTGATGAAGAGGGAGAAGGATGGTGAAGAGTTTTGGGTGACTTTCGCAGTTTCCGGCAGCTTGACAGTGACTCTGTCAAAGCTTCTGTCAATCTGCCAAAACAGGGGAAATAAAGGAAAATGAGGAGGGATAGCACGAAAATTCCTGGGTTTGCATGTGAGAGAGAAAGCTTGCTCTCTGAAGGTTGTGGGTTGTCTTTGTTGGGTAGAAGATGCCTCATTTTATAGGCGCTGGAAATCATCCCTTCCCAAGAAACCCTAATGGTTTCTACCCATTTTGGCTAAGCTTTTCCCTTCCTTTCTCTTCTCCTCCCTTGGCTTTTCCTATCTTGGTGAAATTTCCTCTGTTTATTAGCACAAAATCAGGAACTTTGGGAGCTCAATGCCCCATTTTCCCGCAGCTGTCTCAGTGACAGATTTCCATTCCCAGTCATTTCTTTTATTGCTTTCTTCTCTCTTTTCCATGGCCAAGTCTGATGGGAAAAGGAGTTGGGAAATATATGCTGGTTCGAAGGGTGTTTCTGGCAGCTCGCAGGCTAATATTCTTTGGTTCCTTGAATGTTCCTTGCTTGGAACTTGCTCCCTCCATGTCTGGAGCAGCTTTGTTTAATGAACATGCAGACCTTCTCTACGTGGCTTCTATTTTTCCAGCAAAGGGCTGAGGCTTTTGTGGGCTTATTGTGAAGCTTTGTATGGGCCAATGTGGTTCATTAAATAAGCGGGCTATTTTGTTAAATATTGGGCTTTTGAGTCAATAGGCTATTTGGGGCTATTTGGGTTATTTCTTTTCCTCTTGTGCTCACCCACATGTTTGGGCCTAAGAAATGGGCTTGAGTCTCGAGGCTCCCAAGCAACCCGAGACTTTCCATTTCTCAGCCCATCAATGGGCCTCATGTTGATTTATTACCATCCATACCACAACCCACTCAAGCAAGCCCCGGGCATTCGAGTGGCTTGGGCCCACTTAGGCTTGTAACGTGGTTGGGTGTGTAATAATGATTTCCTGCTTGGCATGGCATGACATGTCGCTTGGCATGGCACATCGCTTGGCATGCTTTTTATTATGCTTGATGGGATAATTAGCATGGATTTGCAGGGCCGATATATTCTAGCATGACGAATTATTTATTTAGCATGGCATGTGGATTGCAACTCGCACGTGGCGGGTTTTTGTGTACTCCGCTTTACGCCTTTCCTTGATAGAGTGTCATTTTGGGCCGATAATTTATTCGGGCCCGACCGTGGATTTTTTGGGCCTCAACAGAACCTAAAACCATTAGTTTGCAAATCAAGACCTTTTTATACTAGGCTAGACTCCGTTGACAAGTACAAGATGAAAAATAGGTGCATTGTTGGCAATATATATTTATTTTTAGTTTTTAAATTAAAGATATACAATGAAAGAGGAGAGGAAAATAAGAAAAGGAATACGATAAAACAACAGTCTGCATAGCCACAGAATATGGGAACATATTACCAAATACCAAGATTTTGTTGATGATGACCCAAATTAGCCAAAACATCAGCAAACCATATTTGCTTCACGAAACAAGTGCCGAATTTCAAAAATCTGAAAATGTTGTAGGAGATCTTCAATATCCTGAAAGATAGGAAGAATTTGCCAAGGAGGTGAACCAGTTTTCTGGAGGAGTTCAATAAGTATTTGGGAATCGCCTTCAATTAGCCAATATTAGACATTCCAACACGCTTTAGCCCAAATAAGACCAAGCTTTAGCTTCTGCCTCCAGTACAGATACAGAAGTCATATCCATCAAAATTGAGTTTCCAAGTATTCAAGGGACGTGGTACCCATTTTAAATTAACCGGTCTATAAGAGCATCTCCACCCACAAGAGCTGAGTCTAAGGCAAGGGCAAGCAAGGGCTGCTACTATTCAAGTGAATAGTATCAGCCTTTGCATTTGTGGTTCCACCCATGAAGGGCAAAGTCTAGGGCAAGTCTAAGGCAATTACTATTCATTGTACTTTATTTCCTATTTTTTTTATACTTTAAACCAAGGATTGAAATATCGGCCGATACACCAATATATCTGCCGATATGTCGGTATTTTCAACTATCGACACCGATACTGGGGGGTAAGGCCATATCTTCCCATGTATCGACGATATATCCCCGATATTTTGTCGATATCCCCGATATTTCCCGATACCCATAACATAACCCAAAAAAATTCAAAATTTTTCAAGGCAATTGAAGCAAATTGAAACCCAAAAATAGCTAATTCTTGCCCAAAACCCTATAATTTATTAATATGAAGAATCTATACACAGTCCGCTGCCTACATACCTCCAATCCATCTGAAGAGGACATGGCGATCAGTTTTGGATCTATGAGCATAGGAACTAAACCTAGTACTAACTCAAATGAATCTTATGATGGCTATGGTTGTCATGTCTGATTATAGTGGAACTCGTTATGGAGCTCAAGATGATAAAACAGATTATGGACCTACTAGTTGGTTAATCCTAACTATCTCATATATGGGAGGACAATAGGGAGCTCAAGAGAGACCTATGTGCACCATGTTCAAACATGGCTTACAAACTGCTCGGGTTACATGACTTGGTATGATTATTGTATGAATCTAGATGGTTGTTCCTCATTATTTGAACCTCATAGGAGCTCTTCATTTATGTAGATTGACACTTATCTAAATTGTAATCCAATGTTTAAACAAACTATGGATTTATGCATGGTTTATTCATTCTAATTAACATTTTATTTTCAAACTTTTCATTAATGCGCATTACATACCACTTATATTTCATCATATGTATATCTTATTATTAGTAAATTTTGAGTTTTATTTGTTCAATACATTCATTGATAATGTACATAACATCTATGAAAGTTTTACACCAAAATGATGTGTTTCAATGCCTATATTTGTCATTTTTGTTGATTTTTTCCCGATACCTAAAACGATAACGATATATCCCCCGAAATATCCGTAAATTGGAGGCCCGATATTATCTGCATGGCCGATATTTTAATCCTTGCTTTAAACCATTAATTTTGATAAGCTTTTTAGATTATATTTTCGGTTGTCACATGTCACTATTTATTATAAAATTTTCACTTAAAATTTAAGATAACATTTTTCGGATAAAATTTTCAAATAAAATTTTTGGTTACCACGTGTCCATATTTATTATAAAATTAACATCTCACTCATCATACAATTGAAATACCTACTCACTCATCATACAATTGAAATATTCTTGGTCTTCATAGTCCGACACAATGGAATACAAGGACAACTCCATCATTGGCGGAGGCGGTTCCACCGGATCACGACGTGAGGGAGTATTTTCCTTCGGAGGACGTAATAGTGCCATTATTTCTTACACGGAACACACCACTGGAACTGACTGCGGGCATTGTTCACTTGAGGAGCCATGTGTAATGGTTTTCCTCTTTTTTGTTTTGCCTTGACTAATCTATTAAAAAAAAGAAATTGGAAATGCAAGAAATATATATATATATATATATATAAAGACATTAAATTGAATAAAATTTTATTTTATTTATTTTATTTTTTTTTTTTTGCCAAGATTTTGACCTCTTCGAACACCTCTTGTCCAAGACTGTTTCTCCGGCCTTCGATGGAAGATGACATTTGTATTTTTGCACAAATGAAATTTTGTAGTAGAAAATTTGGTGTAGAAAGTGAAAAATATTGGAAGGAGATGAGTTTTTATGAAGATTTGGTGTGAAAAGTGAATAAAATGGTTAGGTATTTATATGGAAAAAATATTAAAAAATTTGGTATTTTTTTTAAAAAAAATTCAGAATTTTTTTGATTTTTTTTTGCAATTTTTTTAGCCAAAAAAAGGAGGACCGTAGGATTTCTGGAAAAAAAGCATCGAAGCGCCCATGTCGTGACACGTGGCACTTTACCGTTGGAGTCTACCAACGCTGACGTCAGCGCCCGGAAATCAAATTTTTTTTACCGTTGGCGCGTGTAATTCACGCGCCAACAGTAAAAAAAATTGCTTTACCTTGCGCTGGCGTTAGCGTGACGCCAACGCTGACGTCACCAGACTCGGGCTTCAGCCCAGGCAAGACTTGCCCTTGGGCTTCCTCCGGCTGGTGAGACCCACCACGAAACTGGGCTGCATCTCCTGCGCTGGAGCCATCTCGGGCTCGCCCTGGCAGCCTTTCACCCAGTTTAGGTGGGGCGCTGGACTTGCTCTAATATTAGTAGATCTTGGTACAGGAAAATCCAGGAAAATTACCTAACTGATATTCGAGGAGGGAAAATCGAACGTAGAACCCAAGATGCAAAGGATAAATGATCTTAACCACTTGAATAACAAACCCCTTCCTCATTCTTTCTCTTCTATGTCTCATTTTCTTTCCTAATTTCTTGTGTATCTCCTCACTTTCGTATAAAAAGGTACAGTTCCTTTTTGGTCACTTGGTTTTCACTCCCATCACATTCGGTCTTGCAACCTTATTTTTGTCAAATTGATCACCATTTTCTATTTTATTAATTATTTTGGTCACTGATAATTAATTAGATAGAATCCAGATTTTTCAATTCGAGACAGATCCATTAACTTCCGTGAAAAATATTTTCGGAGAATTGAAAGACCACCTTATGGACTTTCTAAATCTAATTTCAATTTACCTATTTGATAGAAAATTGAGTCCCAAAGCACTTTTAGGGTTTTAATTCCAAGTTCGATATTTATTTGGTTGTTTAAAAATCAAATTTTAAGCTATAGACATGATTTTAAGCCAATGAGAATTTTCAAAGTTGTTAAATTGCTGATTGAAAGCTACATCAGTAGTCATCACCATAACCATAATCTTCATAGTCGTACTGTTCATCAACATTTTCAGGATCAAGAATATTGTAGCCAACTGTTCCTTCATTTCCATCATCTTCATATTCATCATTTTTGTATGCATCGAATTCAAGCCCCTCTTCATGTTGCATCTCAGCATCAATGTCAGGATGTGATTCTTTCTTTTTCTTGGAGTTATCTGGAGCCTCCTGTTAGAACAAGCAAAACCATAACTCATTGGAGGATTCGTGGAAAAATCTTGAGTGTTTGTGTGTGCGTGCCTTAGATAGAGAGAGAAAATAGAGACGGGAATGGCGCCCCTGGGCCAAGAAGGTGGTCACCTCAGCCCCGAAATTAGGAGGCTTAGAACTGCTAACTTATCCTATTCGGCCTAAAGCCGAATCCGTTTGTCTAATCTGAAGTCCGTAAGTCCAAGACCCATACCCACCATGGGTGGCTAGCCATATAGGAGTCTCTTAGCCCAAGTCTTCATCTTTTCAACCAATAATACTCTACAGCAAGGATTGCTTCAATTTGTTATTTATCCATTTCACTCTACTCTAAAAATATCTTATAAGCTCACCACCTCTCTCTACTTAACTCTCCGCCAATACTCCCTTCAGCTTCCATTCTTAACCAACCAGACATCACCACCCACTTCTTTTTCCACTTTCAGCTTCCATTTAACAGCCACCCCAAAGTGAATTTTGTTCTCACCACATCTTGAAAGTATCCGTGAACGCCCTGGTGATGTAACCAAATGCTTTCGAACAGAAGGTTCAAAGTGGATTATACAAGACTTAAATAAGTGAAACAGGTATAAAGCATCAAAGGTAGGTTCATATTTTCTTTGTGTGATATGGTGAAACTTGCCTTTGGAACAAATGAAAATGTAAATTCAGAATAATTAAAAACTTGAACCCAATAAGAGAGGCACGTACAGCTGTTTGGAACATGTCCTCTAAGGCATCAAAGTTGATTTTTGAGCTGAGTCTCTGCAAGGAAACCATGTTGAAATCCATCAAAAACCTGGTAGAAATAGACAATGTGGCCTACAAATCCACATTAAAAATTAATGAAAAAACAATATGAATGAACACCAGTGCTGCACACATACCGCATATAATATTAATCACCCGTTTAATTCAACATTTGGTCAATCAACTAAATTCCTGGAACATACACTTTACAGTAGGCCCTACCCTAATTTCATTTTCTCTATGCAACTCTTATCTAAGACATACTACAGGTAAACTTCAAAAGTCACAAGGACCAGGAAATGGACTTCCACCCAACTACTATGGGGCCCTAACCTACCACAAAGAAACGGACCACAACTCTTCTTTCACTAGTACTATATCCTGGATTCTATTACATCTTCTTGCTCAGATCTCGTCGCCCTCAATTTTATCTCACGAGAATCTCACTGGATTCTTGTATTGAATTACTTTAGTGTATGTGGGTGACAAAACAAACAACAGCGATTTTGTGTCTCTCTTGGATTCTCTGAGCACTATCATGTTGAAGGGCTCCAATTTCTTTCAAAGCTCATATGAAGATCCCCAAATGTAACTCAGTAGGAATTCACTCAATAAATTAACTTTTTGCATCATTGTTTAATTCTGTTAAGGGCTTAAGGTTTAGGTCTTAAGTCTATAAGCACCTAAATCCTAAACACTTAAACCTTAAGCCCAATGCCCCAAACCCCCTTAAACATTTCTCAACACTGCAATAATAAACCCTCAATAACCCCTATTCAATCTAACTAAACATTTTATTCAGAAACAATTAAAAAAGCTCAACAACAAAAAAGGCAGCATTGAAAGTGCATAGGTGTTCAAACGCTACGACATCAGAATGTGGGGCTTAAAACTAAATAGGCAGCATGCTCATGATTCTGTTCACAGCAAGCTAGGATTTGTTAATAGCTACTCTCTCTTCAGCTTAAGGCAAACGTCATAGACATAGGCTGTAAAGGGCCTTATGTTTGCAGATGATCATTGATTGACCTAATTTCTTTTTTTCTTTCCAAGGTCAGGAATAAACACTCCCACTTTTGAGTGTCTTATTCTTAAACGTAGAAAGAGATAACGGTCAAGAATGAGCTACTTAATTTAGCTACTTACTAGAGCCTCTTGGTTATAATACATTCTTTTTCTTTTCTTATTTATTTATAGGTAGCTATCAATACCTTCTTAGTCAACATTTGGTGGACAGCTTCTGCAGCAGTTTGAGCTTCAGTATCATTCCTTGCTTCAGCTGCTCGAGCTAGTTGCCTTTCCTGAAATTTAAAATTCATAAAATAAAGGGTTGTACATTCTGTGAAAACTTATGAAGACAAAAATAATTGCGCCTATCAATAAAAAACTGTGCATCATATTAAAGAGCAATGACAGAGCGGAACTGGTAGGGAACAAATCTGATATTAATATACTAAATCTTCTGGAATTCATTGCCTCTGTTCTGCAGCATATCAGGCCTATAAATGGAGCTACAATTTTGGATCAGCCATAACTGTACAGAACTTCTCACAAAACTATTCTGGTGAAACAGAAGAAGGAAATGAACAATCTATGCTCCAACAAGTCAGGTATCTCAATTAAAATTTAAATGATTGAAGCTCCCACTGACTATGTTCATGCCTCTGTATCTAAAATCACTTTAAGAGCATGGCAGTGACAAAGTGTTTTCTTTCACTTCCATGCGGCAATTCTTGTTTCGAACTTCGTAAATCTGACTATAAAAAGTAAAATAAAAAAAGAACCAAGACCAGTGCACGCATATAGACAAATGAAATCTTGCTAAAAAAAAGAACTCATCATAAATTCCTCTTACAAAAAGATTGGAGAATAAAAAGGCCCACCTTTCTTTTCTTTGCTGTGGCTACCTTCTTTGCATCTTCTGGACAGTTGGGATCCATACCAGCAGCCTTGGCTTCCCGCTCCTTAGCTGCTTGCTCCTGCAAAAGTTTAATGAATCACTGAGATACGTAGGATGAAAGCATAAAACCAACATAGCTCCAGGTATATCATGCTGTACATGACACAGCTAAGCTTTAGAATGACAGAGGAGGAGGGAGGGCTGGCGGCAGCAGAGAGTTATAAAGGACCAAATGAGGAACAAAAAATATGATGGGTTCCAATAGAAGCTCACTCCCCATTACTATGGATGCTTTCCCTGAGCAATCATGACCTTTACCAGTGTATATAATGAAAAATTGTCATTGGGTTCTAATACATTGCTTTAAGCTAGGACATAGGAAGCAGCTGTATAAAATCAAGTTCTAAAACTTGTACATCCTCATACAATCCATTGTCAGAAAGTTTCCCTAATGTGAACTATCGAATGCTACATCCCCCTAAATGACGTAGAGTTCTGTTGCTACCTTAGACACCAACACAAAGTAGGTTCGCTACTCAGACTGTAAAGTAACAGTCTTTAAATGATGTAACAAGTAACAATACATGTAGAAAAAACTGACTTTGTAGCCCCCAAGCCATTACACATTCTGCCTAAAACGCTAAGGTTTTGGTGCTCTTGCTTGCTTCTTTACTCTAGCAAGTAAGAAAGTAAACTACATTAAATCGTGCGGTTACAAAATAATGTTAACCTCTGGAACCAAAAACCAGTCTTTTCAGTTCCATAGAGATATATTTGATATGAAACTTTTTTCATCATCTGTGGGATGCAAAACTACAATCCATAGAAGAATCAAGAAATGGTAAATAAATGCAGAGTCAATTATGGTACCTCAATGTACTCCCGGTTCACTTCTTCCCAAATCATCTTTTTGTAACGTTTCCCCTCTTCATTTAGAAGGTAGCTATCAACCTGCACAAAGCCTAAATCTTCAGTAATGACCCACAACTACAAGCAAATGAACCAAAATGAAGTAACATGTATAGTTTATGCATGCATAAAAACAAGTAAACAATTCAGGGCAAAAAATACAAATAAACAATTATGAACTACTCTCAACAGAAAGTGGTCATCATGGTAGATACATTAGTAACCAATCAGTGGAAACCATCATTTGAGATAATAACATATGTGATCACACTCTTTGATGTGAGAATCAAGGTAGGGCATACAAAATTTAAAACAACGGGAATAAGCCCTAAGAAGAGGCGTTGAGCAATGATATTTGTGTTTCATTATTAATCATTATGATAGCTAATCAGTTGTATTGTGAAGTCCAAACAAAATAAGCAACACTTTCTATATCAGTATCCATAGCATTTCAGTAAAACAAAAATTAAAAGGGCAAACCCAACTCTGGTAAAGTTACTGCATGATAAAATAACAACATGAAAGATAAAACATCATGAAAATAGAAAAATATATAACCCCCTGCTGTTATTGGATCTGACAAAAAACAACTGTACAATGTGGCAAAACAACCGTACAATGTGGCAGAGTCAACCAACAGAAATTTTAGCACAATTAGAACTTGGTGCAAATTAAAGTGCCTGTCCAGTGTTGCTGTCAGTCTTAGATTATAAAATCACTAATAATCAATTTTTATATCACTGTGGAGCAGCCCCAAATAAGAGTTTGGTA